ACAGGAACATAAACAGCCGGTGTCTCTCTGTCCTCTGCCCCCGCTGTGACCTTTCCTCCACTCTGTGTCTGTCCGTCCGGCTTCTCAGCGTGACCACCGCACACCTCAATCCGTCAATAAATAACACAGAGGATCGACACTCTTGCACAAAGCACAGATTACATCTCCGTCCCCCGTTCCAGTTTTATGGTTTGGATACCAGCGACACTCCCCGCACACTGGCATTTGTTTGACAGGACGGTGACTCATGTGCGCCAGGCGCATATCTCAAAGCGGAGACAGACTATTGACTGTCTCTCCCCGAGTTTCCCCGCAGAGTATGGATCGGCATGCGAAACTGTATCGCTTCGCCAATCGCATGTCTCACTGTCATGCATTGAGCGGAGCAGGTGCTGTGTGTACCCATCGACCGTTTCGCAGAACATTGCATGTGAGCGCAAATGTCAGAGGAAGTGGCACGCAGGTGAATCACTCTGATTACAGCTGAGAGTCAACGAGCTGCTAGCATGCAAAGCCAGCAGCTGTGGAGCCTGAGGGGCCGGCTGCTATTAGGAGGTCTCAGTGTGCGCACCGATACACATGCGAACCGATCCCCTCAGAAAACCGAAAGGATGCGGCTCTGGAAAATGTTTCTCATTGAAAAGAATCCAAATTTCAAAGCTCAGCAAAGCCTGGGGGCTGATGAAGAAAACCCGTTGTTTTTTTCCTGAATGACGACATTTTTCTTCCACGTCACGGCGCGACGTGGTGGGCGTCCACACAGACCACTGGGTCAGTGGTCTGTGAACACCTTGGGAAGATTCTGTGATGTGAATGAACAGTTATCGGTCCAAACAATGGCAAAAAAAAAAAAAAACAACCAAAAAGTTTATAATGGCGTTCCACCAGGTCTGATACTTAGACAAGTACTCTATATATATATATATATATATACACTGGATAAATTTACAGTGCTCTGCTGATTATACTTCATCATAAATCCAAAAAGTCTTTAATATCTAATCAAGTCATCATATATATATATATATATATATATAGACAAACACTGGATAAATTTACAGTGCTCTGCTGATTATACTTCATCATAAATCCAAAAAGTCTTTAATATCTAATCAAGTCATCAAACTTCAAGCCCTCAAATCTTGAATAAAGTTTGTTTTTGGAGTAAGGCACCTTAGGAACACATTTTCAATGACCCAATTACCCTAAATGGGATTTCTAAATGACATATTACCAAAGTTTTTCTTTTTTTTTTTTAGGAAAATTGAACTCCCAACCTCAAGGTCTATTTCAACATCTTACATTTCAACTTATATAACAATGCCAGATCAAGAAAAATCCTGCTCTGACTAGTCTATTCCTATTTATAACTCCTAAAATATGATTGAGTTCATCTGATTGATTTTGAGTTCTAATTAGATTTTGTGAATTTACATTGTGAATCTCACTCCAGCAAAGCCTCAGTATTCATGGATGCTAGTGTCATGTTTTGCGGTTGTGGGATGGTGTGGTAGGCACAGTGGATCCAGGCAGTAGAGAAAATGATGGTTTAATGACAAATAATGCAAAATATCCAGGCAGCACAGGTGAGCAGAAGGCAAGTAGATCAGAACTGGTAGCAGCTGGAAAATACTGATAGAGACAATGACGTTTGACAACTGGATAGACGAGGACCCGACAAGGGACAAGAGACACGGGTGAGATTAAAGACACGGAGGGTGATCAGGGGAACAAGACACAGCTGGGATCAAAACACACAGTAAAAACAGTCCTAGCTAATATCTGCAGTCTTCCTTATCTCTGCTCACAGGGTGTCAACCAATCAGCCAATCAGTGCCACGGAAAATGAGCTGCCAGCCAATAGCATGTCAAGTTGCACTGCACTAAGGCATTTCTGCTTCCTCATCTTTTTAATTTTCTTTAGAATGCTCTAGATACCTTTTACAAAATAAAATCAGTGAATAGTCAAAGTCTCTTAGAGTCTCGTTCCACAGAAAAATCACAGGTAAATTCACACTGAATAAGCAGAGGCCCACTGAATGTCGACCAGAACTGATTATGAAAGGAGCTGCATTAGCATAACTGATTTGGATTGAACTGAACAGAGGCGTTGAAAATGTTTCTGAAGGCCCTGATGACTGGTGACGTTGTGATGGATCCGCCTTTAGATTACAACCGGCATCGACTAAAGCAGAGAAACCTTGACGCCGACTGAGAAAGCAACATGGTGCGGACTGTCTTCTCCATTTGGCGAGCGTCTCCGAACATTAAAACCAGATGTTACCAAAACCCCACAGATGTGAGGAAGATTCGAGGCTGAGATCTGGATGGCATGTTTGAAATTTGCTGCCCACCGGACCATAAGGTCTCTCTTCTACCTGCTATTCAAGCACAATAACGGGAGTGCAGCTTGTTTTTATGAGTACATTGTGTGAAAACAGCATGGAGAACAGACACCTATGTGAGACGGGGAGGATTCATGGCTCACAGAGCGAGTGTGTGTGCGGAAACCACAGCGCCGTTCCTCCGCCAGATCAAAACAACCGTCCTGCCAGGACGGGCCTCTTTCTGGTTTGTTTACATTAAGAACTTTTCCAGACAGCAGGTGCGAAACGCCTACGTGCGCCGAGAGCAACACGCCTCCACAAAGAATGTGGACTGCCTCTCGAAAACGTGGACGTGAAAAACCGAGGGCCGATCCGCTTTTCGGCTGTGGCGAGCAAACAGGCCTGGCACACCTGTGGCCTGCGTCGCAGCAGAACAGGAACAACGAGCCCGGCGCTTTTAATGTCGGTTTGATTTGCACGGCACGTTTTAAAAAGCGAAACGTCCTGGCTCCGCAAGCACGACAGGGTCTGAGGCAGGGCCGCAATGAGACGGGAGAGGATGATGGAGCGCCGCAAAATGATTCATCAGCAGACGACTTGGCTGTCCTCCCCTCGACTCCGTCTCCGTCCCGATCTCTCCTGGGATCTCAAAGCCTCGACTGAAGAAGTCTGATTGCAGAGCTCCTCAATCATCTCCCGCTAAAAGGTGTCCGCTCAAAACTGCAGTGGGCTTGGCAGCCGCGGCGGAAAGGTCACGGGTCGGAGGGACGTTTAACTGGAGGAATGAGGACAAAACAGATATCCAGGCTGTTATCCTGAAAAATGATTGATCGCGGCCTTTCAAAGAGTAATCCAGCTGCCTGATGAATGAAGGCACATGGAGAAAACATTGAGCAGGCCCTGTCGCAGAAAATACTCTTTTTTTTCTTGCTGTGACCCCTAAAGCCGACTCCTTAGTCTAACATTCAATATAAGCAAACGCATCAAAAGTTTTGTTTTTTCAAGTCACCTCGTTACAGTGAGGTCTTGAAGCAAAAGTACATTTCAAAAATACAGTCACTCTTAGTAATGTTTCAGCTTAAGGGGCACACGATGAAAATATCGGTGAACAAAGGCTTCAGTTTGAATATAAAAGCTTTGGTATTGTTCACCAGCACTTCTCCAAGAGACTGATGTTCATTTAACACCGAATCCAAACCCAGCAGAGTCACTGCAGCCTCTTCCTGAGGTTTCCCCATTTGTCATCTGCAGCCGAGCGACTCCCCGCGTCGACACGCGTTCCCCCCACAAAGGGCGCGCTCGTCGTCTGGGTCCGAGTGTGCCGGGGCTAATCTGTACCAGATCTCCGCGCTAATCCTCCAAATGCCTGAGGATCGACATGATGACCTGTTTAAGATGGAGACGATGACACAAACACGCACCTGACTTGCAGGAACGGCAGTAAAACCTCGCTGTGCCGCTTCCTGCTGAGGGTTCCCAGTCGCCGGCGCAGAGGAAACAAAGCAGTTCCCTCCATACACGATTGCAGCTGCGTGTGCTTGTAAAGGATGCCATTAGGCGAACGCACAATACGGACAAACAAAGAGGGCTAAGATTATATAAGGCACTGGAGGAAGCATCACACATGACCTCCCTGAAAGGTTGTGGTGATCACCATGCAGGCCATCAGAAAGCTCAATCAGCTGCTTCTCTGCATTTCTATGCTGCCTTTCATTTTTGTTCTGCTTTAGAGCGACGGCGGCGCAGGGAGAGCACCAGCAGGTACAAGTGGGTTGAGGCCTTTGTCCTGCAGAAACCTTGATAACATCTGTCTGCTCAGCTCTGTTTTCACTGCCCTGCCTGGTGTGTGTGAGTGAGTGAGTGACTTTCTGTGAGTGGTGTGCAGCACAACCTATTTGGTTACTGGTGGACGAAGTGTTCCCACCCATCTCCACCCAGTCCTGAAATACACCAGTCTGCATAGTCAGACACACACACACACACACACACACACACACACACACCGTTTTTCACGCGACGCTATCGGGCTTGTACAAACACAAAGTGCTGACTTGACGGTCGTCCGGCTTTGCAGAAACCCTTGTGAGGCCGGTGTGTTCACCAGAAAACCGCATCCAGGCACGCCGGGGGAAAGTTGAGTGGAAGGAAAAGTCTAGTGGAAGAAGTCATACAGTGAATGTTAATCTTAGATTTTTTATTTTTCAAAGTTTGTTTTTAATTAATAATAATGAAAAAAATCACAGTCTGACAAGATCTACTGACATAGATAGATAGATAGATAGATAGATAGATAGATAGATAGATAGATAGATAGATAGATAGATAGACAGACAGACAGACAGACAGACAGACAGACAGACAGACAGACAGACAGACAGACAGACAGACAGACAGACAGACAGACAGACAGACAGACAGATAGATAGATAGATAGATAGATAGATAGATAGATAGATAGATAGATAGATAGATAGAGATAGATAGATAGATAGATAGATAGATAGATAGATAGATAGATGAGCCATCTGGTTCATTTGTTTACAGCCTCCAAACTGCACAGCGGGAGACGCACTCCCCCCTGTCGGTGGTGCGTGGAACTGATCCAGGTCATGAGGGGCTGGACTGGATCCAGGTACGAGAGAGAGAGAGAGAGAGAGAGAGAGAGAGAGACTGAAGCTGGCAGGATGATCAAGAGGATCTCTCCTCCTGAGCTCACAGTTCGCAGAAACACTGAAGCAGCGCGCAGCGAAGGAGAGCAGCTCATCCAGATCGGTGCCAGACGCACGCTCGGATTATTTTCTTCTTCTTCTAGAGACTTTTTATTCTTTTTTTTTATTGTATGAAGAAAAGCTACATTAAAATCTGGTGCTTTATTGTCCCACGTTCGGAATATCGCTGTGGATCAAACAGGAGCAGCTCTCGACGCGCAGGTAGGCTCTATAGTTGGATGAGAAATAAATGCAACTTTAAGCGGTTGAATCTCCTCTGATGTTTGAGTTTGTCCCTCTTCCTGCAGAAATCTCGATCAGAAGTTAAAGGGGATCGTTTTTTTCCAAGCGGCTGATTTTCACAATAAGAGAAGAAGAAGAAGGAAAAAGCTGCCAGGTCGACTTTGTCTAAGAGCTTTTTTTTTTTTTTTTTTTTCCCCCAATTCTGCCGCCCCAGAAATGGTGGGGCACCTACATTTACAAGCGATGGATGAGAGCCTGAAAGGAAAGAACCGTGACGGGCTGCTCGACAGCCCGGACTCGGGTTTGCCCCCCAGCCCCAGTCCGCCCTTCTGCTCGCTGTCTCCGGCTCCCGTCGAGACGCGCTCCGTCGACAGCAGCCACGGATGTTACAGAAAGGAGAGCAGAGAGGGCAAGCTGGTGAGGAACCACTGTACTGCCTCATCTGTTGTTGTTGTTTGTTTTTGCTTGTTTTTGTTTGAAGAGTCGTCCTAGTGCAGCTTTACTGTGATTGGCTCCGTGAGAATGACGATCATGACAGAGCTGACAGGGGACAAAGTGAAAATGTGAGAGGATTTCAGCTTTGGAGCAGAAACAGACTTGAGATCAGTTCCCTCTTTCACATCTGGAATCTCTCTTTCTCTCTCTCTCTGAATTCCTCACTTGCAAACCTCTGATCTGGCTCTCAGTGCAGATGCCACCGGCCCCTCATTAGGGCCCTCAAGGTGTCCCCTCCAGATGAGGCTTTCATGGCTTTTAAAAAAAAAAATTAATATTATTAGCAGAATGACATAAAGCTCCAGTTAAAACGAAACAGAAAGGTGACTTTAACACCAACCAGTGATGACTCGAGATTCTGGGTTGGGTTTTCCTGATGAATCAAATGTAATCAGTGGGCCCCGCGCCGCTCTCCTGCATCTGTACACAACCCCCCTCAGCAGATTTCTGTTGAAACCTGTTTCCTGCACACTAATTGCTTGTAAAACAGACCCGGACCTCCCCAACCTGTTTGAAGAGAAGCAGCTGTGCGCCTCCTGACCGATCCGTTCGACCATGAATGATTTGATTCTCCTCTTTGACTTCATTAAGCAGAATAATAATAAGGAAAAAACAAAAATAGTTGTAGGAAATTACAGCTTCCAATTTTTCATCATATCCTTCCCGATGCTTGTGGTGCTTTTAACGAGAGACCAGAGAATTTGAGAGAACCCCTCCCCTACCTGTTGCTGACCGCTGCTGCTCAGCTGGCCCAGGAAAATCTGGGCCAGCTGAGGCTGTTTGAAAAACAAAGTTGGTTGCAAAAACAGAAATTAATGACAAGCATGTAAAGGAATCCACTCACCAATATGGCAACACTGTTACACAGTGGCAGCGTCTTAGAGGTGTGCTGCATATTTTGCTATCGAAACTGAGCCAGTTTTGCCGATACGATACACATCCCGATACCGATACTTTCATTTCAGTTTGCTATGTTATCAAACTTCTGACATTGAGGTGTTTTTGTGGTTTTCTCTTGGAATCATTTTGTTCTAGCAAAGGACAGAATTTGAAGGTGTCTATAAAAAATTTGAACAACAGAAACAAAAACAATAGAACAACAGGACAGATTTGTGTTTTCCTCAGTAAGAAAAATGGAAAAATTGATGAATTTTTGAGAGGAAAAAAAAAAAAAAAATATATATATATATATATATATATATATATATATATATATATATATATATATATATATATATATATGACCCATTCATATATTTTGTTTGAGGTGGAGTTGAAAAAACTGAACCTGAATGTGTGAAAGTAAAGTATCGGTTACCATGCTATCATCAATCCGATACCAATATTGACTTGGCATTGATATGATCATTATTATTTTGACAATTTATGTCAAACGTTGCTTTCTTAGTTAAGCCATGATAATCGTTTTGCACTTGTTGCAAAATAAGTTGACTTTCTGTGAAGTGAATAACGGGAATTTGGGTCATAGATTCATACTATGCAGAAATATTATGAAGAAATGATACTTTTGATCAACATATTCATATGAATCTCACGACTGCTCTGTCTGTGTTTAAAGAGCGTTACAAACATGCTCTAATCGTCTGACATCTGATATTATTATGCTCCAGATGCGCCTTATTTAGGAGTAAACTACTTGGATCAGCCAGCAACGCTTCAGACACGCAAAAAGACGCTGCTTTTGGTTTTTACTCCTAATCCTCCGAATGCTGCAGACGCTCTCTGCACCAGCAGACATTCATGTGCACAAATCGACGTTTATTCTTCCAGAGATGCTTGCTGTCTATTATCCACAGAGTCAGTGCATGTTGAAGCACTTATTCAGCTGAGGACAGTCGCCCTTCTCCGCCCCCACCAAGAAGAAACGACAGGATTTGATTAATGGCAACCGCAAGCGTTTTCTCGTCTTCCAAAGTGAGCGAGAATGAATTTTAACGAGGCATCCCGCAGTGACCCATGTGTCACACGCCGCCCCCTCGGGGCGGATCGCGAGGGAAAGTCTAATGCGTGTCAGTCCCCGGCTCCTGAAGCCTCCCGGGACGTGCCTGCGCAGGTCGAGATGACGGCTGAAGTGTGAAGGAGGGAACGGAAAAGCAGAGTCTCTGCAGTGGAGCGTCCGTCAGGACAGGAAACTCTGAATCCTCTCGGATCAGTCCGGCTCTTCCAAACGTCGGCCTCTGCTGGACTCGGCTCCCTTTTTGTGTGTGTGTGCTTTTCACGTTTTACACATTTCCTGGTGTGTTTTTGGGTTGTTTTCACATGCCGCACAAAAACAGTTCCCCTTTCTCCCCCATCAGCTCTATTTCGGGGTGCAGGGTGTTTGTCAGAGCTGTGGTGTAAGCTCGGACAGCTCATACCAGGTTAGTGTCTGTTCACTAACCTGGCTGAGGTTCAAGATGTGTAGATGCCAAACAGTTTCTGTTTTCCAACACAAAGCCGTTCTTAAGACGTATAGACAGTATGATGATCTGGTCATCTTTAAGCCAGGATGACGACACGTTTTACTGCACAGAGTCCAGGTATTTCTAGACTTCTCAGTCAGTGATGTTGATTTTACTTAAAACAAGATGAAATTCACTATGAGTATATGGGAGTTATTTCTATAGTAAGCAGAAAAGAAGGAAGGAGGGAGGGAAGATAGGACACAAAAAAGACAGTAAGAAAGGAAAGGCAGGAAGGAAAGTCACAAGGATGGAATGAAGGAAGAAAACAAAGAACAAGAAGGCTTTAGGAAATAAAAAGGAAAGACAGAAGGAAGATGCATAGGGAAGGAAGGTAGGGTGGAAGGATAGACAGAAGGAAGAAAAGGAAATGAGACAAAGTTTCAGGGAGGAATGAAGAAAGAATGAATGTCTAAGAAAGACTGAGGAAAACTTATAAACCAAAAGAAATAAAGGATGGAAGGGCTCAAGGAAGGAATGATGCAAAGATGGACAAAGACGAGAAGAAGAAAAGCCTGGAAGTAGGAAGGTTGGAGGAAGAACACAGGGAAGGAAAGAAGTAAAGGCACAAAGAAAGAACAAATGACACGAGAAAGAAAGGAGAGAACATTTAGAGAGGAGGATCAGCAACAAACCCTGGAAATACAAACGACTTTCCAAATTCCTGCTTCCCTTTTCCATTCTTCTCTGAAAACTGCAGAAATCAAACTGCAGCCTTTTCCAGACACCGTGGAAGCAGCACTGCTCTGAGTTTTGCTCCGGGCCGAAGGAGAGCCCTGAGTTAGCGTCGAGTTTCATTACTGCTCCTAAATAGTTTCACGCACTTCCATCAAACTGAGAGCAAACACAGGATGTAGAGTCAGAGGCTTTTGCCGCAAAGAACAGCCGGCAGCTGGAAATCTGTGTTTTGCTTGGCACCGCTCTGCCCTCAGCGGCCGGCTCTGCATTGTGCATTGTGGACTGTGGACTGCTCAGCTGCAGACCATTTCTTCTGGGTTTCCAGGAGGGGTTTCTGCTTTGTTGAGGTGACACGCTGCCTGTAGAGGTGACTGCCCTCCTTTCACCAGTGTTTGCAGAGCCAGAACCCTCGGCGGAGGAGGGTTCCTGTCAGAACCTACTGACAGGAAGGCCCTTTCTGCGGGAAAGCCGATCGCACACACATTCGTACAGGGTGTTCGGGTCACGTCAGAAAACGGGCCGGCCGCCTGTTGTCTCGCTCCGTTCAGGCCTCGGCGGCGAGTCCAGCAGCTGCGCCGCAGCTCAGAGAGGGAGCGCCGCCGCCCTTGGCCTGCTCTTGCTCGTCTCTGCTGGTGGCATGCGCAGCCGGGCCGTGGCATGTGACGGCCTCCTCTGCATGTAACCCGAGAGCTGCAGAGAAGCAGATCTCCACCAACCAGAGCGTCTGTACCGAGGCGACAATGTAGGACGATGTTAGGGAAAAGCTTGACTCGTACGTCGGCTCGTCGCAATGCACCGATTAATCGCGCGATAAATGAAAACTAATAATAATTTCCTTTTCTACGTTTTATTGGGGTTTTTTTCTCTTTATTCTCCTTCTACCAAAAAGTGGATGATAAAGTCTTCAGTCTGATGCTTTGGTCTCAACAAGTCCCTTGTTTTTGACAGACAGTTTTGTTTACAGAGACTTTATAGTTGATTTTATTTGTTGTTTCTGTATCTTGTTTATTTATTTTGGATATTGAAAATGTCTTCCAGTTCAAGTCTGGTTTGTTGATCTTTCACAACGTGTTCTTGCATTAAGATACCATTACCAATATATCACTTGAAAATGGTCTCAAAACAACAATATTTATCGCTTATCGCAATAACTTCTGGGACAATTTATTGTCCAGCACAAACTTGTTGTCGTGATTTCAAACTTTTCCATTCCCCTTTAACCTCTTCATGTTCCCCAAATTACAAACGCAGAGATTAAGGTAGTCGGTTGAGATCTACAGTGCTACCCCTAAATAAAGTCCAGTGTAGCCAGTCGCCTTCAGGAGTCTCTTCGCTAGTAAACAGGGAGCTCCTCCTTTGTGTGATTTAATCTCAGCATAAATGGAGCTGATCTCACGGTTCAAACGGCATCACAAAGCAGACAGGTCAGAGAGAAAAGCTAAGGGGAAATTTATGACAGGGTTAGGTTATGAAACAATATACCCAGCTTTGGCGTGGAACGCTGTTCGATCCATCACCTCAAAAACAGCAAGAGAATGGTGCAGCTGCAAAACGTTCACCTGAAGGGACGAGCTGGGCAGGGAGCGCGTTCATCAGCCGAGCAAAAGGTCATCGGTGACTCTGGTGGAGCTGCAGAGATATAAAGCTCAGGTGGGAGAACCTACTGAAAAAGAAAATACATATTTTGTCATTTCCCATGAAGCATTTCTCATAATAATTTTTGCGATTTGCTGTCATCCTGACAAATTTCAGTTGTTGATGGGAAATAAGATAAAAACTAAAACGGACAGTATGATCGGAAACGTTCAGTTTCTTCACTGTTTGTTTCATGGAAGCATCAATAAATATCAGTCAGTTTGGGAACATGATTTAATGCAGTTACTGTGTGCAGTTTAGAGATATAAATCAGACTTTCTTAAGTAGACTGCAGCCTGAAGAAGCAGATCGTAAATGCTCGTATTTTTCGAGGACATTATTTCTGTGTGGTGCTATGAATGCTGTGCCATGCAGTCACAGCCAAACTGTTACTTAAAAAATAAATAATCAATAGGGATTTTATCACAATCTTTGTCGTTATCACAATAGTACCACAAAATGTCACGCTGAGATCCTAAGTCCATGTCTCCCGCCTTCAGTCCAGTCAAAGCCCAGACCTAAATCCAGTTGAGAGTCAGGCTGCAGGACATCAAGTGGCAATGCTCACAATATACTGTGCAACTTTAACTGAGAGTCTGCAAAGACATGCAAATTGATGCACACAGACACTTCCCTCTCAATATTTTTTAAGTCCAATATTTTTGACCTCTGGAGCAAAAGCTAAATTAGTATAAAATACAACAAAGTTTGTGTCTATTGGGATGAAATCTGAGGTTATATACAAACATGTTTGGATCTGATGAAGTCTTGAGGTCGAATTGGTTCTCATCCACAGTTTGGTCAAATCTGCTGCTACCTCTATCTGCCTGGTGGCGATGCCGCTCACATTCGCCTCGTTTCCTGTCTGCCCGTTCGCCCCACATGAAATTCTGGAGAAATCCACACAGTTTACATTGTAATTTTGTGGTTTCTTCAAATGTTCCCCACTGGGTGTCACGAGGAGCAAAGAGGGCGACAGGTTTAGCCGCACGCTGAGCTGCATGCGGACAGTTTGACGTTAAACACAACCCTGCTAACAGAAGCCTTCCCTGCTTTCTTTGCACCGAGTGGATTGGAAATAAATCTTAAAAAGAGCGTCGTTGTCAGGTTGTTGAATCTGAAATGAAAAAAAAAAAAAAACAACAAAACTGGAACTTCCTCATTTTTTTCGGTCTGTGTGTGTTTGTGTGTTTTAGGAAAGAAAGACTCAGTGATCCAGTAAAGACATCTTCAATACTTTACTCCACCTTAAGCTCTGATTGTATTTAACTGTTTACGGCTCACAAGATATGTAAAGGTGGTAATTCTGACCTACTTTTTGGAAGTCATGTCCGATCAGTCTGTCATTAAAATCATTAGAGGCAGCCAGAGCAGCCATTAAAGGAAAGGCCGGGTTAAGAAAACAGAAAAATAATCTCCAAGCGAATGAGCGAAGCGAGACGGAGCAGCGCGCCGCGTCTCCACCGCCGGCGCGGTTGTTGTTTTAAACTTTGGCGTTGACCTTCCCTGCTGATCTTTGCTGTGTCACTTCTCTATCACCTCATTATCCGTTTCCTTCGCTCCGCTGGGCTCCGAGCAGCGCCACAGACACGCTCTCCCACTTTTCTTGCCATTTTTTCCCTCTGATTTTACATCAGGCAAAGGCTGGTTTGAAACTCTCAAAGTGTTACCGTCAGTGAAACCAACCGGGTTTCATGACAGTGAGAAATATCAATGTCAAATACCAATTGCTTGTGTTTCAAACAGAAAAGCAGCAATTATTCCTTCTGCAGTTACAGTCGTGCTTTGTACATCTGTGGACGAATCCATATATTAGCATTCACTGTCATAAGAAACATAACATTTTGTTTTCTCTCTGATATTAAGGTAGATATTGGATTGCTGGATGGATTGGTACTTTTCAAAATAGCATATATATCATGCATGCATGTTGGAGATTAAATTTGAGGTTCAAAATTTGATATTTTAAACATTAAGGTGCAATTAAAGGAAAACTGGGGAAATAATTCAAATCAATGAACGAACACTCTGAATATCATCACTTTACAAATATAATGGCCAAAGTAAATTTTTGACAAAAGACAATTAAGACAAGCAAGTCATGTTTTGAGGGATGTGGGGGGATCACTTATCATCTTGTTTAAGGAAGATGACGATATTCAGTAAATACATCCCATAATTCATAGAACTCATGCTGATTTACAGGAAAGGAATCCTGAAGTCCCCCACCTGTTGCTGGAAGGAAGCAACAGGTGGGGGATGGGCAGCACTTTGAGTAACCCAATAATTGTCCCTGGATTCTCACTGAAAGTCTTTAAGATGTAGAAGCACAACAGAAAATGTAATTTGTTTGGAGACTGCCAACGCTACTGCCTCCTGCTGGAGGAATGAAAAAAGTTTTGTGGCTTTTAAAAGGAAGAAATATTAACTTGAAAACATAAGATAATAAGGGCAAAGTTGCCGGATGAGTGCTATGATAGTTCTCAGCCGGGAGAGTTTGCTGAGTGGGGGTGGGCTCAACGGGGTTGTTAATCTGGGTCGTTTACTCTGTTGAAACCATCAACAAGGCTGCATTTCTCTTTCTTTCTTTTTTTAACAAGAATTTCTTGAAAGGCGACATAAAAAGTAGTTCAACTCGTCTTACATGGAGCTGTGAGAAAGTGAGTCACGTATTTCCCCCCCCTCCTTCCCACAGCTGCCCTACCTGCTGCTGAGCTGTGCAGGAACAGACCCGAAGTCTCGCATGCACCCGGTGTTCTACGGAGAGAGCATCGAGGTCAACACCAAACCGGAGCAGGAAATCAAGTTAGTCGTCATACAGTCGGTTCGCTCTCGCTCGCGTAACCACCGACATGTTCCTAAATGGGCCCCCTCTCCCTTTCAGGTGCACGTCTGCAGTCAAGTACGACTCCGACAAGCACTACCGAGACCGGGTGGTGTGCGCCCCGGTTCCCATGCCCACTTCCTTCAGCGAGACGGTGGTGGCGGTGCAGAACTGCACTTGGAGAAGCTACAAGACGCAGGTGTACCTGGAGCCGCGGCAGAAGCCCGTCAGCTACCAGAGCACCACCATCATCTACCCAAAACACGCCAAGAACACTTACCGCACCACCCTAAATTACAACCCCACGGGCGCCCGGCGCTGGTTCGTGTCCACGGTGCAGCTGGAGTCCAGCGAGGACACGAGCCCCTGCGTCATCTACACGGAGGACCTGTAGGGCTGCATGGCGCCATCAAGGGACTTCATTTGAACTCTTACCTTTTATTTTTTCAGAAAAAAACAAAAAATAGTGTGTTTTTCTCACGATAAGGAATTTGGACAGATCCACACCGAAAGAGAAGCGCCTGGAGTTTTAAACACCCGCTCTTAACCTGGGAGTCAGAGTACTTTTGATCTTCTGCTGTGGCGGTCTTGATTGGGGCCTTCGATGCTCTGCAGCTGCCCTGCAGTGGCTAATGTCTTATTTAGCACGAGAGCTAACAAGCTCAGGGCTTGTGCTCCCCCTTTTGGTGGGCCTGGAGCCTCGGTAATGGTAACCTTCAGATTCCTGGTGTCTGTATATACAGAAAAGGGGAAAAAAATAAAACATACTGACACGTGCTGTGGATTTTACCCAGTCACACCGATGCAAAGTGTTCTGAATATAGCTCTATTGCACTTGTTTTCTACATGTCGCAGTTCCCTCAGAGGACCTGGCGTAGTGGTGGGGAATTTCTGTGCTGCCTCTGAAAAGTGGACCAAAAATAGTTTATTTCCTTTGAGTAACTCCATACGCTGGAGACCAGAAAACTCCAAAAGCGACTCTGAGCAGCATCTCTTCTCATCAGCCGAGGTTTCTGAGGACACGAGCACACGGTGATCTGAAAACCATGCCAGATAATCACCGACTTAGCTTTCCATTTTGAACTCGGTAGACAGGATCCTATCTTGGTGGCGCTGAAGGGCTGCGATAAAAACGCTGGTCACAACTGAGTTCTATTCATTAAAATGTAGAAACTGGAATTACTTGGGACTGTGTGGCTGTAAGACTGCATTGTCTGAACTTAAGGGACAAGTGGAGGGAAGGGCCGTTTAGGGGAAGGTGAGTGAATTTCACACAGGAAATAAAAACTAAAGACAAGGGAGAAAATGTATTTAGTATGAATCCAGAACAGACGGGCACAGAAGCTAGCAGCTTGTTCAAGAAGAGCTGAGACCAAAGGTCGATCCGTGGAAGTGCGACACCAATAAACTTCCTGTGGAAAACAGGTCTGAATGGAACATGACTCATCTTTAGTAATAATAACACTAAATTTACGCCAACTTAAACGACAAAATGTATGATCTTGACTGCTTTATTTTTGTGCCATACAGTTATTCTGACCTGAACATGTTCTCTGCTCAGTACATGTTTCATACAGGAAGATCACTAGTGACGGACCGCCTCCAATGAGCCTCGTTGCGTAAATAACCAGTCAACGCAGGCGGGACAATGTTGCTGTTAGCTTCGGCCTTCAGGACCAACTAGTCTGAGAGTATACTAAATATATATATGGGCCAGTAAACTGAAAAAATTGAAATATTTTACAATTTCAAAGATTTTATATCAATGCTCCTTTTATGCCAGAGAAAGTGCTGTAGCTACCAGAAGGTGCTGCACACTGCCTCACAGCTGCCTGAAAGAAGGTCACTACAGTTTCCCTGACTTGCAAAAAAAAAAAAAAAAGTTTCGCTGCTTGAAAACTTGGGTGTGGAAGCAAAGGAGTGGCCCAGATCAGTCGTGTTTACACAACAACATTTAAAAGCAATCTAAAAAAGATAACGACATCGTTAGCAGATAAATCTGGATGTTATGGGCGTGTTGGTGTCGCATTTTAACTCGAGGCTGCCATCCCGGCCCATGCAGAGTTTAAAGCAACCTATGGGTCAGAGTGGAGGCGGACTGACAGGAGGACAGTGCGGTGAGATGGGTGAACAGTAAGTGTAGACAGAAAGAGGAATATTTGCAAAGAACGAATACATAAGAAAGGGGAAATGGTTCTCGCTGAGGTTTTTGGGGTTTTTTGTACCAAACAAGAAGTTCCTGGGAGGTTTGAGTTGGGCCTTGTGTTGACGGTCTGTGATACGTTTGGTTCTGATGGAAGAAAGCAGATGGATCTCATATTTAATACCTTGGAGGTTTTATGCGTGATTATTGTTTTTTTTTTGTGTGTCTTTAACACTTGACGTAAGATTTGATACTGTAAAATATTGTCCTGTTGTATATGTGGCATCGAGGCACTTCATAATTCTCTTTATATTTTTGTACGTCAATCATTGTTCCAGTTCCAATGAGAGGTATTATTTAAGAAGATGTATAACCTTTAATGAATAATTATAATAATAAAGCAAAACAATTCCCAAACGGTTCCAGCTGTTTATTTGCTTCTAGTTCTTGCTTCTTATTTTCAGCTTTTAAGCAAGACAGTCTAGGAACTGCTGACCCATCAGTTTCAATCAAAATAAATAACTTGTGTCAGTTCAGCAAGTTAATTCACAATAGTAACATTTTATTAATTTTCCACAGTCGTGGGGTTCTCCACACTGCAGAAGTGTGGACCCGGTGTCTGTAAATCGGGGCACCGGTAAATATCAAACTGCAGATAGAACAACAGCATCTCCTGCAGCAGAGCAGAGTTTTGGACCAGCGCCTCTCGTCTCCCTCTCCACAGACACTCACATCATTTTGAACAAGACTGAGGCGCCCCCTGGTGGAGCGGCGAGGAACATCCCAAAGTCGTTTGGGGTTTTTTGGGGTTTCACAAAACAAGAAACTGTTTACATACAGACACATGCACACAAACCTACTTAATAAATTCTGACAGTTTTATTTGCTGTTTTGGTTTAAGTGTAGCATTTGTTCACCTTCTTGATTGCTGATGTACCAGATGCTTTTCTTGCCTTGTAGTCATTTGCAGGCCTTCAAATACGGACGACGACAGCTGGAGGAAAACGGAGGAAGCGTGGAAACCTTAGACTGCCGTCTTAACTGGGAACATAGTGAGCGGCAAACTGGAAATAATGGCGACGTCTTGAAACATCAGCCAGCTTTAGATGGGAGAAAATGGCGGCGACAGTGAAGATAAAGATAACGTCGCTTTAAAAAGACAATAATTTAAATTTGCTGTGCCTGTCACAAAATAACACGGAGTTGAAAAGGTGCGTTTGAGCGAGGAGGTCGGTAAAAATATGTCAGGAGAAATGGGCAACAATTCAAGCCAGCTAATGTAGCCATCTTTGTGGAAACACTCAGACACGTGACCCAAGTTTTTTTAAATATACAACTTTGAAGTAAAAATAAAAACACATATTTTAGCATTTCTAACCAAGCTAAAAGTTTAGTCAGATATATTTATGCTGTATGTTTGTTTTTTCAATTTATAAAATGTTGCAATATTTATAACACGACTGGAATACAGTTGGATCATCAGTTCTACACTTTATAAACAAGAGTTTTATCTACTTCAATAAAAGAGGATCCCGTAGAATAAAGTCGCTTTCCAAATATGATGTCTGAAAGATTTGCCTGCACCGCCCCCTGCTGGCGCGTAGCCGTCATTACTCCAGACCTCAATGAAACCAAGTGGTGAGAAGAAAACAAAGAACCTAAATCCACGTAATGCAGCTCTGACACCATGAATGGCAATAAGCTTTTTATTTAAACATTAAGGCAGTGTCTTTTTTTGTGTGTTTTTCATTTTTACACTGCTATCCACAAAGCTTGCTGGTGGGCATGTAGAATTTAACCATGTGAATATTTCTTTTCATAATACCACCCTCGAAGCAAGCCACATAAATATTTACATCTCTTCAATTCTATATACAATCCTTGATATTATACAGTGGGTTATAATAAAAAAAATGCACAAAATGGTTGAACAATGTACTGTTGTCAATCATTCCCCCGCCCCCTTTCTCCTACGATTGGACAGTCCAGATTTCGTCCTTTTAGGTTTTCAATGATTCATTTAATTTCTGCGAACACAGGTGTGCAATGACAAAAAAAAAAAGAAAAAAAAAAGTACAAATAAACAATATAAATGGTTGCATGTTAAAAAGTCATTTCAGTGTACTTTTAAAAACAACACGTTAGTCATCGCTTTAGGGAACAGCTGGATATGGCTTCGTCTGGTTTTAGCGTCACATTCCAACGTTTCAGCAGTGGCAACGATGAGAACACACACACACACACACGCACACACACACACACACACACACACACACACACACACACACACACAGAGAGACAGAGAGGGAGCGACGACGTGTTTCTGCCTCTACTGGAGTCAGTAGGAGGAGCTAAAGCACGGCTTAGAGGACGGGCGAGGAAGAGGAGGCGGTCCTATAACAGTCGGGTCTGCGCTGAGATGAGTTAAAAAACAAAGAAACAAACAAAAGGAAAAAAAAAATAAAAAGACGCCAGAGAATCTTATTGAACGTCTCGCACAGAAATACTGCCTTTAAAAGGTGAGACTAATTTCAAAGAACCGTCTTCCCCTCCGCTACCTCTGACGCGTACAGAGAAGGGAGGTGCAATGAAGTACACTTAAAGTAGTTTACAGGTTGAAAAGTGAAGAAAAACTTCGGATGGAGGTCCATGTAAGCTGTGCAGGATGACTGAGTGAAACCATTAAAGCTAAGGCAGTGGGGAGTAGAGGAGATGGAGGGGAGAAAAAAAAAAAGCAAACACATTGAAAAGGATAGCGGGACGTTTGATTTAAATCCGTTTGAACCCTTGCGAAGCAGTCGGCGAGGGGGGTAAAAGAAAACTTGTGCGTCACTTAATGAACTTCAGCACTAGAATTTGTAAAATAAATGGCACTTAACACTAAGAATATTTCTTAACTGTACAAAATCTGCCCGGATGTGGAGATGTATCCACGCACCCCCACGAGGCAGTAAAAGCTCCGAGTCGGGACTCCAGCGGGCCGGCGGAGGCCGGCGTGGGGGTGGGAAGTCACAGAAAGATGGCTTTGTTTTTCTTTTCTTTTTTCAAATCACCTCTTTAATGCAAGGGAACTCCAAATTCAGAGCTTTATCTTGTTCTCCACTCTGACGTGATTTGCTTTTTTCTTTTTTATTTGTTTCTTACTGCGAGTGGAACAACAAGAAGCAGCACGACGCCTCCGCAGTGGAATTTCTGCGCCGCCTCGTTAAAAAAGAAAAAACAAAAAATGCCATCGTGATCACTTCGACAACTAAGTGCTTTATATGCAAAGAACTGTTCCGACAAACACAAACATAGTTAATATAAAAAAATAAAAAAAAAAAACAGCAAGAAAGTGTCACTTGCCTCAGTGCCAACCATCTGGCAGATCCTCCTAGTTCCCCAAACGCACAGAGTCATGACATCAGCAATGAACTGATTAGTTTACCCTGTAAACCTCTGATATGATCCCACCCCCCCAATATATCTTTGCAGATAACAGACGACAAATGACACCATCAAAAAACGTTCACCACCAAAAATGTACTAAAAAAGTCGCAGCTCACGAAACACAGGACTGGACTGACAGTTCCAGAGAGAGAAACAAAAAGAACCAAAACCAAGGAAAAACATAAAAAAAAAAGAAAAGAAAAAAGAAACCAAGATGCTGATTCTCCTCCTGTGTCCTTTTTGCTTGTGTTCTTGTAGTGGTAGCGGACCGCCGGCACACGGAGCTCGCCGAGAACAAAACAAGAGCGTCTCCCGCTGCGGGAGTCGGGTCCAACATGGCGTCGTTACAGCCGTCTGCGGAGGCGTGAGCACGGAACGGCGGCACACGCCGAGCGCACGGCTCGATGCGTCTGTGTTGATAAGGCCAGTGAGGAATAGTAGTAAAAAAAAAAAAAGAGAAGAAGTGATTTGTCCTTCAGAGTAGTACTGGAGTGAATGCATAACACGTAAGTGCGAACGGACACACAAGAGCCACAAAGATTCGTCCTCATCGTCCAGGGAGGAGGACTGCTTCACGGTGAACAGCGGTGGTGGAGGGGCGGGGGGACGAGGCGCAGCACCGTCCTCTGAGTGTGTTTCTGTGTGTGTGAAGCAGTGCGTTTTCTGGTCACTCGCTGTCAGACAGGGTTTCATACTGAGAAACAAGCAGAGGCTTGGGCTCCTCCTCCCAGGTGCGGCCCTGGCCGGGTCCGGGCCCCGCGCCGCCCTGCTGGCCAGATGAAGGGGAATGGGCTGAAACTGTCCCGCTGGGGAAACGCATGATGAGCGGGCTGTATGGAAATGGGGTTGGTGTTGAGCCTGAATGAGAGGAGACAAAATCAATTTAAAAAATGGCTTAGCATCATTGTTAAGACATCATTGTGAGTAAACCAGGATTTTAATTGTATTGTAAGACAAATCAAACACCATGCTAATAGCGGTTTTAAGCTGCCATTAGCATGGCTAGCATAATTAAGACTGCCGTCTGTGTGGTTTCCCTACATAATATAATGTAAACCATTCATTTTAACTTGAGATTTTCAAATTAGCTGATAACATTTTCAATTACATTGAGTTTAATGGAAAACAGGCTCAAAATTATAAAACGGAGCAAAGCTTTTGTTCTACGGTCAGCCTTCCTGTTACCTGCTGAAAATCAAACTCTCTCTCTCACAGACATATTTCAAGATATGTAGCAGTTTCTTTTTAAATTGGCTTTTCAAGTAAACTCAGAGAAATATATTAAAAAAAAAAAGCCAAAGTCTTCCTTGGTCAGCAACTTTTCCTGCTTAAAGACCCACTTTTGTCCCCTTTGCTACAAAATAAAACTCACCCAGAGCCACAAAATTGATTTTCTAATTATGTTCCAATTAAAATGTTTTATTAGAAAAGCTAACAAAAGTAAAATTAAGATTTATTTATATTTTCAGGTTTATTACCAATAAAAAAATCTAATTTTGATCAAAACCAAATGATATAATTGTCAGTAAAACCTCTTAGTTTAACAGCTCAATGCATTATCTTAGATTAACCATCAACGTTCCTTGACACCCATCTGGAAGCGGCCTGCATCGTACCTGCAGACAGAGGCCGGTCCTCCCACACCCGGTTGGTGAGGGGGGTCCGCCGGTTGCAGTCTCCCTCTGAGTGGACAGACGACACGGACGAGGGACGCTCGCTGCCGGACAGACCCGGGCCCGGCGACTTGGCCTTGCGCCCGTTTGAACGTCCGCTGCCCTTTGAGGACTTGGAGCCGCCTGCAAACAGAGGAGGAGAAACTGATGCTCTTTGGATGGGTTAGAATGTAAACATGAATACATATGCTACGTTGCATTATTTTTTCTTACAAAGCTGATTACCAATGTGTGTTACAGATACAAAAATAATCGTCAAGGCAAAGTGATAAATTCTAAGAAGCTCTTTGACGTCTTCAAACTAAATTATTCCATGAGGAAAAGAACTTGGCCAGTCTGGGGTAGATGGACAGAATTAGGTCATGTCTGAAAAACCCTTGTGCAAATAGAACATTTAAAGAAAGGTTTGATGTTTTCACCAAAAAGAATGAATAAATGGTTCAGTCAAGAAGTCACACATTTTAAATTATTCAATTTAAAAGTGAAATTTGTTGACTCTACATTTGAATTACACACCGATAAATTTAGGGCATTTACCTCCGTTAAATGATAGTTAAGGCTTACAGCTATTAAAACCCAAATAATCTCACATTCTCAAAAAAGATCAATAAAAAAGGATTTTTAAGGTCAGCCTCATAAAAACCATATCCAGGTGCTCTACATTATAAGCATATATATAAGTGGAGTTAAAAGGGAGTCCGCTTGTCCTTTGAAGGTCATAAAAGGTCTTAATTTCATGCATCTAAAATGATCAAATGTCTTGAATTCATTACAAAAACTTAAGTTGAACTTTAATATGTTCATCACAGGACTTAAACTTTGCCTTGACAGGATGATTCAATCTTGTATATTCTGTGTACTTTTTTTCCAGGCAAGAATTTGAGTCACACTCACAACACTTTCATTGTGACTCAAGATGGTTGCGGCTACTGCTAAATAGCTACTAACATACACTTGCTAGTGAGCAAGCTTGATTTTTTTCCATCTATCATTGGTACATTTTGTCTTAAATTCCACTCATAATGGTCTTACAAATTCGTACATTCGAGTTGGTGAAGCCAGCAGAAGCCCTGGTTTAAAAACAGCGGCCCAACGCGGGAAGCGTCGACTATAAGTGAAGACTGGCACCTTGTGAGAAGGAGTCTTCAGCCCGACCGTCTGCAGACATGGCAGAAGCTGTCGGGTTAGCAGCGCTGGACGGGGAGCGCTCCTCCGATGAGTCATCGTACTTTCCCATCAAGGCCTTTCTGATTATGGCCTCCAGGCCGATGGAGTTGCCAGATGCTTCTGGAGCCGGGTGGCTGCGCACACTCACAGGGCCTGGACGGGAACACAGGCGCGGGTTTTTAAAGTGAAGAAGCAGTTTTTAACTGAAACCAAACCGAGCTCGCCTCATTTCCGTCAGAACACAGCGGAGTCTGAAAACACTTTAATGTGAGTCAGTCGTCCTATTACACAGCGTACCTGCAGTAGTGGAGGCTGGCATATTAAAGATTTCCGTTCCTGGCTGACCGGCATCTGGAATCACAGGGGAATCAGAGGTTAAGATCGGCTGGTTCTGGTTTTTAATGGTTTTCATCCGTACGGCGAGGCTCACTGAATTCAGCGTCGTTCCCGTCGCCCGTCCTCTTCTTGATCATCTCCTGCTTCTTGGACTTCACGATAGCAGACGTGTTCTCTGTCAGCTTGCTAAAGAAAGCTGGAGGCTGGGAGGTATTGGGCGGAGAGCGGGAGCCGAGCCTGGTGGTGGAAAACCAGCAGGAAATTCAGACACACTTAGAATCACTTGGTTTAATTCCCCTATCTGTTTTTTGTGCACAAAAAAACAGCTGATGACATGAAGGCTGACTGGAATCAAAGATTTTTCTGTTTAGTGCAGGCACCACACTGAGTGCTTTTACACAAAATACTACAAATCTACTGTTTTCACATTATGACAGCACGGAATATGCAATGTGCTTCTGACTGAAGAAGACTCAAAATGACACATTTTCAATATCAGTGACATGTTGAAACACGCATTCAGCAAAAAGCAGATCTACAGAAGAAGCCATTTAAGAGGAAATTGAATTTTCTAAGAAAGACAAGACTTTCAGCAGATGAAAACAAAGGAAAACTTGCTATGTTTTTTTCCTGAGTTATCAAAAAAAATTTATAATGGAAGATGTTGCAAATGTGTGTACATAGTAGGGACAAAAAAAGAGACTTTTCAAAATCGTTTGTTTTGAAAAGTCTCACACACTCGCCCTATAAATCTGTCTGTTCGGAAAATAAAACCATTTGAACAGAAAAACCAACAAACCCAATGTCAATAACCTTATATAACATATAAAAAAATAAGACAACTTTCATTTCAATTACGCTGATCAAGAACTGTGTAATTCAACACACCTAAATAAAAATTCAAGCCTTTTCAAGGTTGTGCCTTACCCTTGTTCCCCCTGCTCGTTGGGGTAGGAAGCCCCTCCCTGGACATCGGGCTCAGAGCCGGATGCGGGAGGAGACACCGGCTCAATGCAGTCATTGGAAACGTTGACGGGGGATGACTTCTGCTGCTGCGGAGATCTACAAACAACGTGATTATTACATGTGATGGCGTGATTAGTTTTTTATTCTTATTTTCAAAGTCCGGCCCACGTTTCCTACCTGTCTCGGTTACATTCCCCACTAAAACCCTGTGAGTAGCGGGAGGTCTGAGCGGACTCCTGTGACGTGGGCGGGGCCTGTGAGGCACTGGATGGACGGGTCAGGTCCAGAACCGGAGAGCCGTGGTAGCTCTGCTGCTGCTGCTGCTGCTGCTGCTGCTGCTGCTGCTGCTGCTGCTGCTGCTGGCTGTCCCTGTAGTCTTTAACTATCACCTCCTGGACAGAAACATTAACATGGAAGACATTAACATGATGCTTTTATTTTATCTCCTGGTTACGGCTCTTCGCCGCGGCCTTACGCTGATGTGCTGCGCCAAAGTGACGACTCTCTGGCTGCCTTTGACACATGGGGACGGGGGCTGTTGGCTTGGAGACAGTCTCTCCTCTGATGGGGGTCGATAGAGTCCTTGTGGTGCTGTTGAGGAACAAATCCAGACACGTCAGGAACACACACACACATCTGAGCCTTTCAAAGCTAGCTCAGACTTTCCCTTTAAAGCAATAAGCGAATCGTTTTAATAAAAACATGCACGTTTTGAAAAGTCTTCACAGTTTCAGCGGGTTTCACTAACAGGTGACGAGCCGCAGTTTCCTCTTCTCGGGTTTTTTGCACTGAGAGCTTTGCATAAATAGCAAGTAAGCAGAACTTTTGGCCAGAAGTGACACTACAATTAACTGCTTTTGCATCAGTGACTCATACAAGTAGAGTGTGCACAAAAAAAAAAAAAAAAATTACATCGACAAATATACAAAAGACCACCAACGGGTTGAGCTGATGTGTCTGTGAAGAGGAGGATCCAAAAGTAATTCACTGATGTAATGAAAACAAACTTGAGATTCTGTCAGAATTCATTTATTCCTGGTTGGCCAAGTGGAAATAATGGTTCCAACACAGTTTTTAGAAGACGTGTACCGATCGGAGTTTTCTGGCCGATCACTGATCTGTAAAAATCCTGGCCTGCCGATTCTGAATTTTTTTTTAGTCTGAAAAGTCACTAAATATTGCACAGATGGTGAGCTTCATTGCTCACTATGTTTTTCTTTTTCTGACATTTCAGCTGGATCAACCAAATCCAAGGGATCAACATGACCTGTGCTCTCAGCTGTCTGAGTCTATGAACGCGTCCCAACATCAGTGGGATCATCTGCTTCCCTACAAACTGATGTGAATAAACAGTGACTGCTTAAAACAACTTTTTGAATTTAGCCATGAAGAGTTAAAGCCCCAAGTGGCATCCATTCAGTCCGATTGAAAGAAAACTACCAAGTGTGAAGAGTTTGAGATGTGTGGTCAAAAAAACAGGAAGATGCTGCTAAAAAAAAAGTCTAAAAAGAGGAAAAATCAAACCATTTAGTAAAAAATACTCATGAATTTAGTCGATTTGATTTTAGATCTGTTTCAATTCACCATATGATTTATATTAATTTTATACTGATACAGTTTTGCATACATTTGTAATGAAAACAAAGCTAATGATCAAATCACCACTGCATGAGTGGGACTCCTTCATATCTCCAGCGACACCAAACGTTTCATATCTTCCCATAAAACAAGAAACCTGAAGCCAAACGATCTCGTCAACGAAGCCGGCTGCAGCGGTGGCGTTCTTACCCAGCGCTCGGATGTCTTGTTCCTGAACTGACACCGGTTTGTTTTGAGTCTTTTCTCTACTCGGTGCGCCGCTGTCCTCGCGGCCGGACGGGTTCTCCGACTGGGAGGGCAGCAGACGGCCGGCGGGCGGGGGGTAGGAGCCGGGGTAAATTCCTCCAGAGCTGGGACTGCAAAGCTTGGGGTCAGATTTGCTGGAGGTGCTGTGCTGCTCCTGCAAGTGTTTGGGCAGACCGCCCCTGGATTTGCCTCCATCGCGATTCTGCTCTTTGACTATGTTTGAATCCATGGCAGATTGGTAGGCGTCAGGTGGCACACCTGATTTTTGGAAGGAGCTATGGAAACCGTGGAGGCGGGATGCTGAGGGCATGGGCCTGGTAAGAAAAAGAAAAACAAAACATACCACATATTTTTTTCTTTTTTACATTTTATTGGATGACATGTTTTTATAGTTTTAGGAAGCCCAACTCCGGCTTACCGTAACACCGACGAGTGTTCGCTGACGGAAAGACTTTTGCCTCCGGTGTTGTGCAGCACGCTTGGCCTCTGCTGCACGTTCTCCTGGGTTCGGGGAGACACCGGGGAATGCTGGTGGCTGTAGGGTTGGGACGCAGGTCTGCCGCTGCTGCTGCTGGACAGGCTGTGTTCTGTACCTGAGAAACACACACTCATGTTACTGTACAAACATCTTTTACTTATTCACATTTTGTCATGTTACAACAACTTCAGTGTCTCTTAGTGGGAATTTATCTGACGGATGTAAAAATTGCATAAGTGTGAAGCATGGAAGGAAGCAGGCATTTGTTTTTCTAAATTTTTTTCCCCTTCTTACATCATATTATTTAATTCTGCTACTGATAATGTCTTGTGATGGTTTTTGACATTCTACAGCAAGGACAAGGTAAAATAAAATATAACAAAATTTTGTTTCATAAAGTCATTTTGGTCATTTTAACCTGAAAAGAGAAGTTTAGTCTGATTTAATTTCAGACAGTGAGAAAAAAAATATGTCAATAGGTTTGTGAAAATATCTGGTTTCAGCTGTAAATAACATTTTTGGATCAAATATTAGATTGTAATTTAATTCAAAATTGTGCAGTTTGAATGTCAATCATTTTCAAGGACTTTATGCAGAAGTCAAGCATTTTCCAAACCTTGAAAACACTTTGAATTGAAATTCAAGAGTTTTCAAGGTTTTCAAGCACCAATACAATCCCTGATTCTGTATTCAGCCATATTTCCTCCGATATTCAGAGAAGCAGTTGTGGTGAAGAGACCAACATTTTACTGCCCAACACTCAACATAATCTGCAAAGGAAACCCCAAGCATTTTCCCTTTACTTCACAATTATGTACATCTGAGGTCTGATCCGCCACATAATCCCTCCTTTAAACACATTTTGTGTTTGCAAAGTGAGCGAACACAAACTACATTTTCAAACACAGACTAAGGCAGAAAAACCGAATAATTTAGGTACCTGGTCGCCAGATGGGGGCGTGCTCCACGTTTCCTAAAGAACCTCCCCGGTCTCTGTCTCTTTCCCTGTCCCGATCTCTCTCTCGTTCCCGCTCCCGGTTTTCCCGCTCCCGGTTTTCCCGCTCCCGGTTTTCCCGCTCCCGGTTTTCCCGCTCTCGCTCTCTGTCTCGCTCCCGCTCTCGGTCCCTGTCCCGTTCTCTTTCCCGCTCCGACGACGACGCGCTCTGCATTTTGCTCATGTGTGAGGTGCCGACTGGAATGCCAAAAAGAAAAAAAGAGGGGGGGAAAGTCATCTTAAACAGATAAAAACATGGTATTATTTTGTAAGGGAGATGCTCACAATAATATGGCTGCGTACCGGGAGAGATGGATGAGCTGGTGTAATTCCTGGGAGGGAACGCAGCGTTTGTCCCAGGGATGTAGGTGATGCGATCCATCGGGGAGCCGGCCGTCCCTGCAGACGGAGGGACCAGGACGGGTAAGTGTGGCACCTGAGAAAGATCAATGATCCCTGAGGAGGAGGAAGAGGAGGAGGAGACCCAAATCAAGATGCAGTTTAATTTTTCCAGTAAAGAGGCTCAGCTCTGCTTCTGACTTGAGGTACAACATGCCACTGTAACACAAATAAACTAAAGAAGATCTGTTAGAGGATGAATTATCCATAAGTGATAGCAACAAGAGAGTTATGCAAACTCTCTCCTATGCAAAGATTCTCAGTAATAGTGATGATATGTGAAAACTTTATATCCTTGCTTTGGGCTATCCTTTCATTTTCCCTCTCTGCCTTTTGTGATTTCATGACATCAGAAGTCAATAAATGTTTAAGTGAGCATAATAAACATAAAACAAAGGCAGACAAATTCAAAGGGTAGTTAACCTTGGCATAATATCCGCATTACATCAGCAGCTTTGCTCTCTTTGTAATTATTAACCACTCAAATGGTCATATTTGTTGATCATTTGCCAGTGCAAAGGAATCAGCTATTTAAACAATGAGAAAGTAAAAGAATTTACTTATGCAACCGTGCAGCTGACCAATGGAGGCTACTGTCAGGTTTCATGTAAAACAATCCTGTTTGGGTCTGATTTCTACGATTTGTTCTCTTGTCGGGCAGCAGCTCGTATTCCCCTACAACAACGAAGGGCGCCTCGTCTCTTGGTGAAGCAGGAGGATGAGCGCCAGCTTGTTTGCATACCCGACTATCAGATCAAACCCAGGCTGAACGGATATTGCCGCTGTTCAGTAAAAGGTAACCCTAACCGTTCTGTAAGCATAGGACGCCAGATTTGGGTTTCAATTTGCCAAACAACCTAAAAATAGTGCAAGTGTGAGTCAGAGTGCGGATGGGACTGGAAGCAGCGTTAGCCTTACCGCGTTGGGCACCAGCAGAGTAGGACAGAGGAAGCGCTTGGTCTCGAGGAGCGAGGCCTCTGAGCAGGTCTGAGCGCTGCGCGGCCATGGCGGCGGCCGCGGGCCACTGGTGCATCTGCTGCGAGGTGATGTAGTCATTTATCAGGGTCTGACGGTTCTCCAGGGCCGTCGTATCGGGAAAGCCGCGGATGAGGTAGGGATACGGGTGAGGGTACGCCGGGTTGGGAGCCAAGTGGGAACGAGGCAAGTAATAAGCTCCTGCAAGTAAAGAATAGGAAATGTTGAAAATCATTCATAGTCATTTAAGGACACAGATGAAATAAAACTGATCGTTTTCTCGGGTTGCAATCAAGTGTTTCTGCAGATTTCACCAAGTCAAGTTTAAGGCTTTGTAAGTCTATTATGAATTCAATTGAAGACCAGAATGTGCAAAAGAATATTGCACATTCAAAATTGTACAAAATTCAATCAAATTGGATATTTTATGTTGGAGTAGTGCCAAGGCTTTTTTGCACAGATGGTGCTTAACATCATCAAGACAATATCTCATCATGAAAACAGATTAAAATACCTTCGCAACAACTGAAAACAGATTGAGTGAGTCTTGGAAGAGGGCCAGGTTAACATTTTGTGATTTACCTGGGTCGATGGCGATTCCACGAGGCAGCGCCGCAGGGTCAAAGGACAAGGGGATGCGGTACATGTCTGAAGCTCCCAGGCCGGGCAGCAGCCGTTCGTAGGCCTGCTGATCCACAACGCCAGTGAGCGGCGACTTGGTGGCCCTCATCTCTCTGGGAGTCGGTGTGGCTTTACGCTCCTGGGAAGAATTCTTTCCGGACCCTGAATCAACAGGAAAAAGAAAAAAAAAATAAAGTTTGGAATCTGAATTTTATTAACAATAAAAAGTGACATATTTGACCGCAATGCGGTCTCAATCGCTGCCTGTTACAAATAAAACCTGCGGCAAAAACAAATAAAGTCACTGTTCCGTCTGTGTGTTGGATTTGCAGAGGTCACACACTTTCCTCATGGGAAAATTCAAACATTTTCAACTCAAGTTTCCAGCAGCACATTTTGTTAGAAAAACATAAGACAAATGGACTAAAGAGGACAATTTAAATCACTGTTATATGATGTCAATTATTACTGTTTGTAGTGTCTTGTGATAGTTTTCTAAACTCTACAGACAAGAAAAACTAACAAAATGTTATGTTTTGGAATATATCTCCTATACACCCAACATACTCGAATGCTCCAAGAATAAAATCTCTTCAGTTTCATTAACGTTGTTTAACGTGTACAGTACAGGCCAACCTTTATTTAAAACACAGATAGATAAGTAACTGAGAAATTAGGAATGATAAAAATTCATTGCACAACAACAATCCAAACAAATTGTGTTTGGGCAAATGACGTTCCAGTTCAGATCAAATGTTCGAAAACAACACACAAAGAAAGTTATTACAAAAATGTTCCTGCTACGTTCTTTGGCATTTAGGAAAAAGAAATAATTTAGTTGATTCCAACTAAACTAAAACAAGGAAAGTTTAGTCTTATTTAACTTCAGACAGTGAAAAATATCTGTCCTTTTTATTAGTTGTATGAAAATATCTGGCTTCAACTGTAAAAATCGAAGCTTTTAATCAGACATTAGATTGAACTTTATTCCAAAACTGTGCAGTTTGAATATCAAGCACTTTGAAGACACCAAATGGAAAACCAGTATGAACCCTGGATGTTCCCACCTTCGTGTTGCCTTTGACTGGCTTCCCTGGGCAGTGGGGATCCACGATGTGACGGCCCAGGGTACGGGGTCCGAATAGCACCTTTTTCCTCGTATCCCATGGGGCTGTGGTGGGCTTTGCCTCCCTGCTCAGAACCCAGGGTGAGCGGAGAAGAGCGCGGTATGGGACTGGCCGTGCTGACCACTGCACTGGGCCGACCCTTGGGCCCCTCCTCATACCGACTTCTGTCAGGACGCATCTCCAGGTGGGAGGCTGTGCCGTGGTAGGAGCGCGGCGAGCTGGCGATGATGGAGCGGACATCGTGGCGTTTCCCAGAGCCAGCAGCGTCCGGCTTTCCAGCTGCGCCCTGCAAGAAATGAACCAGCTTAGAAAAACGGGCATCTATACTGGTCTACTGTCATTTAAAAAATAAAAAAACTGAGAAACACATTTCAAACTTCTAGTTAAAGCTCATCTCTAGGCTAGCACCAACTTCAGTTTTGCTGCAATACATTAATTTTTTTATGTTCTGCATAATATTTCGGAGCAAGACAATAGCTGTTAAGATTGTTTAATCATTAATTTTCTCTGAGTTAAAGAAGGACACGCAAATATCAGTTTGACATTCATTCAATAAAACTATATGATTGCACATCACCTCATTTATATGTGCATTTGTTCCCTGGGTTCACATTACAGGTCTCATAAAGTTAGTTTGACCTACATGTGTCAGAAGCATTCCAGCAGCCATTGACTGCAGCAGATACAAGGGCCATTAAATTTCAGCTGAAGGCGTATTTTAACTACGGGTTCCTGAAAGTTGTTCTCCAGAACCTGACTTCCTGGAACCTTTTATCTATGCATACTGTTCTTTTTTTATGTGCATTTCTATTGTAGATTCTAAAACTGGGACTGTTTATGGAGATGAGGCCTTCCCGACGCTGAGCAGCGGTCCGACGGCACGGCAACATCAGAGTTCAGATCGTGATTGAAACTACTAACATTGAACTGATACGGCATTACATCTGAGATTGTTTCACAGTCATGCGTTAAATCCTGCATGTTGCCACATCAAATTGTGTGAAAATGTAGATTTTAAATAAACAATGTTTATTTCATAGGAAGAAACGATGGACTTTACAGATTAAAATATCAAACTCAAGGCTCTGACAGAAGCATAACTCTGCATTCTTGTGGAGGTTCTGAACGGATATAGAAATCTGCACTTCGTTTAAAAACAAAATCGCCACACTTAGCGAAAATACTTAATTAAATGTAAACTCTGTAAAGCCCTAATATTCAGCATGAGCATCTGGGTTTAAATGTGAATAGAGTAGTTATTTATTAATACCTCAGTGTGAAAAATTCACCTTTTACAGCAGCAACGCAAACAAAATATACCCTATTGCAATACAAGTATCTAACAACATAAGCAGCTAAAGTATCTACAGATAAAACCTAGTTAAATGTATTAGAAACCTGAAAATTTGTGATTTCTAAGTACAGAATAGGATTTGCTTGTATGATGTTATAAAATATGACTAACTGAGGAGGAGATTATTGTGATTAAAGGCAGGATATTTTGAGTCAGTGAGAACGGTTCTCTACTCAATTTTTAAACAGTTCAACATGATAGATCATTTTCTTCCTTAGTGAGAGTTAGCCATCATTTGGTCGTAACCCAGTGGGTGTGGGTAGATTTGTCAGCACTCAGAAATTGTGCGATCATAGCCTAAAGAACCCAAAGGATGTTTGGTTGGGCTGGTTCAGCTGATGAATCAGCCCCCAAAAAGAGCAACTAGCACACTCCTAACTAACAGTGGAATGATGCGTTTCACCATCAAGCGCATACCTGTGATATGATGCCCTCCTTGGATGATTGTCTTCCCTCGTCTCTTGGAATGAGGTGGATGGAGCGTCCAGGCTCCTTCACCGTGGGCACGATGCCCTCTCTGCCCTTCATTGGGTCAGAAAGGGACCCGGCGCCACGGGGCGGGGACGCCTCTCGCCTCATCTGCTTGGCTTCCCTCCTCATGTAGGCATCTTGAGGGTCGAGATGGCGGGGTATACCTGCAATCAGAAGGTTATGTTCAACCCATTTCTCCTATGAAAACAACAGGCGGTATGCTTGAAATGCATTTTAAAGCATCCTACCTTGAGAGATGGAGCCTCGGATATGAGTATCCTTGTAAGACGGGTGGTGAGGGCTTTCTCTGTCGTAAGGCATGGCACGGCCGATGAGACCTGAGGTGAAGGTGGAACAAAGCACAGCAGCAAAGGACTCAGACGCTTTTTTTCACTGTACTGTTAAAAGACTTTTTAATAAGACTCGAGAGAAAGAACCATTGTTTGGAGAGGATTTTTCCAGCTGTCTGGATCGCAGAGAGCATTGCTGCGGACAAAAACCTTTTTGAAACAAAAAGGTTTTGTTTGTGTGAGACACTTTTAGAAGTGATGAGGTGGATATATTTATTTATATAGGCTAAGAGTGTATGAGTCTCAAATGTGTTTATCAACAGAATGAATGTTTTAAGTAGAAATATTTCAGTAATGTTGGATATTTTTCTTTTTTTGTATGAACACAATGATATCTCATTGCTGAATGCTACCTCAGTCAGAATAAATGTCAAATGAGAAGTTAAGCTCACTCCTGTCTTACCCTCACAATTGGTAGCAGACAGAGCGTCTCTCATTGGCAGCCCTCTGCCTCCTTCCATGACATCATAAGGTCGCTTCAGACCCAGGATTTCTCCAGACAGACCTGATCCTCGACCGTCTTCTTTGGGAGTTTGAGACTGCTGCCCTGTGATGTTCATTCACACGGATCCAGTGTTTTACATAAGCATTTCAACACCTAGTGTACCACCTGGCAGGTCAGCAATCTTGTTACTAAAAGCTCGTGTACTCACGGTCATATGAGAGGATCTGCCCGCTGACGCCCTCGTACAGGATCTGTCCTTTAGATGGCGCCTCGTCCCGCTCCCTGTCAGCTCGGCTGGAACTGTCCTCCGAGATCAGACGTGATATGGTTTCTCTATACAGCACATCTGCTGGTGTCCCCTGGGATAAAGACACAAAAAGAAAATGAGGCATAAAATGAGGCACAAATTTGATATCTCTGCAAAAAGCAGCAGCCGCAGTCTACTTATGACTTTGATTGGGGTTAGTTATTATGCTGGTGCAGAAGGAACCACCGAACAATAAGCAACCATGAATAGTTAGGTTTATTACTCTCAAACTTGTTTCTTTGCATGGTACGATCATTAATGACAAAGTCTGATTAAAAATAAATAAATAAATAAAAATATTTCAATTATTTATTTAGTGACGTTTTAGACACACACACAAAAAAATCATTATCGGTCAAAATTGGTAGGTCAAGCTTTTTAAAGATTGGTAATCTTTAAAAACTGCAATTGGTGCAACCCTAATAAAAACCGTGTGGTTATATTTACATTTGGCGATGCAGGAATAAAGGACTCCTAAAATAATCTCAGGTTTCTTTTCATTACATTAGTAAATTCTTTTGGATCCTCCTATTGACCACTACACAAGCTGAATCCATTTGCGGGCCAAGATTTTTGGAAAACTTATGGATAAGGATTTACATACTCTAAGGAAATCCTGCATCACAGTGTTTAAGCTGCACTAATTCCAAAAACAGCTTATAAAAGATACTAAAGAATATTTAAAATATCAGCTCTGCATTGATTTTGTCAGTTATAAGGTGACGACTCTTCATTTATCTTGAGGGAAAAATCAGAGATCAGAAAACGATTAATCTCTGGAAGCATCACTGGAGATGATTATGGGCTTTAAAAGCCAGAGGATTTAGACGAACGCCATCCTGATGCGAAAGGCAGGCGCTGAAGGAAAATAGCTGTGTTTGCAAAACGCAGGCAGGATACAGGAAGGAACTCACCATCAGAGTCATTGACTTAAAGAAGCCAAACAATCTGATACAGAAGCCTGGCACTCCACTGAGGTTTGCTCTGGACAACATAGAGCTGTCTTCAGAAACATTGCTAAACATAGTAGTCTATATTGCACACATCTATGAAAAATGAATCATGTTTAATCAATTTTAGACCTCTACAGCTCTGCTGCTATAACAATCAGTATAGGAGGTTCATTTCTGCCTGCAGCAAATATCTTGCACATCGTTTTAACCAGACAATGTTAAAACATTTTTATGTTTAATGAAAACATAAAAATGAACACGAATTTCAGAGTTTCTAAACGAAGGAAAGGTGAAGCGGCTTGAAAGCAGAACATAACATTCGTGGTCAAACTAAACCTTGAATAACAACACTTGTGCTCGGCATGAGTCATATTTCTCCACGCACTGATTGGTCAAGAGATGATTGCATGAGTGGATGGTGAAAAGGAGAGACAGCAGTTACTGGGAGAGGCCTTGTAATCTGCTGGCTGCAGCTTTTCCAAGAAGTGTTTACCAAAAGAGGGGAGAGAGGGGATGGATGTATGTTTACAAAGTAGTAATGACCAAAGCAGTCCTCACCTGCTCTCCAAGAAAACCTCAAACACATGCACATCCACCTATCAATCCGTCAAGAGTTGAGCTTGACATGAGGACGAATTTTCATTTAAGCTGTTTTTCATTTTATTTTTTGTTCGCCCCTAACGCTCGCGGATGACGGCCTCCTCTGCGCTTGTTTGCTCTCCAGTGCCAGTTGGACGCAACACTGGAGTGGACCTATCAGTGACCAGGTTTAGCCAGCATCTAAAGTACACAGATAAATAAAAGAGGGAACAGATGCGGCACAGCGTGTACCCGTTGCCACGGCTACGGATCCATTCAGAGCTGCGGTTATGTCACAGTGCGGCGGAAATCCAGCAGCAGCCACCGCACATGGGCTGCCGTTTGACCTCTCACCAACTCTCGTCTGTTTCTCTTGCATCACAGGAGCAAACGTTGAAAGCGCGCAGAATCCGCTTCATGTTTGACAGCAGCTTGTGTGTTCAGAGGGCAAAAGCTGCATTAAATTTTGTGTGTGTGTGTTTTTTTAAGAAGTAAACGATCAGAGGATGTGGGTGGAGTACAAGCTTGTCTGTGGCGTGAACCTTAACACGGTTTTACAGTGTTGGTTTCAATTGGCGTCGACTGTAGGTCTCGGGTAAATCACATTAACCTCAGCAAAGCTCCCTGAACTGCAGAGTCAAAGAACAAACAGGATAAAGTGTAGCACGCAACAGGTGCTCTCGTTTTTAAACACTATTTCACATTATGTTGGGAGGTTTTCAAAAAGAGGAAGAGGACAGTCGGCCACAGGACAAAAAAGAAAGTCAAAACTTGTTCTGTCAGCACAATATTTATAATGCGCAACCGTGAGGCTGGTTGCTTTAGAAATGGTGTCAGTAATCTTTAGACCTTTTTACTCTCATGCCAGCCAAATAAAACGTCTTAAGAGCTGCAAATGTCACATGACCTTTTGAAGGAAGAAAAAAAAAAAGGGACAACTTGTGACATATTTTAGAACTTAAAATAAAGATAATCACAGTCTAGCAAAAAAGGATGTTTTTTTGTTTTTTTTGTGGGACAGAAAGAAAAAGTTCATACCTTCCAACATAAAGACAAGAAAATCTGCTCTAAAAACACATTACCAGTGCTTTTTTTTGTCATTCTTTGTAAAAATTCAAATGAAATGTCAGAAATAAAATTAAGAACTACTAAAAACCTTCATTTGTTGTTACACCTAGCTTTAAAAATATCAACTGGTTCTTTTTAATTTTTTTGCCAAACTTTGTAAGAGCCACTAAAGAAGGTCCAAAGTGTCACTTGTGGCTCTGGAGGTTGCAGACTCCTGATTTAGACCGTTTCTGTGAGGCCTAAAACACTGTGGTGTCCTTACAATAAACTACGACTACTGCAGGATTATATATGCCACAGTTAATCCTCTCTTTCATATGAATAGTTTTAAATAGTCTATCTTGCTGGTCTGAGCTCACCTGTGTGATGGAGCCCCCTCGGTAAGAAACCGCAGACTCCGGGTGTATCCTGGTCCCAGGAAGACCTTTAGTGATGCTGCCTCCTTGGACACCTGGACAAGAGAAGAATTATATAACACCTGAAGGCATTGTTTTTACTCTCTTGAAAAATAATATATAAAAATTGAAAAAGGTTAATGAAATGTTTACTGTGAAAGTACAGAACCTCCTCAGATAGGACCTTATATACCAAGGCATTTATACAGGCAAACCTTCAATTGTTTTTAAATGCTGTATACATCAATTTGACAACTTGAAATTGGCCTCTGTCTCTTTAAGAAGTTCCTGTTCTCTACATCGTGCCGTTTACAACCTTTCTCAAGAATGTTGCACTGAGAAGGAACTCAGCAGATGTGCGTTTATTCCAGGTGTTTGTTGCTTGCTGCAGCCGCTAGTCTGGAGGAATCGAGTAGGGAAGGCGGGGGAGGGGTGTCTGTGAGGCGGAAGCTTTGCTGGTGACTGCAAAGCTTCACCAGCAGTCACCAGCTAAACTAGCTAACCACTTAGTTTAGTTGGTTAGCTAATCTAAGTGCACCACCACCACATGTCCATCTGTTCTAATATCGGCTCAGTTTCACTTATTGGATCGATTCTGATACGCTATAAGATGAGAAACATTGGCCGATTCTAATGCTAATGTAGATGTATTGTGCATTTCTCGTAAAAACGTGTATTTTTCTACAATTTCCAGATGTTATTCCTACAAAACCACATGTATAAAAGCACAGCTCCAGGACCAATCAGTTGTATACAAACGCATAATAAAGGGAGGAAGCATTGCACCCACCACGAGCAGAGGAGTTATCATGAGGCGGCCCTGGGTTTGATAAGTTATCAGGCTGGGAGGAGCTGTGAGGAGACAACTGCTCCTGCTTCACCACTGGGAAAGGACCTGCTGCGTAATGATGAGAAAATTCACATCACTATGTCAAAACATAGAAAAGTATGTAAAACTATTTAAAAAAGAAAAAAAAAAAAAAAAAAAAGAACACAATTGAATTCGGTTCTGGTTTTACTCACCAACTTTCTTCTCCATCCAAGACAATCCCATTGGTGCGGGAGGCATTTTTGAGTGATCCAGCCCGTGGGCCGCTCCATGCAACTGCACCGGCGTACCCTGAACACACACGCACGCATACACACATTAGGTCATCGGTGTAAATATACCTATTACTTACCATGTCAGGGTAACAAATTTAATTGGACGATAAATTGTACCAAAAGTTATTGCGGTAAACGATAATATTGTTTTGGGACCGTTTTTAAGTGATATAATGGGAATGGCACAATAAAACAAGTAAGCATTCTCAAAAATCAATAACCTTTCAATTTTAAGGAGCATTTAACAGTGGAGCTGGAAGACATTTTTAATACCCAAAATAAAAAAAACAAAACAGAAACAACAAATAAAATGAATTGTAAAATCTTTGTAACAAAAACTGTCCTCCAAAAAAATAAAAAATCTGGTTGAGACCAAAGCCTTTTGTTTTTGGTAGAAGGTCAGAGACAAGAAAAACAAAAAAATCACGCAAACGGAAATTATTGAGCTTGTTTTATTTTATTGCGACAGGCCTGTCAGTTACGTCATCACTGCTCTTGCTTTTAAAAAATGTTTTAAAAACATAATTGCTTCAAACATCAAAACTGAGCATACACTGTATTTGTTTCTGCCAATCGACTATAAAACTGCTTAGTTCATCGTGGTAACATACCTGCGTGATGGAGCCTCCAGGCTTGTTGGAGGAAATGAGCGGTGGCGGGTCGGGCATGGAGAGGGGTCTCACTGCCGCTAACCGCACGCTATCCTGTGGCAGACCAGCGAGCGATGGGAGGCCTACCTGTGGGAACGCTGGAAAACAAAAAGATAAGAATTATCCTCTACTGGTGAAGTAGAGCAGCAGACGCAGACGGAGAAGATTCCTCACAGTTGAAGTGGAGCAGGTGTTGGTCGTGACTGATCTTGGCCATGTCCCGCGGGGCCATGGGATACGGCAAGAGAACCTGGCGACCCAGGTTTGAGGTTCTGAGGTCGTCCGGACCCATCGCCTGCTTCTTGGCGTCACCGTGTGGAGAGAAGGCTCTGGACTTTTCTAAAACATCATCACATGGAGGGAGTCAGCACCATAATAAAACAGGAAGCTGGACTACATGTAGTCTAAGAGGCGCTCCTCTGTGCTGCTAAACAGTCACTCTGCATGTGTGAACTGCTGCTGCTGCGCTGAGGATAGCTTCTTCTGTTTATATAATGAACTGAAATCTTTGCCACTGATAAAACAGCCCTCGATGCCACTTCATTCCCACAGTGTCTCACCTCTCAATAAGCAGACGTGCATGCAGAAAAAAATAAATAAAACGCTACAACCAAAACCTAGAGTCTAAAGAGTTTTAGAAAAACACATCCAAGTGACATGACAGGCGCAGTGGCTGAATCTGATCGGCTAAAAAGCCTTTGAAGGGAAAATGCAGCGCTGCGACTTCTTAGCATTTTTCTGTTGCATGCAAATGCATCTGCACAAACTGCAGTTCGCCACATAATGTTAAGGCATGAGATTCATGTGACATGAGTTAAAATCAGACAACTTCACAGAATTGTGTCATTAAAACTTCAAAACAAAATGTACAACATGATCTAATTGATTTTATTTACAGCTGAAGAGCCACGGAGCTTGCAGTCATATGGTCTTAAAAATGTTGCAGAGATTGGGTGTGTTCTAGTTGCAAATTTTAAAAAGATTTGAAATGTATGCAGGCTTAAAGCTACATATTTCTCTTCACTTTATAAGTTAAAAACCCACATAAATGCTGCTTGAAATATATTTACTGAATTAAAAAGAAACCTGAAGTGTTAAGAAATCCACTAAAACTTTATTTGCTTTTTTCCTGTGCAGAATTCGTCTCTTCAGACAGTAGACTATCAGGTTGGAAAATGGCAGAGCTGTGTTCCCCTATAATTCAATAAGCTGGAGAAATCCCAGTAACTCAAACATTTCTCTGGGATTTTATAAAAATGACTTGAAACTGCGAGAGAAGGACGATAGGCATGAATGGCTGAACTTTGCAAACCTTGGTACAGATTACTGTCCATGTCTATTTAAATGTGAATAAAGCTTCACTATCTAACTCTGTGTGTGAAATTAGAAGCTTTGTTGCCATTTTCTGTCCTGAGATCGCAAAAAAAAAAAAGAAAACACGCAATAACTTTGAGTCAACATTTGAACGGTTGGGTAGAAAATGCCTTCAGTAAGGAATCTTCTACAGAATCCTTACTGTAAGATTGCTGAATGAAACTATATTTCCTTCTGGGTCAGTAGCAGCAGCAGGTCATTCATCAGACCCCCTGTCCAGGAGTGTCCCAGAAACAGTTAAAGACCCTAAACAGACTCAAGGTCAGAGCCTCTAGAACAGACCTACTTAATAAAAGTAGATCAAATGCTACTATATCTGCATGTTGAGCAGGATTTTAATGTACCCAGTTTTTTTCTTTCATTCAGCATATTTATAAATGTGTACCTCTATAAATAAATTTATGAATACCTGAGTGTAGCAGGTCATGCAGACTAGGCTTTGAGCTTTTAGCTGCAAGGAGGAACACAAAGGTCTTAAAAAGTTACAAATATCAATAATGTGGAAATTGTCTGTCATACTTTTTCAACTTGATAAGGCTCCTACACTTTCCCAACAACACAAAAAAGCTAATGAACATTAAAAGAACAAATGCTTATGGCCAGGACTTTAACACATTAATTTTGATAGATTATATATATTGTAAAGCATTAGAAAGTTTTATACAAACAATCAGGGCTTCCAAAAACGCATGAAAGCTGTATGGGTATTAGCATTTGGCACCAGTCTGAACAGGCTAGAATAAAAACAAATGTATTTGTTGTCGAGCTCGTGTGTCTATTTAGTCAATAATTTAGCAACAAATGGGGAATTCTGAATTGAAAATGTTGCTTATTTTGTTGATATATAGAAAATGAAATTAATTAATCACATACGATGCAATTAACCCAGGTTAAACATTTTAATAACGTCTCGTCACTCCAAATGCTATTTACAAACTCCCATGGTCAGGGTATGGAAACCCAGAGAGTCCAAACAGTCACCTTCATCGAGGTAAGAGCTAGCAGGTTGAGAACAGCAGGCTAGCTATGGGAGTAGATAGCCCTACTAACTGGTCAGCTAAAATCAGCTTGGTCTCTTTAGTCCAAGAATGGGAAAAAGAAATGTAACTCCGCTGTTAACAAATAAAAAAAACTTTTATTTCTTTATTATGTCAACATTAAGAGAAGGATAAATAAATATGAATAACATTGTTATAAGCTCATTATTTTTTTGGCAACCTCGGGATTAAATCTTGCTTTTCTGGTTGAAATAAGAGTAATTAAATTGTGTTACGTATTTTGGTTTTCTTGACTTTTATGATCTTATGGTGTTGTTTTCGTTCAAAGTTGCCATGCTATAAAAATCTCATACCAGTCCGTGACTAATACACAGACAAATCAGGGAAAAATCCTAACAAATATGTTTGTGCTCTTGTGCAAGTGAGTCCACATTTCACTCGGAGCGAAAACAAACCGTTCCGAGGTGCGTACCGTCTTTTTCGCTGGTTGAGGGACTCCGAGGGCGAACTCGGGGGCTGCTGGTGAGAAGACCCTCTCGCTCTCTGTCTGCCTGAGAGGCGTAAGGCTGCGGTTTGCCTGCTTGGCCAGAAGGCTGCTGCTGTTTGACTTCCTGAGAGGACTCTCCATGAGCCATGGTGATCTGCTCCTGGTACAGAGCCAAGGCGTGGGGGGGCTGCACTGCTTTCCCACTCCGTGGAGTGCCCTGCACAGAGGCCTCTGGCATCTTCACACGAGAGAACACAGAAATAAGATGGTTACATACGAGCGCCAGCTCCTCCCAGGCACTGACATATGGTTGGGCTGCTTACAGTATCTGATCAACGTGATAGCAAAAACTCATCTCTTATTTCTTGGCGAGCTAAAGTTTCACTAATCCCTGGCATCTCGTTTCTGCCCCACAAAGCAATCTATCCCATCATCGTCCATCTGGCTGCCTTATCTTAAACAAATATGACTTCACCATTTCACCTGCTGTACCGCTTAATTCTGCAAGTTGAGAAATGGGGACAGCGCCGATACAGCTGCAGAGATAAACGAAGCTGCTTTTGGGTAAAGGACACAACCTGCGTCTAAGCCCGAAAGACGTAAAGACCGAATTTTCTACAATCATTAACCTATTAGTGGAAGAAAAAAAATACAAACACAAGACCCTGCAGAAGAACTCACAATAGGTGGTATAGCTGCAGCCCTCTGTTTGAGCTGCTTCAGGTCCATGGGCTTCTGCAGAGACGATATGACCCCGTCGTGGGAGAAGTTCAGCAGGCTGGGGCGTGGAGACGTCATCCTAAAACACACAGACAGAAAGTATTAAGAGGCCGACTGGGGAGACAGCATTTCCTGTTTACTGGGCTTGCAAACAGATGACGAGCGCCAATATTTAAAACATCCACAAAGTGCCTGGTTCTGTTCGTTTTAAATATCTGCAACTGAATTAAGACTCTAGAGTTTGACCAATTTAAGAGCTTCTGAAGCTCAAAAACCAATAAAGTTTAAAGACAGGCTGAACTAGGCAGGTATTAAAGGGATTTAACACAGAGGTCAAAACTTGTTTCTTGGAAGACTGTTAACAAGTTAGATAACCTGCAGGATATGTTAATGCTTGTCTCTGCGAAACTACTCTCATTTATACAAGCTGAGAACACAACAGTGTAGGAACAGTGGATTATTAGACCCGGCACAATAACGTGTTGGCAACTGAGGAACGCACAGACAAAAAAAGGAAATACCAATTAATTAGCCAGCGATAGAAATGGGACAATCTTCCTTTCATTAGCACTCAGCAAGCAAAATGCTTAAAAAACAAACATTTAAATCTGAATGTTCATTAAATACATGAAAACATCAACTGACATGTTTTTGAATGTGCTTGTTTTTAGTTGAGGAAATAAATAAATAAAAATAAAGGTTAGAGATGTATAACCCTGTATGTTCACAGTGGGCAAATCCCAATCTTTTCACAGAAAAAAATTTAATAAAATTATATTTGCGCTACTTCAATGCGTAGAACCAAATCAAATATGTGTCCAGTGGTTTTAAAAGCATCTGCAGTCTGACTTTTTTCGTCAAAGACCCAACATGCATTATTATTCTACACCAGAAGAAGTCAGATGAGGTAAAGCTGAACGTAAACGATGGCTGAAGTGAGCATTGTCAACTTAGCTTTCTTTTCTCTTAGCTTCCTAGCGTCTTGTTTTGATGCTAAAAAAAGAGTAAAATAGATCCATAGACGGTGCCATCCATTATCACTTTCATAAACAGTGCACTGCTGTGTGACGTATATGTTCCTCTTCAGTGCATGCGTGTTGCTAAGAGGAAGAGTTCACACAGAAGTCTGATTTCGCTCGCATTCAAATCAAAAATAAAATTAGAATTGCGCATCAAAACCAGCCACATGTCAGTCACTGGTTGAGATTTCGCTGCGATTAACTGTATGCGCTCTCTCGTCCTGAAAACCGACTCAGATCTCATCTGCTTCTCTGTGTTTCGAAAGGAGAGGCTATTGCCCTTAACTTTTTATTTTTCTCTAACATAGAAAGAACTGCTGGATTGGTGTTTCCGTTTCTTCTTTTTGTGTGTAGTGTTTGCTCCATCTTCTCAAACTCAAGTCAATTCTTCTTCCTGGTAAACAGGAGCTTTTCTTTCCGATGTCGCTACATGCAAGTTCATTTTGAGGGATTGCAACAAAGATAACGACTCATTGCAGTCGAATGTCCGCTGTCGCTAGATGCTCATCTGGAAGGAGTGAGTGATGCAAGTCAGTGACTCGGTGCAATCAGCCGGGTTTTAGAAACGTTTTCTTAAATCTGAAGAAATCAATTGGAATGTGTTTACTTGATTCTGAAACAGTATGATTCAGTTTAATTGACTTTTTATTGTAAAGACGACATATGTTGTGAATTGGTGCAACATGTTGGTCAGATTTGCCTGATTACTTGTAGCTTAAACATACAAGCAAAGGTCGATATGGGAGTTTGCTATTCACCATGGCCTCCTTTGGGAGATATTTTAGTGCCGAGGGAGAAAATACAAGGGCACTATTTGTTATTTATTTTTGAACCAACATAAATGGTGGTGAAAATTGTTGGATTGTTGCAGTAATGAGGATTTAGGAGAAAACTCCAGGCAACAACACTTGGTCTGTTTACTCTTGGTAAACATTAGAAAGGGTAAATCGATTAAAGAAAGCTGCCGGGTTTTATGAGTTCTTAACCATTATGCTTCATGAAAACGTACAATTTAGAAATGTTGGAAAAGTTTGACCTGAACTAGAAAATATTTACAATCTTGGATATTTTTCAGAAAGCGGTCACATGCAACAATGCAAGTGATGCTGCTCAACTTAATTGATAAAAAGTATTAGAAACAGTAAAAAAAAAGTCAATCCGATTTTGACACATTATTTTTGCATTGAGCCGTTAAATTTACACTTATTATTAACATGGCCTCTGCCTATAAATGATGAATGACCATTCACAACAGACACTGATAAATTTGCAGAGCTGGCGATCATTTTCTACTGTCTGCAACAACCTATCAAGTATTTTACCATAATTTTCCTCAACAAAACCACAAAGTCAACAGCAGAAACTCATCTTAAAATCACTGTTACAATCTGAAACCCCAAGCCTCCAAAAGGCACAAGTTGTAGCAGAATAAAAGACAGTGACTGTGCAGTTTACGCATATTACCTCTAACAACACAATGGCTTAAAGCTACTTCAAGGGTATTTTCAAACCATATTGTCCGATAAACTTAGTTCGATTGGGGACAAAAATTGCAACATTTGTTACTCTTTCAGCTGGTGTGGTTTGCACTTTGTCAAACAAACCAAATCTTTAGAAAAAATTGTTACCCTTTTGCCTGTAGAGGCGCTACACCGAGAACAACTGCCTCTGCACAGGACACTGAGAGCAACTTCCTTCTTCAATGTGAACAAAATTGAAGTAGTGGTTGTAGGACTTTGCTCATCTTTGGTAAAAGACCACGAGTCGTTTGTTTTGGATGTATTTATCCAGAATGCCCTGCGCTGCAGTTCGCTTCCTGCTTTTACAGGCAAATGAAGTAGAGTTTGACTAAAGCGGACTAAACAGGGCCAATGTGAATGCTCTCTTCATGTTCAAGTGAAAGATCTTAACTTTCACTTGACCAGCAGACATCTGAATTCAGAAAATTGGGATTGGACAAAGACCCAATGAGCAACGAATCATCTTAAAACTTGAGATGAGCAAAATCAGGATGAAACCTCAAAGAAAACTGCACTCTATACTCTGCCAGAAAAACACGGATCCTTGAATCTGTGGGGAAATAAATGGATTATTTCTGCTGTTTCTCAACCAAAAGGCAGGGCTTATTCCATTTCACCAAAGCCAGAAGAGAAATTCTGACTTCCAAGCGATTTTTCTGAGTGTGCAAATGAATACAGAGATTATTGGGAAGCCAGCTCAGATATGGTGCACATCAATAAATTGATCACAGTGGCTTTTTGCATTGTAAGCATTTTTTTTTTATATAGTAAAGCTCTACTGAGCCTTTCTAAAGCAGCAATATCATAGATTTTATCGCACCAGCAGTAAGCAACATATGGTAAAGATCTAAAGTGTATGACACATCCACAAACATCTGAACACAACAAACTGATTTAATGACACTTTTAAGCACACAGCACAAGATTACTAAGGCAAACACACACACACATACGCACACACACACACGCACACATGCGCACAAACACATTCCCTCCCTCCTATTGTTTGCTTTGGCAGAGAGGGCAACATTTCCCTCAGCTCTGCCAGTACACGCAGTCTGCTGTCATGGAAAAAAAAAATTTGAACAAACACTGCGCTGACAGGACTAATCATTCCTCCCACGAACTTTGACACCCATTTGTTCTGGCCTCATTCACAGACTCACACACATCATATATTCACGGTATATATATTTTTTCATTCATTCAAAGTGGAAATAAAATCCGCGGTTGATAGGAAGGAGCAACCTGTGGCAGACACACAAGTGGCTGGACAAATATGGTTCCCCTGCCGTACAGTGTAGCTAGGCAACTAATACCACTTCAAAACCCTCGCTGCTTTGTTTTCTAGTGTTTGCCGTGGTAGTCCGGAGAAGTAGGACACCCAGAAAGATGCTTCAAAATCAGCCGCCCTTTAATTACAATAATAAACGAGGAAAGAATTTAAAAGGTTGTATAATCAAGCTTTCTAAATCCAATCCTGAGGGAGTCTCACCTTTTTTTATCTGTATTATCCGTCTCCTCCACCTCATCAGCGCTACAAGTGGCACTAGAGTCACTGTCCCCATGCAGACCTGCTTTGGTCAGGTGCTCCTTCTTGGAGCTCTTGGAGGCTTTGACTTCCTCCTTCTCGATTCTTGGAGGTTTTTTATCCGTGGCATCGTTGGGTGGTACGGGCTGTGGCTGTTCCTTGTTGGGATCCCCTGTTTCGGTCTTTATCTCCTGCTTGATGGTTGACTCTGCCTCCTCCTTGACAGGAGGCTTCTCGTCGCCTGCCTGGCCCACGCCTGCCTGGTCATCCTTCCTGTCCTCGGTGTTGGAGTTGCCCTTCAGCCTGCTGGTCCCTTCCTCTTTAGCCTTGCTGTCCTCCGAGGAGTGCGGCGAGGGCAGGCTCTCTGTGTCCGAGCTGTTGTTTGCTCCACCTGGGAGAGAGTGGACAAAAAGATGAACAGATTAGGATTTATACTGTAAATCATTTTATGTCCCTCTAACCCTTTTCTCTTCCATCTTCCCCCATCTCCATCTGCTAGACCAGATTCTTCACGATGCCAGTCTTCTGACTAATCAGGTTTCAGGGTACAATAAGGGGGGAACATGAAACCAATTGTGGCGACGGATGCAATCTCCTGAGGATTCACCACTTTGCTGTGGAAATACAGCATATCCAGCATGTTTCTATAAACAACTGGATTTGCTTTCTACTGTTGTAGCTGCTGAAACTGATTAAACTCACAATGGTGCTCAGTAAAGCCCTCTATAAAGCCCTTAGATATCGTATTTAAATATATATATATATATATATATATATAATTATTTTCTTACAGTATGTATGAATAAAGTGAATGGGAGAAAAAAAGAGCAACTGTGAGGAGAGGAAACAGAACTGCTAACTCTTCACCTCCTTCAAAATAAAATGATTAACATCCAAATACTTGAAGAAACCATAACAGTCAATAACTAAAACTTCAACACAGCTGTTGAACTATACTCAACTAAAATTTTGCAACACGGGCCACTAAATTAGAGCCTTAGAATTTATCCCCAATAACTAACTTAGGGGAAACTAAGTGCACTAAATGTTTTCAAAATGAGCTAAAAGCACTAATTAAGTATTGCCTCATTATCAGAAGAGTGCCCACAAAGGCCAAAATCATTCATGTCAACGACACCATTTATTCTGAAATACCCCTGACAATTGTCACTGGCTTTTGTAAAATACAAAATAAATCTCTTGCGCAAAATGTAAGGGCAAAAATTTATGCCTAAGCTGAATTCTGCCTATTACTTTTTGTGCTGCAAGGATATCTGTTGGGACTGAGAGTCTTTAATTTATGGTAACACTTTAGGTTTTGTTAAAATAGCAACACAAAAAATTTAATTCTTGAAAAATAATAATTTACATCAAAAACAAACCATATGTCATTCTCCTTCTCTAACAAGCTAACAACAGCAGCATTGTTAGCTTAAACTTCCCCTATGAGACCAACGAAAAGGGAAAAAAAAAGGTTGAAGGATGCCACATGCTAGCTAACACTACGACACAGATGTTGATAGCAACATAAAAAGGTCAGCGAAGCTCCTGTATCTGCAACACTGAAGTAGTAAATCTTCTGGAGAACATAGGCAAATGCTAACTATTTAAACATTAGCTTCACGGACACAGACAACCCAGTGATTGTGTTCAGTCAAGATGCGTCTCCCAGTGTCAAAGTTCTGAACCACGCCACTCTCCGTTCTACTGCAGCAACAAAACAAACCAGTGTGCCCCCATCCATTACTCCTCCATTTAGTTGTAGAGGCAAATGTGGCTAATAATAACACAGGATATGTTTGAGCTAGACTGAAGCTGGCAATTAGAGCAGAAAAAAGTAGAAACCCATAGCAATCAAACCTGCTGAAGCACTTAATCACTGAAGAAAATATTGTGAAAAATTACCAGAAAGACAAGGATTGTGCAGCGCCTACTGTTGAACAGATTCGCAAAGACCAATCCTTGCTGACACTATAAACAAAAATATGATTTGCATGCACCAGATCCATGTTTGTTTTGAGCACAATTTGTTTTAGCACCGAGTGATCCTTTTTGTCACTCAGTGGTGAAATTTATTCACATCAACTGCAAATTGACAGGCAAATGGAAGCACAGAGTAGAACACTACTAAGACAACATAAAAGTATGACTGAATCAAAGGCACATTGTATATGAACTATTATTCTGTTATCTCGTCTACCACTTTGCAAAACTCAGAGAAATTTCTGTTTGTTTAAACGAGGACTGAATTGTTCCGATTGTTGAAACTTAAAATACTGACATATTGTGGTTAATCACATTACCAAGTATGAAACTTCAGTATAGTGACAACTATGCTTATTCATGCTCCCAAACAAAAGAAGGAATGATGTACCTTCTCCATCTTCAGGTGGTTCCTCTTCGTTGCAGCTGGCTCCTGAACCCTCGATCTCCTCCTCCTCTGCAGCATACGTAGCACTCGCCTCTTCGTTCTGCGAGGCTTTCCCCCTCCGACGGGCCTTTCGCTCCTTCTCCTGGGTTGAAACAAGAACACGCTTCAAATGCAACCCCAGAGACACAGTCAAAGTACAAACATCAGCACTATGTGAAGCAGGTATGGCTTCCTTACCGATTTCATTTTATGCTGCTGCAGAATCTCATCCAGTTTCTGCCTCTTCTTGTAATTGAAGTAGAAGTTTTTGCACTGCGACACGGTTTTCGATCCCACCATCTTGGAAATGGCGGACCAATTCCTACCATACTGGAGAAGGCCTGGAACCAACAAGTGGACAGATGACAAGATTAGAGAAGGGACTTTGTAGTTAGCATTACCAGTTAAAAATCTGCAACAGTAGAGAAGAGAAAAGAGATTCTCTCTATGAGAAACCATCCCTGTCAGAAGAACAAATGCATCACACATTGGGCTAGTTTTGGATTATCTATCATCAGTAATAAGTCCAGATGGCTTAAACTTTCCAAACATAGTAGTTTGCATCCACAAAGACTAAACGATTAGGGTGTTATGTGGTAGGTGGACCCACTGGGGTCACTTTGTGTCATATTTCTAACTGACTTTGATGTGACCCAATTCCAAGAAACCCAAGTCCTTTACCCAGTCAAGCACATGATTGTGTCTTACACAAGAGTCAACAGGCACCCGCTGGGCCTGAGCTGTGATGGATCGACCTGTCAGGAAACACACAAGCTCCCTTACACGCACACGTAAACAATCAGAAAGTATGCATGCTAAAAAGGAGCTACAGCAAGCGGTCGCAGCGTGCAAGTCCCAATGAGAAAGACCATGTAGCATTTGCTCCACTGGCCCTCCCTTTTAGAGTCTGCAGTTAGCCAAAGGCAGCTCATTAACTGTGTGTGTTGTAAGAGGCTTAGTTTACACCACCCACTTGCTTCCTGTGCCAGCCTGACAGGTCTTGGCAACAGGACAGGATTCTTGAAAGGTTGTTGGGGGCGGTGTGAGGGAGGAGGTGGCGGCGGTGGGGGGGTGTTATTAACAGGCATGCAGCCAGCACATCTTGGGATAACCTTGGACATGGGTTCAGAGGTCTCTGCATCTCATCGCTTAATGGAGCCGGTAAGGCCAGAGGAAGCTGAGGAGAGGGGAGAGGGAAGGACAGCTGTGTACAGCACTGTCACTTCACTTCGTCAATCTGTCACAGATGCTGAAGCTCCCTTAAACTAATCAGCACAGAGATTATTACTAACAGCTGGCTTAAGAGTCGGACTATTGTTTGCTTAGAATTTCCGCAAAGAAGCTTGTTGGTAAATTTTTGTTCCAAAGCGTTTGAGATGCACTGAGAAATCGGCTGCCGATCGGTATTGCAATTCACCGGCCAGCCGAAAACTCGGTAACATTTAAACTCAGGCTATTTCGCGTCGACAACCGAGGATTAAAAGTGGCTTTCTATATTCTGAAAGTTGATGCTTATGCCATTTTAATAAATAATTTCCAACAGCAGGAAGTCATGTAAACTTATTTTGGAATCCCAATCGGAGTCAAATCTGATGAGTGAACTGGTTCAAACATGGTTCAGAGTCAAAGAAAATAGGAACAGAGTAAAACAAACTGAATCAGGGATGCACAGATATGACAATTTAGACCCATTTTGATATCCGATATTAATACTGCTGTTATGGCTACTAACCAATTTTGACCAATATTATATATATTCCCCTACACCTTCAACACTGTGAAAACGTTTTCTGCTTCATTTAAAATCTCCCACAATCCTGCACTGTGTCACTATCAGGAGTGAACAAATCGACCAATAGCAATGTTGACGCTGATATATCGCACAACCATAAATTGAACCGTGAGAATTTTAAATATTTACCACCATTTATTTCAAGAGTTGAAAATACTTTCCTACAAAAGTAAAATAATCGTCTAAGTGATAATAATTTGAGTACGAATGAGGTTACTGCTATTAGGAAATTATATTATGTAGGTACAAAATGGGCACGCAAATTAGCAAAGGGGTGAAATAACCTGAAGTCTAACCAGGCTCTTACAGGTTGCATTGACAGTAACCCTCTTCAGTGACGACACCTGTTATTAAGTGAGGAAGAATCGGAGCAGGATATTTTTAGTGCCAAGTTTACAAATTCAGTAAGAGGAAGCACAGGTATGTAGAAAACAAATCTGTATTTTATACATTTAAAAGATAACAGGAAGTCTTTCTATTGCACAACAGCTATTTTCAATACCTTTGCAAACATTGAAACTTTATCACGAAGCCCCTCTAGATTAAAAAAAGTTGGCCATCATTTGGATGTCTCAGAGTTAAAATAAGGATGTATATGATCAACTCCAGCTTTGATTCAAGTGTGCTCAAACACACTTGAATCAATAGTTTTTCAGTATCTCACCAAGACCTACAGAGGCCATTCAGGTGTGTTGGATCAGGGATGCATCTAAAAGTTTGAGGTTTTAATTAAGAACAACCCTGTTTGCTCCCAATGCAAATAATTACATAAATAAAAAAATTACTTGTGTCAGGGAGCCTAGAACACAATACTTTGAATGATGCTCATGTATCATATTACAATATATTTTTTAAGCACAAAAGCTAGGGATCGGAAAACGGCTGCTGGATTTTTATCGGTGCATCTCCACACAAAACTGAATTTTTTTTTCTATTCTGTCTGCAGGGGCATTAGATATCATCTGAGCACAGATCTGAACACTAAAAGCAAAAATAACAAGTATTTACTGTCAATTTTCCTATTAAGGTTAATTAAAAAACAAAAAAAAAAACTCAACAAGCACATGCAATGTTCCAATTTGAAGTAGAAAAGCCTTTCCGCCAAAGACGAGAAATCAAACCAGTTGCTCTAACTCTCTCCATGAGGACTGAGACATGTGACAAACACACATTAACCTTTTACAGAAGTCCCACAAGCAGATAGCAGGGGGATTCCTCTGCCCTAAAAGTACCTTGTTACCCAACATGTTCGAAGGCACCATTAGCCACCAAATATGCATATTTAAACAAGTGAGACAAACTCTTTGCAGCAGCACGAATAAAGCTAAAACACTAAGCTAAGTTCATTTACTGAAAGCAAAAGGTCACTTTGTCTCGACACCCTAGCAGCACATTGTTGATTTAATCATAAGCCAGCACACAATACAAATCAGCTCTGGTTGACTCAGAAACTTGGCTGCCGCAGGAGCACACATGGCACAAACATCCAATGAGTGGCAGCCATGCTGAAACAGGTGGTGTCTTCACACCCAATCACAACACTCGACTTCCAGTAGCTCCTCCCTGAGAAAGTCCAATCAACACCTGGTGCAGCCAGAAAGTTGTTGTTCCTGTCTGTCACATGCCCTGTCCCTTGCCTCAGTCGTGGATTTTGCGGCCCGGCGGCGGAGCAGCTCTGTCGGACGCTCTGGTCTCTCTAGAGCTCCGGCTGGGAGGCTCTTCTGGGGCTGGGCCTTCCGATCCAGAGCAGAGGAGATGAAAACAGCTCGGTCGCTGCGCTCTTCCTGCCAGCTGGCTGGAAACTTGAGCCGGTGTCAAGTTGACATGCTCCGAAATGGCACATGCTCCTCTCTCTCTGTCTCTCTCACTCTCCTTTTTCCTCCCGCTAATGTCGTCCCAGCGCTCCGGTGAGTGCTGCTGTGCTGTGCTGCGTCTCTTCCCCCAATGGCGGTCGTCTGAGAAGACTTCCACAGGAAAGTGGGACTGTGGGGCGGCGCTCTATGCTCAGCCTTTCTCTCCCTCATCTGATCTCTCCTATCTTTTTTTTTTTCTCTCCCTCCCTCCCTCTTTCCGTCAGTCTGTCCCGCCCCCTGCCTTGCTCTGCCAGCAGGCGCGACGGCACGCACGCACACACTGGAACAGACAAACGCATGAGTGAGTACAAACTCGCTAGAACTCCCCCGCCACCGCCACCCCCACCCTCCCTCCGTCTCTCTTGTTAATACTCTTGCACACAGACACAAACACACATTGAGGCAGTCCAAGAGTAAACAGAGAGCAGCGAGGGAGAGGAAAGAGATAGAGGGAGCCCAGCCACAGAGCCAGAGAGACAATGGAGAAAGGGATAGGATACAGAAGTGGAGAGTAAGAGGGGCACACAGGCAGGAGAGAGAGAGAGAAAGAGAGAGCAAGAGAGAGAGAGGGGAGTTGATGTTGATACCATGAGAAAGCATAAAGGCTTTCACATTTTTCCTGACTGACCTGCTTTTCATCTTGAATGTGACCTCTTCAGTTTATAACAACACAGAGTGAGGGGCAGAGGGAGGAAAGGAGACTGAGGGGAGGAGGAGAGAGGGAAAAGAGGTGTTTGCCAAATCTTCCACAGCTCTTGCCAATCTGGGCCGCTGCCATCTTCTGACCCAGAGACAGGAGCGAGAGACGAGAGCGACGGCGGCGCAATAAAGAGAGGAGAGATAGCATGGCCTTCCCTGTCTGCTGCTCCTTTAAATGGGTTTCTCCTGCAGCAGATTAGTGCACCTACATAAACCCCCGACCAGGAAGGCTGCACATGAGGCCGAGAGAATGCAGACGCAACAGTTGCCAAGGGTTTATAGTGATCAGAGATCGGAATAGGCCAGTTTTCCCCTTGATCGGCAGGTCAATTACTGAAAAAATCTGAACTCCCATCATCTACATTACATAATAACAACTAATTACATGTATTTCGACGTGCTTTCTTGAGTTTAACAAAAATGACTGAGGATCAGAGAGACATATTTTAATTAAGGGTGTCGTGATGCAACTCTTTCACTTCGGATAAAGATATTTCAGTTTTGAATAATGGCCAATACTGATAATTGCAAGATTAGATATCAACAGGAATCACACATACTTTTGTAATTTATAATCCCAATGTGTGATGCAATGGGAAATGTTAGAAAAGGCTTGATCAAGTGATATAAGTGTAACAGAGCACAACAGTCAATGATAGAAATGATAATAATCACTGATTCATTCATTATTAACCCGTTGGTCTGCATGCTTGTATCCAAGGTTTTAGATGCAGGCCACTATATTACACAACTCGTTTTTGGTTGATAACCGATTTTGATATCAATATCGGATCGGGACACCTCTAGTTTTAATAGTTCTATCATAGAACAACCTGCACATTTTGGACTCTTTCCTATAAAAAATAAAAGCCAAAATCTGAATAAACAGCCCTTCACAAAAATCTGAAACTGGTATTGGCCAGAAAAAATCTGATGAGTGCAAACCTTCCAAGTAGTGTGGCAGAGTTGTTGCTTAAGGCTAAACTGGCTGGCAACAACACGCCGGCGTGCTGATGTTCTGCCAAGAACAGTAATGTCATTATTCAGATCTGGTTAGCTCAAGGGGATAAATACAATAGCATCAGGACACCTAAGCCTCTTTAAAACATATACATATGAAGCACATGACTTGGAAGACATCCCGAGCGAACAGAATTCAACACTGTGCAGAAACGGGCCGAGGAAGGTAGCAACGTTCAGCGTCTCGGAGCGATGCAATCCCCGGGGGCAGGTTAGAGGATGGTTGGCAGAACTGATGAAAAACATTAAGAGCAGCTCCTCCTCTCCGGCTCTACTGAACTGTAGCTGGAGTCCTGTGTTTGTGGTTACATAAGCCCTTCATAGAAGCTCTGCTTCGACTGAGCTGCCAGGCTAATCCTCTGGGATGGAGTGCCCCACTAATCCCACGGCAGGAGAATGGAACTGAAGACATTAACCAGGATTACTACACAGGACCGTGTTCAAGCAAGGCCAGCGGCAGTTATCACTAAATAACCTCGTAACTCACAGAAAGAAAAAAACACACAGACTTAGTAGAAGACGCTACCCAAAGATGAGCAGATTTAAAGTCAGTTTTGGTTGATTTAAAATGGAGGACAAGGACAAGTGATAAAAAGCAGAAAGGGGTCACATCAGACAATCGCGGAGTATTTCAGACTTTTTAATGCTACTTTGAATGAAATGCATCACTTATAAACTATACATATAAAACCTGATTGGAGGATCCTGCTGTATTACAACCAACCATCACAAAAGCCTCTGTAGCGCCAAACGTAAAACTTTTAATTTTTTATTTTTTTGCATTGTATTGTTTGGCAACAGATGTAAGCCATTGGTGAAAATCAATGTTGTCCAGCCAACTGGTGATAAATTTGCACGTACCCATGACAGACACAGGAAAGCTAGCCAGCTAGCAAGGGTACATTAGCGGCTGATTACCAGTAGCCTCAACCAACTTGAACCACAGAATGCAATGAAGATGTCTGCATAAGACTCAAACTTGTGCAGCCTGGTAAAACTTAAGATTATCATCTCAAAGGACAACTTACAATTTATAAAACAAATTTAAAACAATTTAAGGCCTTTACTTTACACGCATGAATTTAAAGATGCACGGACACCCTGAGTCTAACCAACTGCATACGAATGGCACCAAAATAGCTGCTCACTCAGAAAATGTTGACAGATGTCAAAATTTAGAACATTAAAAGTCTGACATAAAAAAAACAAGAGATAACCAACCCATTGTAAACTTTCAAATGGCAAAAAAAGAGACGTTTCCTGGCTAAGTGCTAACAGGCAGAGCTAATCCCAATTCTTCAATGCATACAAATTTTGATTTTTCCCTGAAAACAAAACTATGTTGGCCAGATTCTGCATCAATAACATATTTCAAGAAAAAACCTTGTAAGAAGCCATTCAAAATTAAATTGTATCATCTGCAGCAGTGGCTCCTAATGTTGACTCTCAGAATCCACTTTCCTTTATGATTTAAATGTGTAGCAAATGTGATACTTGGTACCACGTTACCAAGTACCATGTCTTTTGGATGCTAAAGACAACAAAAAATGTCAACTTAGTAATAATTATGTCTTTGTTAAAAAAATAAAAATCAAGAACATTATAAATAAAAAATGATTGGTGACTTGTATGTTGTTCAAATCTTCATATAATTCTTGAAGAAAAAGTGGACTCAGCTTTTACTTTTTGTAACAATGTCCAGATATCCGAGATGAAATAGAAATATTCTAACAGGTGAATCTCTAGATTAAACAGAATATTTATTCTGCATTTTATGGTGAAAACTTACAAATGCAAAAAGTTAAAATTACATTTTTAAATTCAACATGATAACTAGACATATTTGAGAGACATCACCACTGAAGATCAAAGAATCCGACATAGAAAAGCTGTATGCAGAAGAGCTCACTCAATCTGAGAAGCTCAATCAATCAGTAACTGAGGCTCAACCAATATACAAATCAAATACTCTCAGACACACTCACACACAGAGCTATTGCTGAGCAAAAACGGGCAGGATGGCAGTGACCTCTGCAAATCAGCCATAGGCTTTTGGGTAATCTTCAGTCAGGGACAATAAACAGCCCGAGTTAATGACTGCTGCTTTCGCAGGGCTTGCTGATAAGGGACAAACTTTACAGCCTCCCTGATAAAAGCCGAGCTGCCTTGACCCACAGAGAAAAGGAAACGGCTCCAAAGAGCAACAAACGCCTTTTCAGGCAGACTGAGAAGCACACGCACAGACACAACCTCACAGCACGTGGCAGCTGCCGCCTCTCTAACAGGAAGTCACACCCGTGTCGGTCGGCGATGCTTTCAAATGTCGCTCGGGCGGCTAATGTTCATTGATCAGTTCATGACAGCATTACAACACACAGCGAGGCTGACGGAGCGAGAAGACGAAAAGTTTAATCTGCATTACCTTTTTTGGCTGTTTCCATCTCTTCTTCAGTCCAGCGAGAGCTCTCATTCATTTCCAGATTGGCTGTCAAAAAAAAATATAGAGAAGCAGCGAGTTAGAGAAGGCGGGAGGAGGCGGGGTAGCGGGCAGTTGTCATAAAGTCAGTTAGGGAGTGACTGACATTAGGAAAGGAAGAAGAGAAATGAATTGAAGAAGGGGGAGAAAAAAACAATGAGAGGGTGGAGGGGGGGAGGGAAGCTAGCAGTGAAGCACTGCAGCTTTGGTTGCTAAGGACTATTTGTTTTAGATGGAGGAAGCAGGAAATCCAAGGAGAGAAGTCAGTTAATGATTATAGACATAACAATTGGCTGCTTTCCCTGCATAGGCTGTGAGCCAGGCTGTCAGGAGGGCTGGAGCCTGCACTTATACGTCCTCTGTATGGACTTGTGAAGGGCACAATGGGCCGTTTGGCAACGCTAACCAGCAGAAGACCAAACAGTGGCAAGGGTGGGGCTGCTTCCTGCCAGCTGCCCCCCCTCCTCCACCCTTTGTCACCTGGGGAATCCCTGTGACCGAACCTGTGCCGCGGGAACGACTGCGGCATGCACACACAACTGCTGAAACATCACAAATCCTGTAGTAGCCCGGAGCTGAAGTGTTACATGACTGAATTACTATCTGAGGGGGTGGGGTGAAGGAAATCTAAGCAGGAAAACACTGCGGAGCACGACTATTTGTCAATAGTTCTGTTTTTGAGGCAGGAAAATTTCAGTCAGATTTCATTTGAGTTATGCCAATTATGCATGTCCCTTTTGCTGAAGCTTTTGCAAAAGGAAACAATGAGAACGGAGGAACAACAGTACACTCTGGTGGTTCACAACATGAGGCTACAAGTAGATCAAAGGTCACCCTGTCTAATATCATTGATGTTAGAACTTCTGCGTAATTTTATTTAATCATTAAAAAATACTAACTTTTATTTTTTGCCATTCATCCTCAATGATTAGCCTCTAGCTAAAGACTTCACAAGTTGTTCTGTGATGAAAGATTATCATTGATTTGTCCTACACTTTCAGGATTTCATGTTTTTCTGCAGCAACTTTTCAAATGGCAATCTCCCAAACATTTATGATTTTTAGTAAAGATTAAATAAAGAAAGAAAAGAAAATGAGAGTAGGCCCATTTGTGCTAACCGAGCTCGTTGCTGAGCGGCGGAGTGATGGTCTCCTCTCCTTCGCTGTTCATGGAGCGGGTATCGCGGCCTTTGCGGCGGCCCTGACTGTTCGCTGTTCGTCTTCCCTTGAAAGCCACAGTGGGCTCCTTGTCTTCGGCATCTTCTCCAGAAGTGTCATCCCTGCATTTTAGAGATGACGACAGAGTCAGAAATGCTACAAATTAATAAATTAATAAAAGCAGGGCGTGGTTGGGATCCTTGTCCTGTCAGAACACCTCGTCACCATCAGTGATCAGAAGGTCAGGCTTTTGAAACATCTATGTTCGACCAGAAAACTGCAATTAGTGCAAAATTGTTTTAAAATGGACACAATTTGAGGCTTCAACAGTACAACCGTGCCAGACGCATCAACATTGTTTGAGGGGATAAAAAAGGCCAGGCTAAGACTTTCACCTTACGTATGGACAATCCCTAAAAGGAATGCAAATAATAATAATAATAAAAAAAAAAGAAAGAAAATGAAATCACACAATTCAGTTTTTTTTAAGTTATCTAACTGAAGTTAAAATACATATATTTCTGGGCAACTTGAAAAGACAGTGGAATCTTGCTTAGCAAGAGACGTTGGAGAGCAAATTGTGATTATGTGCGATATGCCTACACTGCTCTTTCATTCTTTTTCACTCTCAGGATAATTTATCGCGTGTCACCACAGTGGCATGCAGGAGATGGCAACAAAGCTTCAACCTCCTGCTCCTCCATTCATCTTCCTCCTACTTCATTAATCTTGCCAAAGGGAGCTAGTAGCGCTCTAAATATAGGCGAGCCAGCTGTGCCAGGGGTGACACGCAGGCAGCAGGGTGTGCAAAGAGCCACAGAGTCCCCAGGCCTTTCCTCAGAACAGGAAAGCAATGGCCACTGGTTCATCAACATCACCATCATCATCATCTTCTTTTTCATGCTTATAAATATGGGGCTGGCATTGCTTGAAACAACTGCAGGATACAACCTCAGCTGACAGCATAATAAACAACCTAACTGCAGACACAGAGATTTTAGTTCTCAGGCAACAGAAAGCCGTGATTTTCCATCTGTTGTTTTTCATCCTCTGCAGGAACCCAGCCAGAAAACATTCGCTCGTTGATCACTGCATCCACCTGTCCACCCACCCAGTGCCACACACACACACAGGCACACAACCACAAGCGCGCACACAGACACACACAGTGTGTCAAAGAGACACCTGGTTTCATTACTGAAATTATTTTCCACAATAAAACAAAAATAAAACAACAATAAAAAAAGAGAAATAAGCCTCAAACTTGTGGGAGAAAGAAGATCTGGCTTCACAAAAAGAATCGGGGAAAGAAGCAGAAAGACAAGAGCTGCCGTAAGAGAATAACCTGGCTGTAGGTTTTGAAAGAAATAGATTTTAAAATCCACTCTGGCTTTCCAAAATGCATACTTTCAGGCCTTCACCACATCTAAAAAATATGTGGCATGTAATTATATCATTTGGGCGTGTGGGTCAAGCTAAATAAAACTGACTCAAAAAATAAAATTGTAACAACTGACACAATACTGAGATACACCTAACAGTACTACTGATAGTGAGTTGTGTAGAGCTGCCACTAACTATTTAGCAATCGATTACTCTAATGATTAATCGGCTTTAAAAAAAAAATTCTACAGATTTTTTTCATTTAACCTTTAGAACAATTTTTTAATACAATATTAGAAATACATTTTGAAAGATGCAAATGAATAATCCAACTTCTTTCTAAAGAAAATAAGCATCTAACTGCCTACAATCCCATAATATAGCTTTCCTTTGGTGAACTTTAAGCGTGTGATGCTAAAATTGTGAAATTTTAGAAGATCTTGGTAGAAAATATTTACAGAGTAAAAGTTTTCTTTTTCATCTTAAACGCACATATTTTTGCAGTTTTGGCAAAATTACTTCCCTGAATATGTTGCTTTTTCAGCAAATGGCCTTTTCGTATACTCCAGTTAACGATTAATCAATTACAAAATAAGCTGAAGATTATGTGAATAATCGATTAATTGTTTCAGCACTAGAGTTGTATATGTTAATACTGTTCAGTACTACAATTCATTCTGCCCACTTCAACAATATAAACTATTAAAAACTACGCATCAAGCGACAGATGGTCTGTTGGTAAAAACAACTGTGACTTTAGAAAAATCACTTAAATGTCACCAGGAAACATTTTACGCTGACAGTAAAAAAAAACAAAACAATAAAAAACAAAATCAGATCGCCTCGGAGAGCAACTACCGAATACTTACTGCTATCCAAGCACGTAGTGGTAGATTTTTGAATCATTGTATAGCTCTGACTCGAACTATATCAAATCAGAGATACAGTTTCACATTCACTTTGACTTTTTGACAAAGTGCATGTCAGGAAATGAACAAATTTCATAACTTTAACAAGATTTTGGGGTGCTGAACAGCCTTCATTTCAGCCAAGATTCAGCACAATTCAAAAGCAGCTCACTTCATTCCATCCTCCTTGTCTTCAGCTTCATTTTTCTCTTCGTCTCTCTCCCCCTCCTTCTCTTTTTCCTCCTTCTCCTTGTCGTCCTGGCTGTTCCGGTTCACTTGTTGCTGCTGTTGCTGCTGCTGCTGTTGCTGTTGTTGCTGTTGTTGCTGCTGCTGCTGCTGTTGTTGCTGCTGCTGCTGCTGACCGTGCTGCAATTAAAGAACAAACATCGGAGCGCTCCGGTAAATTTCACATCTCCAAAACATTTCACGGCTGAGCAATAGTGGATTTTGGCTGTAAATTCTGTAAAAAGCTTCGGGTTATAAATATCCAACGTGCCGGTTGGCTGAAGGGGAAAAAAAATAAATAATGCGTCTCGTTTAACATCTTGGACCACCTTCAGCTCAACAGCACGAATCATTTACAGTAAACTTGCTTCATAAGTGAAGAGAAAAACATTTGTTTTGATGGATAAACAATTAGACACTCAGATCACAACACCGCGTCGAAACAATTATACCCTCAAGTCTTTTAAATAAAGATTGCATCCGTTTCAACCGCTGCTTTGGCCCTGATGAGCCCATCACTCTGAAACAGAATTAATCCAGACTAATCAGGCTGCATGACCTTTTCTAGATTGCTGCTTAGACTCATACTTGCGCTCTCTAATAAACTGAAGCCTTCATTTTTTTGATTAGCCTCGCTGGTAAGAGGGTTTTCCTAAGGCTACAGAGAGATTTATCACCTTGAATTAGATTCCTATTAGCTAAACGTATGCTCATGATTAATCATTGCAAGATCTCTGCTTGATTTAAATATTTAATATCTAAAGTGGCATTTTTTCCACATTTTCCAAAATCTATTTGCAAGCAAACTTCAAGTAATATCATAAGTTAAGGTGCAACATCGCCATTCTCTGGAGCTCTTACCCACAAATATTTTTCAAAAGTTCGAAATGCTTAATACTTCACCTCCACACGTCACAAGCTCCGGTCGACACTTAAGACGAAACGACTTCCCCAAATGTAAGTTTTTGAATAACTTTGGAACAAGAAAAACAGCCTTTTCTCTCTCTCGCTCATCTGCAGTCTTGGTTTCGATTCGATTCAGCTACAGAACACCCACTAACCTTCAAGTCAAATCTACAAATTGTCATAAGATGTAAAACAAAACAGGATATGAGAGTTCCGAAATTATAGCAGAGCGTTTCTGCTGTATAACTGCACCCAGAACCACTTCCTCACCAGCTTCCTGCCTGTCTGGGCTTTAGGGGTTAGAGTTCAGACAACTACAGCCACACACTCAGACCAGAGAACCTTCTATGCTGCATTATCTTATTATATTCACAATTGGTCTCTGCTAATAGCTATCTTTGCATTAGCTGCTTCATCCAGGGAAAAACAAGCTGCTACCATCTACCGGCATCAATACATACACTGACTCATAGATGTTTTATGGTAAGTGAACAAACAGTAAGTGGAACAAAAGATGCGTTGAAAGTCTCTCTCTTTTTGTATGTCATCACTAAAACCCCATGAAATAATCTCCCCAGATTACGTCTCTCTCTATGGGCGGTCTAGTGACTGCCCATAAAGAGGGACGGAGCACTTTGACACGGTCTCTCTCCAGCTCTTACAATGTACAGCAATGCACTTTCATTTCCTCCTCTGAGCACCCCTTTTCCGTCACTGTGAGCTCATTAGATGCAACACAAAACACGTGGAGCAAACGTCAAAGTGCAGATTCATCAGGAAGGCCAGGAGACGTCACGATACACACAGAACAAAAAAGTCGAGAGCAAATTAAAGTGCCGTTCCTGTATCCATTCCCACTGCGTCTGATGAATAGCTTCAGATGATGAACAGGCACAAAATGTGGATGGTTTAAGAAAAAATAAAAATGTATAGAAATTTAATTAGCAAAACTAAATGAGCTTTAACAGACTTAGGGGCTTTTGAATATCACGAAAAGCCCCTGACATCAGTCAGACCAAACTTACCTTGTTTTAAGTCCAACAGAATAAGCAATGCTAATGTCACCCTAATTACAGGAGTAATGTGTCGAAAATGTATTTATTAATGTATTCAAAATCAAAAGTTTACGGAAATGTTCTTACTGGTATGCTTTTTCAAATTCTCTGGAGGACTGATAAGAGTTTGTGAAGGCCACAACAAAACATTGACTTTGTTGACCTCAAGACACTTTGTAACCACTATGGCTACACACTGAGGTCAATCTCCTGTTTTTGGTGGCTCTAGCAGACCTTCCACTTTACAGTTTTGCCCAACATCGCATTGGTCTGTCACAGAGAGAGTCCAATAAAGTAATTGTGGCATGACAATATGTGGAAAAGCTCCAAGCTCATAGTTCATATTTCAAAATCCTGTAGCTCAAAATATTACAACACACAAAAAAGGTGTGTGTGTTCACAAATGTTTAAGAAGGTTGATAATGATTCGTCTAATATATGTTTAGGCCTGAAATCCGAAACTGATCGATCATCTTCAAAAAAAAAAAAACGATGACAGAGCGACATTTTCCATTCTGTTCCTTTGCATATGAGCACAGTCCAGTTTTTTGTTGATAAAATAAAATGATCAAAAGATATGTTGCTAATCTTTGCCAAGTTTGTTTAAGAACAGGAAATAACATGACTTTCAGAGTCATAAGTTACATAGTAAATAAGCTTCACATGTATCAGCGAATGACCAGCAACAGCAGTATATGCATTCATTTTCAGCCTCAGGAAACATGTACACAATACTAACATAATGCTTCCCGGTTGAATAACAGCTGATTTTAAGAAGTGACAGTACCAGAGATCTCCCTCGGCGTCGGTTCCTCCGCACTATATTCTTGTAGTTTTCATTCTTTTTGGTCAGGTAGTAAAAGAGCACACACTCTGCCACCGTCTGAAATGCAAATGTAAAGGTTTTCACTTCCTCTGAACACAAAATCACTCCAAAAATAGCATAAAAAAAAAAAAAGCATTTCATACCTTTCTCTCAAGAAAAGAAGCGATCAGGCCAAAGTTTTTAGGATGCTGGATGAACCTTTAAGAGGAGAACAAAGCTGATCAGATTTAAATCGTCTGAGCTTCCAGAGTAAGACTACAAAAATCACAACATAAAAAAAAAAAACATGACCTGTAAAAGAGAAACATAAAGTTTCATTTAAATCATCTTAGATGTGGAAAGAAACATCCCAGATGACAATTACTGGTGAAGGCAGCAAGTGTTTGTTTTTGGTGAATGTGACCCAAAGAGGAAACTAGAGCTCTTTGTATGTGGGTAACTTAAAAGTCACCAGTTTTACTGTGTGGTCTTGATTTGATTTGGTAGCTCCAAGCCTCCTCTCAGTTCTCACGAAAGGGGAAGATTCACTTCCTTAGCAAAAACAAAACAAAAAAATCCCTCACTGACCTATTATCGGTTACGCAAATTTTATAGGGAGTAAGTCACGTTAAAACTTGTGGCGTAAGAACTATGGCGCTTAAGTCGACTCATGTGGCATTTGACCAGAGAGAAAAGATTTTACCGGGAACAATTACAATAATTGGAGGGGGGAAGGAGAAAAAAAATGTCTCACTTCTCTCGGAAAGTGTCCCTCTCCTGCTCGCTCCACATGTTCATGACCTGCCGGTCCTTGTAAACCTTCATGGGGTCGTCCATCAACCCGTTCATGTTGATGAACTTGATGCGTTGCTGCTCGGCGTCGAACAGCATAGGGGGGATGACGGCCAGCTGCCGCATTTGCTTCTCCGTGTTCTGCATGTGCCACATAGACGGGAAAAAAGAAGCAAAGAGAGAGAGAAAAAAAAAATCCAGGAGTAAAACAGACTGCTGCTAAAAGAGAAAGCACTTCTGGCTTTGTAAAGACATGGCCCCTTTCAAAACTAATGAATTAGTAGGAGATAAGCCATAGATTTATTTTCTGTTTATAATTTAGTCATCAGTACAACCCTATAGGAGTAGAGATGCTTTTTATTTTCTTTAAAATAGCTCCCTTAGATGTATTATTCTTCAAACCTGAGCTTAATAAATGCAGAAAATAAAAATGTTCACATATTTATTTGCACAGTTGTTTTCTAGTGTCAAGTAAAAAAACAGAAAATGTTTTTTTTGATATTTTCAGTTAAACACCGTTATATATTGTAGAATTAAACAAAATAAATAAATAAAAACAACCACTAAGTTCCCATTATCACCAGTCAGCTTTGCTGCTGACTAAGCAGGTTGCGAAATGCACTGTGATCAATATCAGGGCTTGAAAAGAACAATGAGATGATGCTAGACTACAGTATAAGCAATTTCAAAGATTTAAGCAATAAAAAATCTTTAATGCGAGTCTGGATCTTAGATGGTAAATGAGAGTGAAGATATGGTGGTGCTAAAATGGGAAGACATTCAGCTTTAAAAATAAATGTTAGAAAACAAATGTAAATCTACTTGGGACCTCAAGAAATTTTGATTTATTGACATTAATGTTGCATTGTGGTTGCAAAAACTCTTTCCTTTTGAAAAATCCACAGTTTCTCGAGTCAGATTTTCTCAAATTATATTTTGGAAGCAAGAGCAGCTTGTTGTAAATAAAGTTCTTTTGATTAATTGCAATTCTTTAGAAATCTTAGAGGGAACGAATGGGTAGGGTGACGGCAATGAGGCCTTCCAACCTTGGAGCTCAAAAACAAAGATAAAGCGATCAAAAACCCAAGTGGGAACAAAGAAAAAAGCTGATCAGTAATAAGAATATAAGGAAGATTTAATTGCTGCAATGCCAACAAAGTTTTTTTCTAATGACTGATTATTGAATCTTAAACAAGCCATTATTAGTACATTGTAAATAAAGCCGGGCCTTTTTGTCACAAAATTGAGAGCAAGTCTATGTTTCTTACATTTAATTTATTAATATTTACCTGAAAGATGGCTGACTTCATCTGTGTATTTGAATGTAAGCATTGTGAAACGATGAGTCAGCGTGAGTGAGTTTAAACTGAGATGAGTTAAAATGTCGGAAAATGTTTGGCAGTCTGCCATCAGAAATCTCCATCATTGCTTCCTGCTGCATTAGTAAGAACTATCTGTTTACAAAACTGTTTCCTAAGGTAGAGTTCTGCCCTGCTAAATTAATCTTCCTGCATTAAAAATTAGAAATATTCTTGTGAAAACTCATCCTTTATCAATTATTTTCACATAATTGCACTTGTAGAAAATTATTTTTGCAAAATTGTGGTTCCAATTAGACTCTCAGCAGTAAACTGGTTCAAACTATTATCATAATTAAACAAATAGTGTTTTGGGGTTGGGCAATTTGGCTTAAAAATAAAATTAAAATTAAATTTTAGATTTCATCAAAAAAATATTTGCTTCATTTGTAAGAAATTACAAATGACAGAAAATATTTTCAATCTTCCAGACAAACAGAAGTTGTCAAACAGGCTCGTTCGACAAGATGGCGGGCCTTGGATCCTGACGGCATGAACTATGGAATCCCAAATATCCAGATTTTCCAAAGATTTAATTTTCAAAAACAAAAAATTGGATTATCAATAAAGTCAATTTCTTGCGCGGTTCCTCTATCAGTTTAACAAACTTGAGGTTTAGATCATATTTCAAGGAGAACTCTACCAACAACAAGAACTTTGAAGCACAACATGGAGACTGATCAATCAAAAATCAATCAATGTTTAGACATTGGTTATATATTTAGAGCCAATGTATAAACATTTAAAGCTACACAATCTGTGGTCTCCATGGATTGTTAAAAAAGAAAAGAAAATTAATAACACGATGTCCGAAAACTTCAAAAATAAAGTTAAAAGTTTGTAACTGAGGGTAAAGAATCCAAAACTTCGACTGCCTACGGATTAAGCAAAGTGAGCGTTCTGAACAAATCTTACCTTTCTCTTGCAGACTCGCATTTCAACCCAACAGTTGCCAAAGGGCAATTTCAGGTGGGGGTGAAACCAATTTTAACAGAAAGAGCTTACCTCATGCTCTGATATTCCATCAATGATTTCGGAGACTTCATGTTCACTGCGGGCTGCGGATGAGGCGAGGCCACCTCCTCGCTGCCCAACGCGGCTGCAGACACACAAATACAGAAATCCTGTTGGTGATTCTTCAAACCGGCGGCCATAACGGGCCACGGGAGGCGATCGCGCTCTGCTACGTGTCTTTAGTGAAAACCCACCTCTGCATTCGTTCCTGCATCTCTCTCTGCTTGCGGATCTCTGGGAACTGCTTTTCGTAGTACTCCCGCACCTTGCTCTCCTTGGCCCTGCGCCGCGGGTTATTTTCAATGCGCTCCACTTTCTTCTCCCAGGCCTCCATCAGCTGGTCATACCGCTGGCAGAACTTCTGCTCCTGCGAGATGGGGTCGAGAAAATAACTCACAGGAAGCAAAACGATGAATCAAATTCACTTAACTACTTGTGATTAATTAATTTCATTTAATTGTAATTAATTGTTTATTGAAATAATCATCAACTAATTTGGTAAATGATTCATCGTTGGTCGAAGTATCCAGATTTGAAAGAAAAAAGGCCATTTTGTTAAAGAACATACTGGAGCAGTAATTGAGCTAAAACGATACAAAAACTCTTTGGGAATACGGTCTATTAAAAAATTCTTAAGTGGCATAGTTTCAGCTAAAGCCAATTCAAATTCTGTTAAAAAAAACACTCCCAAGGACCTTTTACTATTCAATTTTAAGTAAAAAAAAAAAAAAAATACAAAACAAAACACAAAAAAAACAGCTTTATAAACAGTACTTCTTTAGCTGTAGACACATCCTTTGTGACAAATGATCAATAGTACTAATAGAATGCTATTTTATTTAATTTTTTAAGTAATTTAGTTATTTGCATCATTTAATGTGTTAAAAACGTGTAAAAAAAAAAAAAGGCTTAAGAGGTTAAATGAAAAATCTGTAGACTATGCCAAAGTTTTTTTCCGATTAATCGTCAGAGTAAGAAATAGAATATACGATCACTGAAATAATCATCAGTTTGCAGCCCTAAAATGTTTTATGTAGAGTCTGGATTTGGAGAAGAGGTCTGGCAGACAGACGGTGCAGTTTTTCTGCCTCCATCACAGACAACCTATTAACCCTGGTGGAGACATGACCCTCAGAGGGCCCATAAACTACATGGCGATATCTCTGCACATACAGTTGCCTCCCCCACAACATGAGGAGAGGAGACACTAACCCATGGCTCAGACTTTCATTCTGTCTTGCATCAAATACGTTTAGGAAAAGCAAAGGAAAAACATCAATCTTGTGGACATTTGACAACTGATTCACCAAAAATCCTTAATTTTTATAGCCAGGCATTGTGGATTTCATTTACAGACACCGTCAATCAAAAAACAACGTTTCAAAAAGTTCACTGCAGTGTTTAGCTGAAAATTAATACAAAAGACAAAGGGAAATCTTTTTCCATTTGTTTTTTGTTTTCCCAGGGACCTGAATAGAGCGTTTTAGCTTTTTTTTTTCCCCCCACTCTTCGGCAGGTCTAAAATGGCCACTCACTTCGAGGAGCAGCTGGCCCAGTTTCACACCAGTCATCTATCATTGGCTGAGTCCCAGCTGAGTCACAAACGGAGATTTCTACTTACCCACTGCTTACGAGCGTGATTTCTCCTTTTGAAATACAAAATGAGCTTCTTCCTCATGGCGTGGTTTCTGCATGGATGAAAGAGGAAAGTTAGGAATAAACCACATGATACTGAAAGAGAAAGAGTCTATATGTCAACAGTTGGACTTTACATTCGTCACATCTTTTCATGTATTTGGTTTCCTCAAATATACAGTGTCTTCATGTCTATTGAACGTTTTTCCAATTGATTTTATTATAAGATTTCATGTAACAAACCAACACAATTAGGTGTGTTGGCAGATGATAGATGATTTTCAAGGTTTTGCTAATAAAATCTGAATGGTGTGGAAATTAGCAAGCTTCAATTTATCATATTAATGGATTTATTGCGACAAGCTTAACTGCAATATCCCCAAATAAAACACAAACACAGGCAGTATGCTTTGTTTTAGTAAAAAATATCAACAATTTTTGCCCCACTTCTCAATTACGCAGAACTTTAACTTTATCTAGTTCATACAAAACCCCAATGAATAAAAAACATATTTCATTGATGTTTCCAGATATAGTGTGAAACATTTCGACTGCTAGGAGGCAGTGTACTTGCACTTTTCAACCTCAATTCTTTGCAGCATGAATGGTAAATAAAAAAAAACAATCTTACATTACATTTTGACATAAACAGAAACAACGCCGGTCCTTGAGTGCAGCCGCTCGATAAACTCAATCTCGCTTCTGGGTGGAAGGGACAGCGAGAGGAGCCAAACTTATAAAACTTGTCTGTGTTTGGAACGATCAGACTAGTAGCTTCAAATAAAGGTCAAGGCCAGTAATCTCCTTAGGCAGCTGCTTGGTTTGTCTCTTTCTTCACTGCAAGACAAGAGTTTTATTCCTGACACTTAATCTGTCACTTGTGAGGTCATGCTCTCCACTGATTAATGTAATCTTAGTCTATGTTAGACACTTCGGCTGAGCTGCTGGTTCCCGCTGGACCAAGGCAAGGACACACGACTAGCAACAACAACAAAAAAGAAGAAGAAAAAAAAAGGGGTGTCATCCATTGGTGCATGAGGTAATCTCAAGGGGAGCAAACAGGCAAAGACTTGCCTTGTCTTAAAAAAAAAAAAAAAGTTGATTTACAGAAATAATTACATATGCTGAGCCATGACTTTGCAGCTCGAAAAATAACTGTGAATCCAGCTGCATAGAGGTGATATACCCATGTTGTGCATAACAAGTGAGAACCTATCTGGTGAAGCGCACACACACACACACACTCAAAAAAAAAAAAATCCCACCCTGATAAAGTAGATCTTCTCAAAAGACAGAGATGGCATTGTCCTCTGCACACCAGATGGCAAAAGACGAGATTAGTAGCCCCGTAACCCTGCAAAAAGGTTCTCTTTGTCCCCCTTTAAGCTCAGGCGCTTTCTAAGATATCGGAGAATGCTGTAATTTGGCATAATACTTTAAAAAACACGAAAGCTGAAAGATTCATTATATGCAGACTTACAATAGATGTTTTGCAGTTGTTTTTGCTCAGGCTTGCTAGCTGAGCAAAAAAAAAAAATTTCAAAGAAAAAAAGGAGAAAAAAAAGGCCTGAACTTCAAAGTTTTGTCCTCAGTGTGTGTAGTTACGCAGGGATGTCGGCCTACTTTTCATCAGCTGACTGTGTGTGTGTGTGTGTGTGTGTGTGTGTGTGCGCGCGCGCATACGCATGCGCGCGGGATGCGAACCAGGAGGAGGGGATTGTGCTCGCAGAGATCCACAGAGATATCGGTAGCCATCGCTGCCGGCGGGGATCAATGCCAAACTTATCAAACCGGTTAACAAAACAAAGAAGCTAATTGTGCTCGGTCAAACTGACACACCGGGATTTAATAACGCGCGCACAAAGACGGAGTGAAAGCGGTTTTCAGTTAATTGCTTTGAGGCAATAATACTGATCAAACGGCGCGGGGATCAAAAGGAGTGAAGACGGCAGTGAGCGGTTAATAGTTCAGGATTGTCTTGTGGTATGCCGCTGTGCCCGAACTACACAGTCAGTGTTGGAAGAAAAACCCCATGACAACCTTCAGATGTGTCTCCATGAGTTAAAATCTTCTTACAAAAAAACTTTACATGGATGAAACTTTTAGTCACCAACACTGCTGAGAAAATGAAAATTAAATACGACATTGTCCATCAAATTATTATTTTTTAAATAATTTGTGATTCTGTAACACACAAAAAAAGAACATCCATGTCTGCGGTCTCATGTAAGAATAGAGATTAGGAGAACTCCAAGGTTTCGTTCACAGCAAGTATTGATGCTCAATTACGATTTTTGGCTGAAATCCTTTTTTGTTGTCATCGATTCTACTAATTAAACTCCACCGCAATAGACTTCACACAGCAGCATACTGTTTACAGAAGTAGAAAGGGAGGGATCCATTTATGGAACGATCTCAAAGTTTATTCAGCAATGGGAGCCGACAGCATCGTCACAAGATCATAAGGCCAGGGAAGCTAATAAAAAGAAAGCAAAACTAATAGCAATGTCTTTTGTGGAGCAATAACTGCAACTTCTGTAGAAAAGTGCGCTTGGGTGTGTCGTCAGAGCCAAGAGTTGTGATGTGATGTGCTTCACTGGCAGACTTCCTTCGTAAGTTCAGAATTTTTCATTGTCTCACAATAATGACAAACATTATTATTACATGATATTTTGGACTGCAGGTCAGATCTGCATCTGAATTCGAAGAACCACAGATTAGATTTTTTATGGGTGAATAGGGTCGTTCAGTGTCATGAAAAATTTTGATTTGGGCAAAAGAAAATAATTATTTTGGCTCACATTTACCTACTGTGAGAACGCAGGTTAGGTCACTTCAGAATAAGATAGGCTTGTCATGATAACACATTTTGCTGAACAAACCATCTCAGAAGTTATTGCAATAAATGATGACATTGTTGTTTGAGATCATTTCCAAGGAATAAAACGTAATAGCATAATAATGCAAGAGCACATTTTTAAAGACCAGTAAATTTTACACTCTTCTGAACATTTAACACTGGAACTGGAAGACCTTTTAAACATCCGATATAAACAAAACAACAGAAGCAACAAATAAAGTGAATGACAGTCTGTCAATAATAATGCCCTCCAAAAAAAAAAAAAGAATTAGATCAAAGCATCAGAATGAAGTTTTGTCATTCAGTTTTTTGTAGAAAAAGAGAGGGCAAAATGATAAATCATCCAAATAGAAACGATTGAGCTTGTTTTTATTTATCATGCGATTAATTGATTTACTACTTAAGACGACTTTAAACAGTCGAGTAGTTAGAAATCTGACAGAGCAATCAATGACTAAATGACTAAAACAATCATTAGCTACAGCCCAAGTCAAACCTATATGGAATCCTGACTGATGCTTGATAATAGTAATCATGGCCACGAACACACAGGAACTGCTCGAGTTATTCTGACATGCTGTAGTTGATTATCTGGACATCAGAATATGAGGCTTGTCCCTAATTTTGATATTTCTTAAACAGTTCGGCTGTTTCCTCCCTCAGTCACATGTCGTCATGTTAAACAGTCTCATGTGGTCCGTTGTCTGCTGCTCCTCATCTCTTTTCCAGAGATCACCTCCATGTCGTTTTCTGAAATCTATCCTAATATCAGAGAGTGAGTGGTAAACACATGCAAATGCTGGCCATGGTATGACAAATTTATTTGTTTTGCTTAAATTAAATAAGTGTTGGTCTGGCCCATAACCGTAAATAAATGACAAAAAAATGTGCCTCTTTATTAACACTGCAGCTGTAAGAGGTAATCATAATCACAAGCCAACAAAATAAGCATTGTGGTCAAAACAGGGAAAGTTTCTGCAGCCTTAAGTTACATTTTAAAGGTCATCAAAACATGAGAGAGAGCCCTTCTTCGCATCACATGATCATTCTTTAAACCCTGGCTAAAGAGTGGGTACACGAGTACATTGGTTTCAATAAATCCTTCCTCATACCAAATCAACATGTAATTGTATAAAACTCTAAATATGAACATCCAACATGTCAGTAGAACTCGTAAAAGGCACCAGGAGACAAGAGTTCAATAGCCCACCCAGTTTTTATCATAAAGCCCAGTAATATAGCCCTACAGACCTAATTACATCACAGCTGTGCTGTCTGAGTGAGCAAGTTGTTGCACACTTGACACTAATGGACGGAGTGGGACACACAAGAATGATTGGACATTACACATGCAGCTGAAATATGATTATTCCCACAAGTTTCACAGTACAACATGGGCAAGTCCAACACGACGGGCTCCAAATGTAAGAGACAGAGTAACTAAGCAACAAAGACTCATTTTGTCAGCAACGCCGAGTGAGCGTCTTCATGGAAAAGCTTCTCTCTGTCCTTGAAGTGAACAATGTCTTACCCAGGGACACAGTGACCCAGGGCGACAAGATGCACAGCAGGCATCAAGGCAACTGGCAACCAAACAGGCACCGAGAGTTGTTAAAAACAACAAAAACAAACTTTAAAAAACACTATTGTTAACTTATTGCAGATATTAAATTATTAGGGATGCATGACACCCCAATAATAAAATCACCAGCATCAACCATAGTTAGTAATTTTTTGACATATCGATATTAATGTGATTTCTAAAACTGGGCTAATATTAATAACAGATATCTACTTCCATCTTCTTGCCATTTGTGAATGTGTTTTGGGAGGGGCTGGGTTTGGTCATGTGGGATTTGTTTGAGCATATGAAAGTGATAGTGATGCAGCACAAGATTGTGGGGTTTTTAAGCAGAAGCAGAGAATCAATGTCAGCAGCGTGGTTGTTCTTCTTCAAACCAAGTCACAGGGCAACAAAATATTTATAATATTCATAAACATTGGCCAAAACAGCAACATTAATTATCACATATCAATCCAAATTTTTATATCTGGGTTGACATCAACTATAAATCCAGGAATCTTTATGCATTTCAAGCATTACAACAGATCCTTCCTCCCTGCATTTCTGCTCCCAACAACATGTGTTTACCTCCCTGCAGTCATTTGCAGTTTTTGTCATTTAAAATAAAATTTCTGCAGATATTTGCACATTTTTGTTTGTAGTATTTTCACTTCTCCCAATAGTTTTTTAAGCACAAACACCGATGCACATTTTGTAATGTCTTTTTAAAATTACCCTACTCGGCTGCACAGTCTACAGTTTTCATAACTACACTTGTAAATTTCCAACAAGTTGTTACTGTATAGTAAGTTGATCTTAATTCAGTTGTTTTATATACACACATACGTTTTTCTAACAATGTTGCTGAATTTAGCAAAAATTTTGCAAAATACCACATTGTTTTGCTTGTTTGTAAAATGTAACAATGACAAACTGTTAGTAGCTAGTTAGTCAAGCTATCTGCTGAGGTAGCGAATCTGAAGTCAGCTGCTTAACAAACAAGCTGCCAGCAGCTTCTAAACTTTCATTTTCAAACAGCACTACCTGCAGAGGAGGGATAGGTGGCGTTCTACTGCCTACATTTGATCAACAACAAGTGAAGGAAAGTGGGAGTGCTACCTTACGAAAGGGAAAACACCGACCACAGCACTTCCCCTGCTATCTCTTCTAAAAGAAACCTTCAAAATATACGAAGAGTATGCTAAAATTGTCAGTGCTCTCGAAACCATTCCTTGCCATAGTTGCACTATGACACAGCTAGTCAGATGTTGCCAATGTATAGTTTACTGTTGAGGATGAAATTCTTTTTAAATGAGCCAAAAATGAGATAAATACTGTAAATATGACATGTGGAATAAGACTTACATCTTGATGTTTTCATGGTATTGTTTGGTATCAGATGGCTGATTGTACAAAGGCTGCAACAACAGGACAAAAAAACAAAACAATTAAGGGTGTTACAAAACGGCAAAAAGGCCTAAATTAGTTTTCTCAGTCATTAAAAAATTTCTTAAATATGTCATCAGTTAGAGCACTAATGCAAAACTTTGGAACGAATGAAAAGAGGTCACAGAATGAACGCCCCCTGAGGCAGAGCTGAGCTCTGCAGCAGCCGGTCTGTGTTTAAAAATTTCAGGAGAAGAAAAGTCTACGCAAAGTAAAAGTCGCTACTCACCAGTTCCACTCTGGGTCCCAGCCCCTCCAGTATCCTATGAGCCTCTTCTGCCTTTTTCTGATGAGAAAAGACAAACAGAAGGAGCACATTAGCCAGCTGCCATCACCACGGCAACACGGGGAACACTCTCACTAGATCGCCAAAGCAAAAAAAAAAAAAAAAAAAAAAAACGCAGCTTGCTACAAGGGTGGACAGGGCTGGATGCATGGATAGATGGAGAGCTGGACCTGCTGCCTATTATTAGAGCTTTTAACTCAAGCTGGGCCACAGCTCCTTGCCTCAGCTCTCTCTCTCTCTCTATTGCTCTCTCTCTATCTTCTCCAGCAAGAAAAAAAGAGAAAGATTACTCACCTCCCCTGAGCAGAGAAAGGTTAGAGAGAAAGAGCAGGGAGGCATGAAAGCAAGTGGGAGAGAAAGAGGGGGGATAAGAGTGGAGCTACAGGAGTGGAGGGGCCACTTTAGAGCCGGAGAACAGAGATGTTTGACCATTAAGGAAAAAGTCAATCTAAGACGGGTCTTCTCTGCTCGTCCTTACATAAATATTTAGCTCCACCAGACAAATCTGTATACATATTCCCAAACTCCAAAGCAATATTCTCGCTGTACTCTTCTCCTTCATTTGCCATGTACAGATGCCCCTGGTGCATGTAGTGACATTTTACAGCTGATGACAGTGACAGAGCAGGCCAGGTCAGTGGCAGCTTTTATTTCTTTATATGAGATTAGAATATTTTAAATATCCTCAGTGACTGAAAATACGTTGAACTCTAAAAGTTAGACCACCGTCATGTTCAGAGAACATATTGTAACATTGCTTTCATGCAGCAGGGACAAAAACCTTCATGGTTTTAAATGAATATGATGTAAAATTTTGTATGAAAATGCTAATCTTGACGCTAAAACTTTCGGCGACAACACATTTCTGCATTACCGCCATTGATTGATGTTTAGAATCGGCAACAGAAATTGGTGCACATTTATTGTATCGTTTATGATTTATTGTGAAAAACCTCTTTAACTTCAATATTTGTTTGTCGTGCTATAAACGCTTTGCTATGCAGTCACAGGCATACAGTTATCTAAAAAAGAAGCTATATTTTTTTTAAATCATAATTTTTATCGTTATTACAATAGTATTGCCAAATATCACAATACAATTCTATGTCCATACTGTAACTGTGCTAATAAAAAGGAAAACACCCTGTGTGCATCTTAGCTTTTTCATTTTAAAGATAGTAATTTAGCAGCATCTTATCTTAATTAAAGACTTCACAACAAATTTGACACTGGAATGTTTTTTTAAGTTTCTTGAATTGTGATCAAGGGTCACAGAAAATCATTCCAAGAGCCACAAATGGTCCACGAGCCACAGTGAGCATCCCGGGCCTACGTCCTCAGCAACATGTTTTTAATAGACATGCTTCACTGCAGGGAAATGGTGATAAAAATCATGACTATATCAACTTCACATGATGAGTGAACACAAGCTTACAACTGGGTCAAAAACGAGGCGAAGCTTTTAGAATAATAGCCTTGTGCATCCACCGAACAAGGAAAGAAAAGAACCACAGCCTTACACAATGCACATGTTGTACATGTCAATTAAATGCAAATGTTGCTTCCTCATCATCAGTGAGTAGGTGTAACAGGCTGCAGAGTACTGCCTCAGAGAGCAGCTCACAGCAGCAGCACTTAATGAGCAGCAATTATTAAAAGGAGACTTTCATCCTCCGAGAGTGGAGGGAGGGGGGTGTGGGATTTCTCTTCATTTCTGAACTGTGATACTTTCAGCTAATTTGAAAACAAAGCTGTGAAATACTGAAGTAGCTTCAGAAGAAGAAGAAAAAAAAAGAACAAAACAAGAAAAAACAAACAATATCTATGAAACTAAAGTGGAGAGGGGAAATGTGAGGCAAAACATTGTGGTTTTCCATAAGAGTGTAATTAATTAAAGTGCTGGTGCTTCATTAACATCATTCATGTTTGTAAGCAGACAGAAGTGAAGAGGCTGAATTTAGCATTTCAATCATGCCCCCGGTGGTGGCACACAGATTCACGACAGCGGCGCTCGCATTATCGCTGCTCGTAAAGCTCGGAGCCAACGGAACATTTTCTGCAGGTCACATAATCCGACTCCAGCAAACGTGAAACCAGATTTCTGGGATTGATTCTGCGGCTTCCCTGAGTGATTATAATCCCAAACCCCACCAAAAGGAATCCTGGGAACAAAAACAAGGAAAAGGGATAAATGCAGGTGGGAAGGGGTGGGGAGGCCAAAAAACTGCAAACCTAATTTTACATGGAAAAGACAAATGCAACGCAGTCACAGGAGGTCCAAGTCTGTGATGACTGTGTTCCAAATGCAGGAAAGATGAACATGAACTGAGCCGTCTCTGGGGGGTCTGATGATGGGGCTGAAAGAGCCTGTGACTGTGAGCCCCGGAGGGACAGATGACAGTGTGGAGACGGGGAGAGCTGAGGCTGAAGTAATTCCAGCCACGTGTGTAAACACCATGTGCAACCATTTCTATTTACAACACAATATGCCCCCCGGACTCCTGCTACCTTGAAGACAACTCAAATTCAGCATATAGGATCGCGACAATTAAAAAGCGGCGCGAGTGGAGTTGTAAATACCAGAAATGCAGAAGCGATGAGTAAAGCAGGAGCGTGTGACTTAGAATAGAAGCAGCTCGAGCCTGGTTTGACTGCCACAATGAGGCTGGATGGCAGCAGGCCAGAGTGCATCATGTAAGTCAGAGGGAAGTGTTACAGAGTTTAGACTGCACGCTTGAGTCACTTTATAACTTGCGCCATCTGCCGTGTTCTTCTGTTCCAAGGGACACGCAGTAATGCAAAGGATGTTTTATTACACACAGAGAATGCCAGCGTTTGGGCTGAACTATAATTGTCCATTTTGAGTGAATTTTCTGCACATCTGGGCTGCTGCCCAGCCTAAATGTGCAAAATTACCCAGCTTAAAATATATGTTGGATTTAAAAAAATAAAATAAAATCACAAGTGGCTCTTTAGAGTTTGAGTTTTGAACTTGCAGTTCCTACAAAAATGAAACCTCAGCTTTTAACCACAAGGGGGACTGAGAGCACTGAGAATCACTGCAATGGTCCGTTGGTTCATCTTCTGCACACACCTCAACTTCCTGCGGCGAACATTTCCTGCAGCTTTCACAAAGCACCTCCATAAAGAGGCTGATTAATCCGAAATATTTTAGAGCAAAGGTCAAGGGTTGTGCAATGCAAACGTGAGTCACCTCTGATGTGTGTGCGCCTCTCGGAGTCAACACATCTGATTCATCATGTTTGCCATGTTGACCTTTAGTAGCATATTCTTTCAGGCAACATTCCTACCTTTCATGGCAGTAAAAAGTAAGAGTGGTTAGGTATGACATGAATACATTTCGACAAGCTTTGAGTTTTGTTTTGCTTTTCTTTTTTTTAAGATTTATCTCATAGAAAAAGAAAAAAAAAGGTGTGACAGACTGCTGCTTCTCTGGGGAGGCAGCATGTATAGACAGCATTTACTGTGTGAACTGTCACGCGGCAGCCGTGAACAACAATAACATGGCCCTACCTCTCCGCCGTTTCAACATAATGAATACACTGCGAATGTGATCGAGTGTGGCCATATTGAAATACCAAGGAATATGGGTCAAAGGGGTAAGGCAGCAGATTAAGTACGCCTGTTTGAGTGTTTATCTTCCACTTACTCGGTTCTCATCGTAGATGATCTGCACCAGGCTGCGGTGCTTGGCCTCACTGGGTGGTGGCGAGATGGGCCTCTCGGGTTCGTGGGGCTTAGCGGCTTCCTCCTCCAGCTGTTGCTGCAGCACACACACAAAAAAATAAAAAAATCTGGTAAATTTTCCATTATATGTAACGGGGTAAATATTGACAGCCGATTGTTTTTTGTTTACAGATATTCCTGTCACAATGACAATCGTCGCTGGATGACAAATTGTCCCGGAAATCAATGCAAGAAACGATTGTATTGCCATCTTGAGACAATTTTCAACTAAGATAATAATACTTTCTTTTAATTTCTTTAATTGTCCACGTGGAGATTTTTAATCTCATTTTAATTTATCATGTGATCAATTGATTTATTGCTTATTGGGACATACATGAAAGTGACGCTTATAGAGCTTATGATGCTTTTATAGGTTATGGCTACATATGTAGAGCCAAAAATACTCTTTCAAATAACTAAAGCAACTGCACAACATTGCAGCTTTGGAGATAAATCTTTCATAGTATGGTTCAACTTGATGGCAGACATGCTTCACCAGTGTCGCTATTTGCGTGGCGCTGCACTCTGCCACTTAAGATTATGTGCGATCAAGGAAGGGGGGAAAAAAAACTGAAGGACGAGACCAGACATGCCGCATTTATGGAGCTACATCAAACAATGAGTTAATATACTCTGCAGCAGAACTTAATTTGATCAGCACAACAAGACTGCACAAACAGAAAGCAGACGTATTGCTGAGTCAAATGGCTTTTCGAGCAAATAAAATTGATGTTTACAGTGGGAGCGTAGAACAAGTGGCACTGCATGTGCATAAACAAAAAGGTACAGAGGGAGAAAAATATCAAACGGGGAGTTATGTTAATGGAAAAAGCAGATGAAACAACAAGGTGGCTCTGAATGTGCATTTTGGCTTTGGATTAAAAAAACACAATACAGAGAAATGAAACAAAATACTGAATTGATCTTTGTCACATTCACATCAAAATATGAAGGTCTGGTTATGGGTCCAAAAAAAGACCATAGTAATTAAAATAACAATTAACTGAATGAAAATGATTAAATACTAATAAAATATTCAATAGTTACAGCCCTGTGTGTATTAAAGAACATATTCATACATGCATAGTGTCAGTTATCAGTTGCTGCGAGCCACAAACATAATGACTTTAAAACGCCGAGGGTTGAAAGACATTTACATCATCTAAACGAGACCATAAAGTCGTCTCCTTATGCAAGCATTGTTATGTTTACCCAGAGCGTCCTTACAGCTACTAACTCAAAAGACTTGCATCAAATTATTTCCATTACCTCCAACTGATAAGGTCTGGCAGTTGTATTGGTGTAAGCGAATGACGTACTGCAACCAGGAAGGTTTCAATACTGATTTGAGAAAATTGGGTCAGGTGGTTATTTTTGACTGGGCAACCGATGTGGCATTACAGTGGATTTTTACCCTGGTGAGGTTAAGAACTGCAAATCCAGTTTAACTTGAAGTTAAAATTCTCTAAAAACAAAAAAAAAAGGCAGCAAGTTCTTTCACTTACTGGCTAAATCATGAGTTTAGCCAGTAAGTTACTGAACTACAGGTGCACCAATTGCAGTTTTCTGACTGCAATATTAAGTGCAATATCAAAACTGCAAAGGATTGCATAGATGTAATATTAGCGAAACATTACAGCTAGCATGCATTCAAACTCTGGAAAAATAGAAAAGTAAGCAAGCGGTGGGGAGGATCTCGGTTAACTACCTTTGAAAAATGTCAGAATAATATCGCAATGTCGTGCTTTCCCTCATACTGTGCGGCCGCACTCATAAAAAATCCAGTCCTATTAATTCACAGATTTCTGAAAACACCAATCAAAACATTAGAAATGATATCTACACAAGAATAGTTTGACAAAATTCATTTAAAATTTAATACCAGCGAATCAGGTTTGTACTGTACTCTGTGAGTAATCATTAAAATAAAGACTGTATTAATATTTTAACTTTTATGTACCCACCACCCTACCCAAAAAAACTATTTTTCCCACTACAACATGGAAACCTTCAACTACATACAGGAACATTTAATCGAACATACTGTAATAGTGTAAAATAAAAAAAAGATTTGCTTAAATAAACACTGAATGAAAAGTGACAATTCAGAAATACTCACAGAAAATATTTGGAAAAATTTACTGTAAGCTGTGGGTTGGGGTAAAATAGCTGCAGTATATGTAATCAACTGTGACCAGTTATGTGGAGGCTGAGTTTGGGTGTCAAATGCCTCGTTTCCACTGAGCGGTACGGCACGGGATGCCATTAAATCTGTTTCCATTGTAAAAACGGCGCACACCGTTTCTGGGTTCCCTTCGGTTATAGGAAAGGTGTGGTTAGGGCAAAGCTACTGGCCTCACACAACACAGTTTATTGATTCGTGGACATAAAAACGAGACGTACTAGAGAGTCACAGTTGCTGTCGCGCTAGTATGACGCCATGTTAGCCGTTTAGGTTTAACCACGTCTGAAAGTGAGAGTTCAATTGGTGGCGGAATACGCTGTATCGAACCGACCCGACCAGTGGAAACAAGGCAAAAGGGTGCTGTAAAAACAGCTAATCTACACTAGCTTTCAGAGGCGGGTGGTCCACACCTCAAGATGGTCCACACATAAGCACAGTAGGTTGGCTGTTAAGCATCTGGTCAGGCTAATTAAAGCATTCCCGCGAAGACACCCCTCATTCCCTTTCCAAACCCACCTCAGAGTAAAATAAAATAAACCAACCATCATGAGTTTGGCTGTAACCTAACCTCTGTCTCCTGCGCGTTCACTTAATCTGCCTGAGCTCTTCAAAAAATAGTTTATCATGCCACTTAATTAGTGCAGATGTTTTAATGCTCAGCCTGAGCTGGACTGTAATAATATCCGGAAAAACTTTCTCTATTACGGGAACCTGAGAAGGGATGCAGATTTGTTCTGAGAGCAGCTTTTAGAGATTCAAAGCTTTCAGAATCAGACATTTCTTCTATTCACCAAAGAGAAACAGATTCCTCGTTTCATCTTTTTGGTTAAAGTGTAAATATTCTTAAACGACCTGATAATTTTCCTGTTGGTATGTTTCTAAAATCCATTCTTGACTGAAGGACTCAACATTCACTTTGAAATGAGCAGTTCTATAAGAGAAATGTGGTGCCATCCCAGACAGAGACATGGCTTCCAACAGAGTCCCAGACAGAATGTCTGAGGTCAAGTTTGGCCCTCTATAGTGGGGGCCCTGCAGCTTTCAAGTGTCTGCAGAGTTCCTCCTGACTTAGTCCAAGTTCTGCCTGGCTCCTGCTCTCCTCCACCAAGCTTTGATGAACCTCTCCACAGGCCTTACTTGCTTTTCTATCTCAGGTGTTCCTCTCTGTGCTCAGAATAATTAACTGTGAAACCAGACTTCAAAACGGGTCGGTCGGCATACAGCGTATGTGCTGTTTAACTTGGCAACGTTGTGAAAATGTAGGTGTTGTCCTTGAATGTGAGCTAAACTCACCAACCACAGCAGATAGATTTTTCTTGTGAAATCTTTGGAACGCAACACTCGGAATAGGTGTAATCACTTCTATATCTGTCGTTCCTCAAGGGTGCCAAAGCTGCATTTGAAGGATTAACTGGATCTTTTTTCCTAGTGAGTGTATTAAGCAGTTTTTCCCCATACATAATTTTGTTTTATCATTATTTTTACAATTTACAAATAAAGAAAAATGTGAAAAAAATTTTAAATATTGACCTGTATTGTTTTTATTTATTTTGCGCCTTTTATTGTTATGAATTTATTGTTACATATTTGTTTGTATTGCTACATTATATTTTAATTTCTTTTATTTTAAAGATTTATTGTTATTTTTATAGATATTTTTATTTAATTTCTACGCATTTACTTTCAGATTTTTTAAATTAAAATTTTATGTTTACTTGTATTTTTTCATATTTGATTTTATGTTTATGTAATTTTATTTTACAGACTTATTTTTATATTTACCTGTCTGAATTCATACACAGTTATTTTTATTCTATTTTTACATATGTATTTGTCTATTTAATTTTTCCATATTTGTTTTATTTTTATTCATCTAGTTATTTGTATTTTGACATATTTGTATTGCTGCATTTATTTAATTTTTATGCATTTATTTTTATTTCTTTATTTTTTAGAAAGAAGTAGTCTGATGTAACAGCATGTTTGATAGATCTGCATGTTGCATGGATGAAAAGCAGCTTATTCATACAGCTTCTTTATAAAAACCCTATGCAGCTCGCTGGGAGTCAGCGTGGCAAGTCTGGCGGGAACATCAGCGGTTTCACAGTAACAAAATGTTCACCATGCTTCGGCTCCCTGAAGGAAGCTGTTATTTATAGCTTCATATATATTTAACTGATTTTTCTCTGTAACAAAAAGAAAAAAAGCAAAAGGAAGAGAGGGAAGAAAAGCAGATGTCGAAAATTGTTCAGCATAAACATTGTACAGCGAGCAACAAACCACAGAAGCTTGAGTGAAGAAATTCACTCTGCAGTTCTTTCCAAAAGTATTTACACCCTTTAAACTTTTCCATATTTTGTTATGAAGTCCAATCTAGATCCTACAATCACTCAAACTGAGTGAGACAAGATGAAGCGCACATGTTGAACAACATATGAAGGCCTGACTTGGACTGAGCCACTCTCTTTTGATCTAAGCCATAACATTGTGCTGGAGTTAGGTGTCCTTCTTGCCCTGGTTTCAAGTCTTTTGCAGCCTTTAACTAGATTGCTTCCTTGATTTTCCACCTATCTTCCCATCAAGTCTGACCAAATGTCCCTACTGCGGGAGGAAAAAACAGCATTTCCACAGTGTGTCCCTGCCAGTTCTAATAGGTTGTTCAGCTTGTTGAGTTTTCCATCATAAATAGTGCTTAGGATAAACTGCAGCCTAATTTAGGTTGATCGAAAAAATAAAATCATAATGGATCCAAATGGTGGTTGATGACTGAAAGGGCAATCACACTGGAAAAAGAATTCACTCCTAAAAAAGTCAATACAAAGAGTTTACAAGACATGGGAAATAAGTTACTTCTATTCCTCTCCAAACCCAGCTCAGAAACAAATGGTATAAACATCTACTCCATTCACAGGCTGTACACCAAATTAGAAATAATACCACTTTTTAAAATACGGCTACATCTTATGATTTAGGAACTCCTACCAAGGCCATAATTATAAAAAAATGAATAACTGTTTAATAAAAATAGATCAGGAAGACTACAGATATTGTCAGTATTTCAACAAATTTTCTGCTTTCAAAAGAAACAATCACTAAAATAAATCTTATTGCTGAGTATTAAAACTCATCTAAAGGATGAAGATATCATCAACACTATGGCTCCCACAGAGATGAAATTGAGTTGGGTGAGAACTGATCTCCAACTACCGCCACATCGCAAAGAGCACGGACCTGCTTTTTGCGAAGCTTGCAGATCTGCTGCTCCACCATGGTGATCTCCCTGTCCACACGTTCCATGTTCTGAATCAACTCCTCCTTGGAGAATCGAGCCGGTACCAGATCCAAGTCGGTGTCCATGTGGACTGGGCTCACCGGCGAGATGGGCTCCAGCTTCCCAATGGCACTTCCACGCTCCTGTGAATCCCAACGTAGCAAAGATAAATATTTCATCGGGCTCAAGAAAGATTTTCACAAATAGAGAAACAGTCTCAAAAACAGGAAGATACGTTTATGTGTAGTCAGTGTTGAATAATAGAGTCTGGGTTTGGAATAGAAGTTCACACATTTGTTTTTAAATCAATAAAGCAAGGCTTTCTAATCTACTATTAGAAAGCCTTAGATTAGATTAGCCTTTCCAATCTAATAATGATTAATTGGATAAACTGTGATGAATCGATAACTGAAACAATCATCAACTAATTTAGTGATTAATTAATCATTAACTGGTGAAAACAAACTCAGACAAAGACCATTTACTGGAAGAACATACGCAAAACAGTAATTACATTACAAAAATGTTTACATTTTGCATTCAAGAAACATGTTTCAATCTATCCAAAACTCCTACAGTGGCACTTTTAGCTTCACCTGGTTCAGATTCTGGAAAAAAAATAAATGAATCATCTTTTGCTTTCCATTTATTGAGCACTTGATGCAAAAAGTAATCAAAACATCAACCCTACACTGTATAGAGGCTTAGTTAAGCAGAAATGTTACAAGTATTTGTTTAGCTACAGATGCATCCTTTGTTACACCTGAGCAAGCGAAACTAAAGGAATGCTGTGTTATTGCATTTTAGGAATGCTCATGTAGCTAAATTAAAATATCTGCAGAATGTGCCATTTTTATCAGAATAATCAACAGAATAATCGATTACTAAAACAAATGGTTAGTTGCAGCCCTACTCTCAAATTGTGTTACAAAGATTTCATTAAGATGCGTGTTTGTGTGACAAAGCATTAATTCATAAAAGCTGACAACAATATTAGCTAGTGAATGGAGAAAATGCAAGACAACGTAATGGCCACGCTTGTCCAGGGGGGGAAGAATTCATTCGTTCCCGATGAACGACTGACTGTGTTCGTGTTTGTTCTGATGTTATAAATATATGAGGCCATGATGGAGCCAGTCCTCCACACGAGTGTGCGTGTAGGAGTGAGAGCCATCCAGCTTGGGTTTTGTTCTGCGTTATTTTTAAACATCTGAAATTAAGGTTATGTAAGTGGGCTAATCTGGACTAGGCAGGCAGCATTACAGCCTTGTAGACCTGCTGTGATTGAAAATGTCAGAGACAGAGGATGTTGAGTGGCTGTCCTAGATTAAGAAGCCCCCAGTTGCCAAAGCCAGTGAGTCAGAAACAAACACATACAAAAAAAGAATTAAAAAAAGTCAAACTAGGAAAAAGCACTCGAGGGATGTTTTGACTTTGTCTAATCTGACTTTGTCTAATCTGAATCAAGGCACCGTTCTCGTAACCCGTGTTAAAACTCAGCATCCCGGAAAACGTCTAAGGTCATATTAGAAATCCTAAAACGTTTCACTTCTGCTTATAATTCCAGCCTTGACTAGTTTTCTGAAAACTCAACTAACTGTAATTAAGGAGGTTAAAGTGTATTTAAAGATAATCAATGAAAGATATCCACTTTTTGTTGACTGGTATGTTCAACCAAAGAGGGAGCAACATGTTCACCTGTGTATCTGAGCCATGTCTGAATTCAAAGTGCAACAACCTAATGTGAAGCAGTCGGCTGGGAGTCTAGTCAACATCTCTACCTCATCCTCACATTCTTTCTCAGTTGAGATTATTTGAAAAGTAAAAAAAAAAAACAAGTTTCAAACTGAAGTTGAAATAACAGCAGACTGTCTCTGTCTGTAGATTCTGGCGTACAGCAGCGAGCCGTTGCTTCTAGCCGCCTGTTTCCCATTCTATATGAGTCATGCTCCAGGCATCAGCTTTGTCAGATACTACTGGCTCACTCCCTCTTTTCCTGTCAGTATCCAAGTCCTCCCTTTCCCCTTCCCCCATCATTTATGCCTCTCTACGCTTGCCCTTTGCCGTTTCTTTACGTTGTTTCAGGCATTCTATCAAGCTATTGCATTGCGCTCTTGTTCCAAGCAGTGATTGCATCTGACTCCACTTATGTAACAGGTTTACAGCTCTTGCTGCTTTAAGGGAAAGCACAAGGATTCCTGAATACTCTCCCCTCCCCCTCCTACTCCTCCTTTGTTATTACTGTATCTATTTACCATTCTCTGGCGGTCTGCCTCTCCTGGCAGTTTGAGGCACTCTGTCATGTTAGGGACGCCTCACAATCAGCAGCTCCACACGGCAAGCAAGTCGTTCTGATCTGCTGCTCACAGCTGCATCCCCTTCAGTCTTTTGAAATCTAGGTCAGCTCTATTATTTATTAATTGCCGTTTCACAACTCCCTTGGTTTTTCCTGCTGCTGCTCCAAAGATCCATCTCTGATTTGGAGCAGAATCCTCTTCTGCATCCCCTGCTGCGACAAGTCTAATGAAATCCTTTAGGTTTCTTAAAGAGTCTAGTCGGATTATCCAAATAACTTAAATCTTAAACAGATACGGTATTATATTTCAGGGGGGAAAAAGAGGCAGAGTCTAAACTTTGTATCACTTCTAAGATTCGTCTTGTAGGGTGTTTTCTGCTCTGATAGCCTGGTAGACGCAGTTCGATTGGTGGCCAAAATTGCAATCTTTATTAATGGTGCAGTTCATTGTCACATAGCACATAGTGTCAAATGATCCAAACCCCTTTGAGAAACCTGTTCCTATCCTCGCCTATGGTGGTGCTGCACCAAGAACCACTTCAGGAAGTGCCACAAAAACCTCAGAAGACACAAGCATAACTTCCTTCTGCACAAAATGTAATAGCATCAGATTTTAATGGGTGTATGATTCCTCTTGTGTTCTGGTAAAAGACCATGAGCCATTTGTCTGGCTTACGCAAAAACTCTTGTGATTGTTTTGTTTGATTAGATATTCACACCTGCCAGAACGAACCAGACTTTCTAGGCAAGTGAACTAGAGTTCGGCTAAGGCAAACTAAACAGGGCTGTTGTGAATGAATCCTTAAATTCCAAATCCGCCAAATTAATAGAACATGGTTAATGTCAGTCCTTACGGGTGAATTCGATATGGTACACTAAATTGATACTGCCTACCATACGTTGTACTCGCTACTCACCTTCGTCATGTCCTCAGCCCCTCCGAGAGGTAACGGTTGCCGATGGGACAAAGTCCTCATCAGAGAGTCCGATCCCATCTCCAAACGAGGACGTTTGATCTCTGCATAGTCCACCTCTGAATGGCTGGGGGCCTCTGGCAGGTAGATGTGCTCGTAACGAATGTGCTGCTCTTGTCCTCTGAAAGGAAGATAAGACAGTTGTAGCAAAAAGGTTTTTATGCTTGGTTATTGCTGATTACTCATTAACGGCTAATAGGCGCCGGACACAAGCTGTGCAGAACTTTATCGTTGCTATAGAGATGCGGTTATAATTGTGGATGAGTATTCTTATGAAAACAGTCAAAAGTGTTTTGCAGCTTAAAATACAATAAAAAAAACACCACATAAGTGAGCTGGATGGCATTTCATAATAGACTTATTTCGAAAAAAATAAAAATAAAATCACAGCCCACTGCACCGAACTGAAACGCCATTTGTGAAAAAAGGGAGCATATGATGTTTACAAACAGTGTTTGTTTCTGTTAGTGTTCATCCAGACTAGTTTCTGAGGAGTTATTTTATTGTGTTCTGAAGCAGAAAGATCACAAATCTTTCTGCTTGTCTTTGGGCAACTTTTCTTGTCATGAAATGACAAAAGAGGCATGGCAGGGATCACTGCTCAACTTAGCATGTTGAGCAGGGATGTAGCAAAGTGCATTCAATTATATTTTTAAATGACTGGTATTAGAGTTAGAACACCCCTGGTTTAAAACCAAGCATATACTTAGTGTCTATTTGAATGATTTAACAGACCAGGACTCTGCATCAGCAAATGTTGTGTCTTAGACAAAAACTCTTGTGATGTAGTCATGACTCCCAGTGAGACAGCGACTTCAGTAAAATTAGTCACGCCATACATTCAAATCAACAGGAACCAGGTGAAAAATAAACAAAAAACAAATTAAAATGTGCAATAAAAAGGAGTACTATGCAGATGTTAAAATTCACTTGAATTCACGTCTATTCAACGTGATGAACAGACGTTGATACTTTCATTAAGTCTGTTGTTAAACGACGTTTTGTTCTTTCGAATGGAATGTTGTTTTTTTCCCCCACGACCCCACGAGACAAAAGCTATAAGGTCAAAGCCCTTGCTCTCAGTGTCAAATTGGAGGCGGCTTGTAAAAAGAAGAGAATGAACACAACCTTAATTGCTGGTCAAGGCACAAGGTGGTCTGGTCTGTGGTTTTGTTCTGTGTGTGGAACCCATTTCTGTGGAGTTCAGTTATTGAAGGGAAGGTATAATCAATAACACCTAAAAACTGGGAAAAATTTGCAACGAACGTGCAACCAAAGGGACTATGAAAGTGTTTACTGTGTGTATTAATGCAAGGCACACTTTTATTAAAGCATCAGTGCATCACTTTAGTAAAAAACAAAATATGTTTTTTTTTGTTTTTGTTTTTTGGGAAAGTAGGAAAGAAAAAAAATTGAGCTCCCCTAATTTCTCCCAGTGCAAACTAGAAACAACCAATCAGAGCCAGGAGGAGGATCTTAGCGTTGTCAATCATGGCCATGTGCATGCTGCTCGCCCCCTCCCCCTGTCTCCTCTTTGCTATCTGCTAGCACACCCCGTCATGAATGCAAAAGCTAGTTAGCATGGCCACCAGTGGGGTTCTCCTGTAACAGTAAGTTGCTTCTCTGTCATTAGCACCTTTAGCAGCGCGTACATAGGATTGATTGACAGTGCTAAAGTCCTCCTCCTGGCTCTGATTGGTTGTTTTGGGTCAGGACTGGTCCATTTCCTCAGACAACACAAGCTCATGGTGAACATTTTTATGCATATCTAAAAAGCATATTTTTTCTAATAAAAGCTGCTTACTGGCAGTTTAAACCTAAAGATAAAATTTTAAGATCTGGCCCATGTCCGTTACCAACATGGTAACCCATAATAATGGGACACATGGTAATTGCCATGTGACAGTAATTTCTCACTAATTTGCTGGAACACTTCTGCATCCCCAGATGAGGTTTGGCACTTACATAATCACATCACCCAACTCCAGCTTCCCCGATCTCTCCCCCTCTACCTCCTGTGAGCATGCAGGATAATCTTCCCCCCGGGGAGGATTTGTCTGGAGGACGAGACAAAGATGTGTGTGGAAGCTGGGGGCAAAGCTTGAGGAGGGGGTGGCTCATCACAACTTCCCTCAACAGCTCCATTACTTTCCTACTGGTTCGGGCCCCGCTACGGCAAGAGTAGAGACGGTGTCTGTCGACAGCAGCCTGTTGTTGTGAGAGCCTTATAGTGTTTGTGTGGAGGCTGATCCCTTCACTGCTCCCCAGGGGAGCAGCTCTGCAGCTGTGTGTAAACCCAGGGATGGTTAACAGAGCGAGAGATGCCTGGCTGAGGTAGCCACAGCTGGAATGAATGAAACCTTACAAAGTACAGGAAAGTACCACATGGCCCAACGGCCCACTACCAGAGGACAATAATGGTTCCAGGTCCTGTGTGGTAATAAAAACTAAATAAAGGAATAAATTATATATGTTTTTGTGGAAATCAATATGATTTTGGGATGCTTTGTGGCTTACAGGCAAAGATGGCGAAAGGAAATGGAGCCTCGATGGATCATTAGGATTGGACCGGTTGCCAATCTCGAGGTATCCTGAGGTTTCAGCGAGTTACTGCTTCAAAAAGCTCTCAGGTTTTCCATCATGCTGCTTCGACAACTTAAAGTCTACTTATTGATGCGACCAAGGCATTTACTACAGTAATATAGAGAACAGAGTTACAACATGTACCTTCCTCAACTGCTGCTGGCCAGCTGGCTACAAAAAAAAAAAAAAAGGTTTCTACACATTTCCCACACTTATAAAGAAATTAAATCAGGCTGTTTGGAAATACTTCTAGTTGCAAAAAACAGATGCGGCCGACAGCCGTATTATAGAAGCTCAAAGAGCCACTCCCATTGCTCTTACAAAGAAAGCCACATCTGCTGAGTAATGCACATCTGCTCAGCAACTGACTGAAGATTATTAGTCAATGAACCATGCTAATATCAGTTTCTAAAACTAGCAGTGTTGGTCTTTAAACCAGTAAAAAAAGACATAATATTCTGTCCAATAAATGCGTAAGCAGGTGTTTTAACCATGTTTGATTTTTTTTTACATATTAACATATTTAAAATGAATAGTCAATATACTGTATCGATTTAAGTGTTTTAAGTTACAACTATAACTGTACAACTACGATTACCATCAATGCTGCATGATATGTCTTATATATATATATATATATATATATATATATATATATATATATATATATATATATATATATATGCAGAATATGGACTGGAAACCCCGAGATCAAAGTGGGAAACACCCCCAAAGGTGGTGGAGAACACCAGAGCTAAGATCCTGTGGGACTTCCAGATCCAGACAGACAAAATGGTAATGGCGAACCAACCAGACATTGTCGTAGTGGATAAACATCAGAGGAAAGCCGTTGTGGTAGATGTAGCAATACCAAGTGATTGCAACATCAGGAAAAAGGAGCACGAGAAACTGGAGAAATACCAGGGCCTCAGGGAAGAACTGGAGAGGGCCTGGAAGGTGAAGACCACAGTGGTGCCTGTGGTCATCGGGGCCCTCGGGGCAGTAACCCCCAAACTGGAGCAGTGGCTACAACAGATCCCAGGAACAATATCAGACATCTCAGTCCAGAAATGTGCAGTCCTTGGCACAGCCAAGATACTGCGCAGAACCCTCAAGCTCCCAGGCCTCTGGTAGAGGACCCGAGCTCAGAGGATAAGAACCACCCGCGGTGGGTGAGAAGGAATTTTATATATATATATATATATATATATATATATATATATATATATATATATATATATATATATATATATATATATATATATATATATATATACACACATCCAGATATTAATATCATTAGTCATTTCAATTAGAAATGACTGGAGTACAATAATTGTAGGCTAATGTATTTCAAGTGTTATGCTAAAGTAACTTTTAGCCAATGGTCACAGAGTGATTGAAGCGCAGAAGAAGAAAATAAGCATAAATATTCTCCCAGATATCATTGTGGCAATATCTATAAAAATTGCCATGACAAATTTTCAAATATCATGCAGAGTGACTTATCGCACCATAAAAATACCATTTGGGCAAATGCTTAGAGTAAAATATTTTACATATTTTCCACACAGCTATAGAAACCTTGTTTCATTAATGTCAATTTACACAAGAAGGAAAACTGTGGTTTTTAAATCTAAAAAACAGTGTTGTAGGAAAGGACGACATAGGGACTGATGATGGAGGACCAAAGAGCAGAAAGAAAGGGAGGAAGTTTAAACTTGGAAAACAAGTTTAAACCATGTTTTCCATTGATCATAATGGCAAAGGATCATATTCTCAACTCACAACAACTCTCAGGCTGGCTTTGTAGTCACCCGGCAATTTAAAGAAGTGTAGCAAAAGCAAATGAGGGGGATTAGCAGAGCTTTCTGTGGAATGTCTTGTTTGCTGCTTGGAAATTGTGCTGTCATACAGCAATAATCTTTTAAGCCACATTGCACAGGTCTATTGTGTACATATGTAAGCCTTGAAAAAGTCAAGTGTACCACTGAGAGTCTGAACCTGGAATCATACGACAATTTTAGAGATTTTAATCGGGGTAACTGAGCATTTAAATGCAATGAGAAATAAAAAGGTTCAGCGAAACAACAACCTAAATTATTTACAAAAAATGTTACAAGATGCAGGATTCATTAAAAAGTGGCATCTCTTTGGTTTAAGAAGGACATTTTTTCACAATAGTCTGAGTTACTGCAAGAGAACCAGCAAAAAAAAAAAAAAAAGCTCTCCCTCTCTTCAGGAGCCAGGGATGATATTCACTGGATATGAAGAGGTTGTGATGAATGTTGCCTGGAGTGAGGATAAAGATGAAACATATCAAGGAGCACTACAGAGATTATTCTGTTGTGGGTTTCTGGCCTATAATTAGCTTACATTTCAAACTTTAGCAAAATAGCACATTGCTGCTTTGCATTCTGCACACGACGAGCAGGGAGGAGGTGAAAATCCTTGCAGAGAAAACCAGACCAAGATCTTTGAAAGTTCTATGTGAACAACAATCAGAGTAGTTTCAAGTAAAGAGAGAGAGAGGGAGAGTTACTGAGATGTATAAAAAAAGACAAGCACACATCTAAGCAAAGCAAAGTCTAAAGGATTGCCAAGGCCAGAATTACAGCAGAATTCAGAGTCTGAATGAAAACACAGAATGTGGCCTTCAGTTTGGATACTAAGCCTTCTGAAGGAATGGTGAAAGCATTAGACATTCTTCTGAAAGACTGCCCACCCCCTGATGCCTGCCAGCATATAACTGGGGCTCTTTTTCACAGTTTCTACAAAGAAATGTGGGCTAGAGATATGCACTATATATATATATATATATATATATATATATATATATATATATATATATATATATATATATATATATATATATATATATAGATGATGGTTTTTTTTTCACCTACAAAAGAAGCTAAATTCCCTGCTTCACTGAAGAAGTTACAGGAAGGCATCTGTAGTGCAGAAACATGGACCGAGTCATTTCTGGGAGGCTGCCAAAGCACAAGTGACTGAATGAAGTGCATCAGTGAATCAGAAGCTCTTGGGTAGCATTTGAAGTATGTTGTGTTTTTTTTTTTTTTTTTTTCTGAGGGGGCCAAGACCCAGCGCTAACATGCTGACGGGCTAGGCTAATAGCCATTAAGCACCACTGGTGTACAGATTTGTGTATTACAATTCAGACTACAGTCCTGTCTGATGCTTAAAGACATCAACACAACAGTCCTATGTTGCTACGGAGTCACTCTACCATCTGCTGCTACAACTGCCACCGGTCCTGGAGGACTCGGTCTTGAAAAGCAGCCATTGCTCCAACACCTGGATGTGAAAACAATACTCGGAGCTCATCGCTTGCTGAACACCTTGTGTCTCTTGATGCATGCAGGAAAATATTGAGAGGGAAAGAAAAGCTGATCCGAGGAGACATTTTCTTGTGACGTGTTCTCTGCGAGTCATGCAAAATTCACATCCTGCACATGAATCATTCATAGGTGCTCATCAAGTCTCGCCCTCGAAAACCCATCTCTATTTAAACAGCACAGAACATTGCCAGGTACAAGCCCCGGGTATACAGAGACAAAGTACTATTCATTTGCGATTTACAGTTAGTTTACTGAAAATGGAAAATCTCTTCAGGCCCCCACTGCCCTGTAGAAGCGTTTGACACAACATTATGAAAGGAGGATAGCTCGCGGCTACCAATTACATAAGGATTACTCCGGGGACGGCGGGGGCTTAACGGGCAGCGGTTTCGGTAGAACAATGCTGCAGAAAAATGCAGATGGGATGAGGCTCTCTGTTCAGCAGGCAAACCTAAACATAAACTGATTTGCTAGAAATAAATCAAAGAAAACCGCAAAACTGTAGCACCAACAAGTTGATTTCTGATGAGCTACATCGACATTGTGTAATAAATCACTCATTTCTCTTCAGAACAATTATTGATGGATGTAAAAAACTCGGTGGGAACAGAAATAAACACTATAAACAGCCTGAATTAATGGATATTTGAAACAGTGAAGATGCAGTTAGTTTCATAAATTACATATCAAATATGGATCAATCAGTAAAGTACTTTTAGAGGCTCACCCTCCCGATGGAGAGCGCCAATGACAGCCTTCTGGACATGTGTCCAGTTTTCCCCAGATTATTTAGAGGCGCAGGAAAACTTTGCAGGCGTTCTCAATTAACTAGTTGATGACACAAGTTTCCAATTAAACTTTTTATTTTTTTTTTTACAATATTCTTATTTTCAGAAGGTTTCTATTTCTCTTAGCCATAATCATCAAAATTTCAAGAATTAAATTACATGAAATATTTCACCCAAAACGTGATGAATCTGAATAATTCATCACGTTGTTCATTATTTCACTTTCTGAAATAATCAACAATAAATGCATTATGACATTAAATCTTTTTGACACATATCTGTAATCACAGCCATTGTACTTTACTACTTGTTGGTACAAAACTGCAAAGTTCTTACTGAAACTTCAACCGATGAACACAAACAATTGTGACATGGGAGCCATCATGCATGTTTTCTAAAGTAAAACGGTCCACTGAAATTACATCTGAACGTCTTTTGGGGAACATCTCTTCTATCTTTGTGCATTTCTAACAAATGAATATGCATTGATCTAAGCAATGCATAGAATCTTTTAGCCTGACCACCTCGGGGTTTAACTCTAGTCTGGAGTGGTTGTAAAATACAAGTAGTGTTAATACATTTCAATGAACTTAATGAGCAAACCGCTTCTACCTTTCATTCCCAGGCTGGAACTCTGAAAGTAAGGAAGGCCGACGGCGATGTGGCTGAGAAAGGTGAGAGCTGTAGTCTCTGGCATGATGGGAGTGGTAGTCAACCAGTCCCACTTCCTGGAACACATGAAGAATTAATGCAATTTATAACTTTATTGAAATCATATTTACATATATCTATTTCTGAAAGCTCTTTACAGACACATTTTTCACACAAGGTTTATCCATTTCCAATTCTATTTTATTCACTGGTTTCTTGGATGTAGCATGCAGCTACTGTAAACCTGTGCCTTTGCCTTTCGGGAGCTGCAGGACACAGCCCATCAACCCGCATCTGGTTGTGAATGTGATGACAAGTGGGAGCGGTGGGATTAGCAACAGGTGTATCTGTGGGAATCCTGGGGGATAAAGATTTGAATTCTCCAGTCATGCAACAACAAAGCGAGTTTCAGCAACACTGGAGCTCATTCACAGCTCAACAAGAGGCGCGATCTTTTGAAGCTGGTCCGCACATAATCCTGATAATTAGGACATGTTTGTGAAAACATAGAGAAAGGCCTTTACGTGACTCCACAGCATGAACTTTAAACCCAAAACATTTAATGAGGGGAAACCGTTTCGGTGTGCCGCCTTCTAAACTTAGCAATGTTTTTGTTGGACGGAGGCCCTGTCCGATTTAGTGAACCACTGTGTTCTCTAGGTTTTCAATGGAAAATCTAGGGAGAGAGAGGGAGACAGAGACAGACCACCCCACATCCCCCGCACCCAAACTTCTCTATAAATGTTCCCAACTGCTGGAGGTGGGTGAAAAGCCCCTTACCGTGTGTGGCCGCTGCAGCTGCAGGGATAGCGTGGCAGGGTTGTGCAGGTGCCGTGAGTCCACAGTTCTCCGGCCTGGTGGCACAGACTGGGGATGCGAGGACATGCTGGCACCGCCGCTTCCTCTACAAGCAGGGAGAGGGTGTGGCTGTCAAGAAAGTGCCATGCATTATGGGCCGTATCTTTTAGCCTGCAACCTGTGGTAAGGGAGGAAAACAAAAACAAACAAAAAAAAATTGAGAAACCAAAAGAAGTCTCAGATAAAGCATTGTGGAAAATAACATGAAAGAATTAAAGCTATTCAACCTTTTATTGAAATTGAGCAAGATCTTAGTGCGACCTGGGAAGTACCAGCTGACCACCTCGAGGTTTAAGTGTGCGTGACCATCTACACCGAATATCAGAGAATCATCAGCTTCCTACCACAGCTGTTTCCCCCTTGCAACGCTTCGAAGATGGAGGACTAAGTTCCTGCACCTGTTATGCTCAACCCCTCCGATGAATGGCCCACTGTCCTGAAACTGCAGACTTGCATGCAAAGATTACTTGGGTCATGCAGACACCGTGCAAAAATAGACATCAATAGGAGAAAAAAAAAAAAAAAAAAAAAAAACTAAAAAACTCCTGGCCAGAGAAGAGACGTGCACCAAATAACGAAACTACTGCACATAATCTAAACCACTAACCAAGCTGAATGCACACATCAGGCAGTGTGCAAGATACACATCCAGGCTCTGACCTTTAACACATTTAGAACTACATGTTTAAGAAAATGTGCACTAGTGAGAAGGATGTCAGTGGCAAAATTTACTTTGTCAAGCACACAATGTGGGTGATTGCACCTCACAAAGTTTGCAGCTACGTGATTGCACCGAGATGCAGAAAAAGGTCCTTATTTCTTTGCAGTCTTAAAAGAGAGAGAGCTACAGTGCAACAAAAATGTAGATTATGTAAAAACATCAAGGCTATCTTTTGGAAAAAATTTGGAACTTTGGGGAAAAAAATAAATAAGTAAATAAAAAATGAAAAAATTTCTAAACGTGTAAACTCTTATTGACTGCAGCAGGGTTTTCCCCCAGAAAACTTGCTACGCCTACACTGGCGGTCTGCTGCGTTTTTGTATTTAAAGATGTTAAAAAAACAGGAAAGGTAAAAATATTACTGGGTAATTACATGTAAAACATCACCAATGAAATGCTATTTAAAATAACAACTAGTCTTAAGAGCAACTAATAAAAAAAATATAATTAAAATGAATATCAATTATTTGCACTTCTGTTTAATCCAAATTTAAGTATTTAAATTGGTTAACATTTAAATTTAAGATTTTAAGGAGCTGGCAAATTTCCTTTATAAAAGTTCAAAGGTATCTAAAAATGCATGTATTCCATGAACTAATACACAAAAAGTTTATTCCCACTCTACAGTTTCAAATTACCATCTATATTCTGTAATACAAGGAATTTCAAGCCATTATTCAGCTAACTGCACAATGGATTTCAATATACAATTGCATCTGTACCCAATTTCAGAGCAAGAGACTGGTCTCCTTTCTACCATGTAGTCCAACCGTACTTCCTGAACATCTCTGATACACCCTGCTACTGAACAGTTCACGCTTTAAGAAATCTTCATGCTTTGCTTTTGCATCTTACCTGAATAGAAACAACATGTGCTCAATAATACGCATCAGATATCCTGACTACTGTTATTAAAAACTTCAATAAACTGAAGATCATTTAAACTCTAGGCAACCTTGAAAACAAATGTTCATTGGGTTCAATTTCACTAACAGGACAATCTTCGGAGTCGTCCAGCTTGTGGCCAAGACACTCTCAAGCAGACATACATGCATGTAATAGTACTACCAGGCTGACTAAGGCTTGTGATGTGTCCCTGCTGCTCTTGCCAACAAAGAAATAAGGACTCCTGCCATTTCTTTCAGCCTCTGACAAGCGACGCCTCGCTCCCTCTTCAGATTTCGTTGCCATGCGAGGCGCACAACAGGAGGCAGAGTGACAGAAATATGGACCAAAAGACTAACTCCCTGAAGTCTTGACAGCACAATCAAGTGTTCTGAGTGGACTGCAATTTTGCCCAGTGACAGAAAACTCCCCAATTCACCCTTCACTGCCTTGCTAGATGACAATTTGTAACCCAGGACACTATAAAACCGACATTAATTTACACAGACTAAAAGCCAAAAAGTATTCTCATGCCTGTATTTTTCAAATCATGAAACTAAAGGCGTCGCTGCCACTCTATGCTCCACATGGCCTCTACAACCACGTTTAACATTGCACAGAGAAAACAAGAAGGTACTGACTTTTCTGGTTGCTGCAGAAGCTTCCTACAAAACAATCGACACCCAGACAGAGGTTAATCGATTTCAGCTTTTTCACAACAGCACACAAACAACTACTGGCCTACTTGACAATTTCCCCCCTAGCCACGAGAAATCCAATCTTTCTGCAACTAGTTAATGCACCACAGCTAAACAGCAGTGTAATGAGGTAACACCAAAACTCCTCAGTGTGGAAGTTGCTGCTGAGAATAGAGGATTCAGTGCAACTCATCGTCAGTTCAGTAAAAAAGCAAATCAAATTTATTTTAAGAGAAACTGTATTTCTGAAGCGATGTTGGAACTTTATTTGTGATTCAGGATGCAGGAGAGTGAGATAACAGGAAGGCCAAACAGAGTGCAGCAAATCCAGACCTTGTGGTATTCTTCTACTTCAGGATAAGATGACGACTTGCATGTCAGACAAAACCTGTTTAATCTGACAGCTATGTGAAAGGCAGATGCTGAGAAACACTGAGTCACTATGAAACAGTTTCACCTTCTAAACAATGTTGCTGTTTGCAGACGTTCTACTTTCTAGGCAGGCACACAAGGGAGATCGCTGTTGGGCTCGAAAGAGCGCCAGCATAGACCCTATGACAACAGACAAATGTAGCATAATGGAGGCCTGTCACAATAACTTTTGATGGACGATAAATAATTATTGTGAGAAACGGTAATATTATTAAAACTCTTTTCAAGTTATATGTTGATAATGGCATAAAAATGCAAGTTGACCCTCAAAAACAAATCAATTGTAAAGAACAAGCCAAACTGAAACTGGAAGATATCTTCAATAGCCTAAATAAAATAACAAAAAACAATAAATAAAACAAAAATAAAGTATTTACAGCCACAACCATCAGCAAAATTGATTATGTCTCTCAACTAAATTGCCTTTCAAAAGCTCATTTTAATTGATCATGAAATCAATTAATTGTTTAATACGACAAGCTTAGAATAATGTGACCTACAAATATGTGACAATACTCCCATTTTAGGGCACAGGTTTTACGTTTTGCAGCAGACAAATTCTAGCAAATTATTCTTTGCTAGAATAATTTTCATATTTGAATTTTCAAGGACCTCAGAAGATTTTTTTCCCCCCATGATTCTGCATGAGATATCCTTCATGTTGATTAGGATGGGTGGGAAACCTCAAACCCAAACAGTACTGTGTGCTTTGGCTGCTGATTTTCTGCCCCTGCTGATGTGATAAGGACTTTGTGGGGATCATGGACTTGGATAAGAACCATTTGATCATTGGTTTCTGAAACTGAGAGGGAAAACCCTCCATTTGGGTTTGTCCAGTTTTCTTCATTCCTGCCATTCTGAAGAAAAGGGTCGTTTTCCATTCCACTTCGAACAAGATGACACCAAACATTCCCTCCAAACACTCCCTCCCTGTTGCTGATGGACCGTGTCACAGCGCCAGCACTTGCGCTATCCGGTATCAACGCTGGGTTAATACTGCCAGCGGGTGACGCCTGGACACCGCTGGCAGTCAAATGACTGAAAATTCAAATATCCAGGCGTTTCAATTACTGAACACAGAGAGATTCAAGGACTTCCTGCTTTCTACTATTCCCCATGCTTTGAGAGCTAAATACAGTAGATAATCAGAAAAAACGAGAACTTTTCCACGGGAGGTTGAGATAATAAAAAATTGAAAACTCTTATAGCTCTTGGAGACTGAACTGGTTGATTAAGTCGCCGACGGTTCGTTCAATTTTCTTGCCAAAATTTTTCTAAACAATGGAAGCAAATGATCCATTTTTGTGGTTTATTATTCTTGGTCTGGGGGAGCTATTTGTGGAACTCATCAGTAAATACGCGTTAATATGAATTAGTTTTATGTTAATAAATCGATTCAGGCAGCAAATTTGAGTGGTTGTCCTTACAGGTTGAGCAATGTGTTTTTATCTCTGATAAAGATTGAAGTGTTGTGAAATAGATCAACTCACTGCTTTACATGTAGAATAATTTGTCAGGAAAGGAAAACAATTTAAGTCCGATGACGATGAGATTGTTTATATACAAGTGAACTGTATTGTAGTGCAGTATTATTTAAAATAGCACAGTGACCTAAAGGTTGCCAATGCACTATGGATTAACATCCATCGGTCGGTACATTCCTGTCAGTTAGTATCAATAATCATAATCCTTTGAAACTGGTGTTTGCTTGTGAAAATTGAAGAAAAAACAAAGACAGGAAGATTTTTACTACATATGTAAACTGTACTAATGAAAAAGTATATATTGTATTAGTGTATTGCTTAATTCAAAGATCTATGCAACAGTACCAGAAATTTTAGAAACAAATCTCCAGAACAATGCTGATCTTTTCTTATTTACTAATGCAAGGTCAGCAACTTCCACAGTAAGTTAAAGTTCCTCACAGTGATTTCTTTTAAAATTTCCCAACCGAGACACATTGAATAATACCCTCTACAAAATGTTTTTATGGTGTAAGATCGGATAAGACGCAAAGGTTAGGGTGCAAATGTGCAAGTTGCCACTGTCTCGGTCCAGCTTACGGTTTGTTTGGTTTTTTTTGCTTTGTTTTGTTTTTATGAAGCACAAAAAGGGTCTCTATATGCCCTTCCTTCCTGCTCAACTGTCACAGACACAAAGTGTCACTTGATTGCCGTTACGCAAAGAGCTCCATTACGAAAGGCTGAACATGGTTCTGGCTTTAACACACAGAGGAGCTCTGTAAACATGGGCTCGTAGAGGCCGCGAGACGGGAGAAACACCACTCAAAGTCTCAAACAGACTAAAGAAAGAGAACATCCTTTGTGCTTAGTCTAAGCTCAGCTTCAAATATTTTGGGAAACGCTTGCACTTCTTTAAAGC